CACGTTGATAATGTTCAATGGCAATGCATGAACTGGAAAAGTACGCAATTATATATGAACAAATATATCACGTTAGATAATAAACTTTTTTTTTGTTGATGCTTACAATGAGCAATTTGGAGATGAGACCTTAACATTATCATTTCATTTGCAAAGGAGTATAGACTGATGACGTGTGATGCACTGGATCATCGGATCTCTGCTCAGTAGCTATATTTAGGGATGATGTAAATATCTGTCTGATTAATCATAGTCTGCAGGGGCAGACCCATTTTGGTCACCATGATCATAAAACTAATAAGAATGGCTTTGAATAAATCTGAGCAACAGGTATACAATACAAACTCTCTTTTTATGATACACATTAAGAACACCAAACATTAGAGAACATTTTAGTCCGTTCATTTTGTACATAGCATCCGAAATGTGTTTTTGAAGTCTGCACTGAGAGACTAGCTTGTGACTAGATGTGGAGATGATGGCTACCTGTTGATGATAAATGTCAAGGTAAATCAGACAGGTAGACACAATGAACTTACAAAAGGACATCTTCGAAGGTTAGGCCAAATAAAAATAAAAACATGTTTAGCGTCCTGCCTTTTTTTTTCTGCTTCAAAATGGCAGCTCGATACATTTTCCCTGACCGTCGGGCTATTTTTCAAGATGGCTGCCAGCATTTTTTAAAAATTAAAACAAATAATCTGAAATCGATGTAGTATGTTGGCAGTATGTTTTTCATGTTTTTTTGTCTTAAAATAAAAATAAAAATAAAACAAATAAAACAAAGAAGAAAAAGAAGGAAAAAAAAGAAAAAGGAGACGGTCATCAAGAAGGAAGCGGGCAGGGACGCTAAACATAATTTTTTTTTAAATGGCCTTAGAATAAAAGACAATTTTCAGGTTTAATTGAATACTTCAATTGTTTATTTATAACTTTATGGAAATTATGTGTGCTGGGACTGAGCCACAAGGAAAACAAGTTATTTCTGCCTATCAAATTGAGATGTAGGGTATAGGTATGATATTCTCAAATAAATGAGAGATAATCAGCATGGAAATTAGTGACAGATCCAGCATTCTTATGATAAGGGGGTGGGGGGGGGGGGGAGGCACAAGTCTAAAAGGTAGTTCTTTTATTTTAGTTACTTTTTTGGCTTTAACATTTTTTCGGGTGAGCTGCCCCCATTCTCAATGTAATCACATTTTCATGTGGCTTTTGGGTTATCACTGTAGAAGGGGCAGGGGGTGCTCTTACCCAGTGCCCCCTGGATACATCATGATAGATCTGACTGGAAATCTGGTAGTGAGGTCCGGAGTGAAATTAAAATTAAAAATGATAATCTTGCAAGGTTTCTTTCCTCATGGTGAAATGAATGTATACAAAAGGTATGTAGAATATATATTGATGAAGGATTAAAAATTAACATTAAAAATTACATTGATTCTTCATGTTTGTAAGCTCCTGATATTTCCTTCTATGCTCTTTGCTGGACGTGTTGCACAGGCTTTAGAAAGGCAGTTCAATTACGAAATTCAATTTTCCGGTACATTAAACCTCCACTGGATCATGAATGTTCAGTCCCGAATGGAAAGCCTGGTTTTCAAAACCACTGGATTAGAAGTGATTCCTTCCAGATCACTGCATGGTGGCAAATTCTCACTTCAATCTGAGAAGAAGTGTTTACATGAAAGCTATTTTTGAGAGAATTTATTTCTTGAAGAAGTTATATTCCTGAAAAATGAATTGAATAACATATTTTGTTATTGTCTAGAATCCAAATCTCTTGCCGGTAATTTATCTAGCTAGAAAAATAGTTACATACATTAAATTTTTAGCAGTCTTGTAGAAAACAAAGTTCTAAAAGGTTTCCAGATGACCAATAAAATCTGGGATATAAATTTCTAGAAGCTGCGCAAAAAGTTCTAGAAAACTATGTTGAACTTAAAGAATTAAGATGCACAGTTTTGAATTTAATTTCAGTCATTTGTCACACAAATTTTAGGAGGTGGTAAATTTCCAGCTGAGTGATAGTATTTAGGGGCAGTTGTAAACGATGTAGGTATATTCCTGAGAATTGGAGCAGACACAAGCAGTAAAGACTACCTTCTTAGCTGCGATGAAGGTTTATGTGGGAAGATCAGTATCTCCAAATTTAGAAGATTCACTTTAAGATGGAAATGGTATGGTTGTGATGCGTGTTAGGTGGGAAAACTCTGCAACTTTGATTTTCTAGAAGATTCACTAACGGAATTGATGCAAGAAAAAAAATCATCAGTTGTCTGGTCTTGTCAGAAAATATATTCTGGGAGATGGGTTGATCCCTGATGCGAAAGCAGTTAGCGCAGAGTGCCGGGCTCTCTCACCTGGTGTTATTATAGGCTTGACTGAGCTTTCATGATGGAAAATGTGCATACCAAAGGGCGAGGTGCGAGATGAGGGTTTTTGACAAATTTGTGCAGATGTAGTTTCAGAAGATTTCTTTTTTTTTTAGGGGGGGGGGGGAGGTGGGACTTGGAGGGGATGTTACAGGTTTCATGCACTTATTTCCTACATGTGTCTTGTTTAAATTCATTTACAACTGAGAATATTTTCTTTCTATGGGGGTGGGGCTTGATATCTTGTTGTTGGGGAGGGGGGGGGGTACTTGAGCCCCCAAGGCCCCCTCTAGAACTGCTACTGGATTTGTGACGAGAGTACAGTGGTTGGCATTGCTTAATACAGGGTGAGTTAACATTGGGATGTGGATGATGGGGTGAGAGAGCATGTGAATTATGTTCTGGATCATAATGAGGGGTGGAAAGGTGAAAACGGAAAGAAGTATAGTGTATATAAAGAGCAATGAAGAAAGGGCATATGGGATGTATTAAGATACTGAATTCTTATGGCATTGTTTCTTTTCCGATTTTATTCAATCACATATTGTCAGAAAAACAGGTTAGGGTACACTATACCTCTCCTCTCCCCTATCCTCCATTTCCCTTCTCCTCCTCCTCCTCCTCCTCCTCCTCCTCCTCCTCCTCCTCCTCCTCCTCTTCCTCCTCCTCCTCCCTCCCCCTCCCCCTCCTCCTCCTCCTCGTTCTCCTCCTCCTCCTCCTCCTCCTCCTCGTTCTCCTCCTCCTCCTCCTCGTCCTCCTCGTCCTCTCCCTCCTCCTCCTCCTCCTCCTCCTCCTCCCTCTCCCCCTCCCCCTCCCCCTCCCCCTCCTCCTCCTCCTCCTCCTCCTCCTCCTCCTCCTCGTCCTCGTCCTCCTCCTCTCCCTCCTCCTCCTCTCCCTCCTCCTCCTCCTCCTCCTCCTCCTCCTCCATATCTCCCTCCCAACCAACAATGATTTGACTTGCTATCCCAAATAGGATTTGTGATGACAGCTTTTGTGATGATGATACCCCTGCTCATGCCTGCCTCATTTATAGATGCATTCTCTTTGAAAGTCAGGGTCATGGAATAAAGGTCATCTCCATAGCAACATAAATAACAAATAATGAGGAATCCAAATGTTAATAGGTTGGAACTTCATGCTCTAGACAAAGTGTACATAGCTCACTTCTAACACTGCACATGAGGTATTTTTCACCCAAATTTTAGCTTCTGAAAAGGTTGATAGATATAGCAGAGATAGCGGACAATGAAGATGCAACAAATATAACAAATATCATATCCCTCAGGACACCTTCTACCAAGTCTCTTAAAATTGTATAATATCAAATACAAGGATAAAGTCTGTGTAATCATTCTTGGCAAAGTTGATAATATACAGGTGCAGTCTACAATGTTTACACTTTGGAATACCTAACTTATTCATTCTTCAATCTAGATGTTATCATTCTTTCCAATAACATTGATAACGTCCATACTTATTGCATTTGGAATATATTACACATCCATTGTTCCATTTAGATTGAAAGATAGATATATCTCATGATGCTGATTGAATGCAGCTCTCCATTGAAATGTTACCCCGACCGAGAGAAAAGCCATAACTAGTCATTTAGATGAAGAGTTGGTAGTCGGCATCAATTTCAGCCCGCCCATTCCTGATTGATGAACTAGGCAGAGAAATGAGAATGCTGGATACCTTTCATGTTTAATCTGTGGTATCCAAGATGTTACCCTGGCAACCATCCATTAAATCATGTTCTTTCTCTTAGCGTGACTATCTTGAGTTACATCAGAGAAAATCAATCTGAGAGAAAAAATAGAGGTTTTACTTGCACTGAGAATGCTTTCAAAGAATGCTTCACTTTGCGATATAAATAGTCATCTCACATATGTTTTGTAAAAATGAGTCTTTTGTTTGTTGACTGACTTTAAACATTCTATGCTCATTTGTTAACATCAGTATACTATTGCATGACATTACATCATAATATATGTAATTTTGGCTGATCCATAATGAAGTATTTATTTGTTTTTCATATAATTTTGCATGATATGTTATCATATTTCATGAGGGAGCAATTTTGTATCATCCATTTTCCATATTTCATTTGTATAAATCATTTGGGAGTAAATTTGAATTCTCAGTGGTTTCATCTTTTCTTCTGCTGCATGTAATCAGAACCATTCACCTTCTCTCATCTCATAAAGCTCATATTTTGCCATGAAGTGTAAATTTGCATATCCAATATTTAGATAAATCTCTTTATAAATGGATCTTGTTGAACTAGGAATTTCATGAAATTTCCATTCTGCCTGTCATAAATTATGTAGAATTCACTATTTACAAACGTTTTTATTTTTTGATATATTGGAAATAAGTGTCCCCTGGATTAAAGGACAAGAAAAACTTATGAAAACAGTGATCTATATATGATTGGCTATTGTACAAACATCCCTGTAAGAGAAAATAATTAATGATGATATTATCAAAGACAGCTATCGAGTGTCTTTTCCAAACATGACAAGATCTTTTAATTGTTTCCTTTCATTCCATAAGAATGCTTGGTTCATCTGGTGGTAGTTTTTTGCATCGTGATGATCAATTTTGTATTCATTGGTTCCTCAGATTCAGGCATGCTGTGGTGCGATCCATGATCGGGGGTAAGAAGCATTTCATGGCCCAGAGGATAGCAGCTGGAGGAGCAGCGGGTAACCAACCCAGGCTACTAGCCCTGGTTGATAAGGTCCAATCTATGCAGAAAGCTAGTGATGGAGCGCTGTCAGGTGAGCTTTCTTCTTCCACGGGGGCACATTATGAGGGCTAATTTGGCAAATATGTCACCAGCACTTTCCAATTTAAGACTTATCCTGCTGGGCTTGCACAAAATCTTGTCTTTTTGTTTGGGGGGGGGGGGGGGTGGTATGAAATTCTGGGCAACCATGTGCTCCAGACAGACCCCTGTTAAGTTGAACCCGGAATCATGGTATGAGGTTGAATAAGAGTGGGTACTGGTAGTTTCTCTAGAGGATAAAGGTTATGTAGGATAGACTGCGAGCCCAAGTTTAGCAGTGCTGATTTTTTTCTGCCCAAATTCAGAAGGGTTTTATGAGTTAACATCCTTCTTGCTTTCAAGCTTCAACAGATAATTTAATCTGTAAAGTAATTTGTGACAAGATTGATATGCAATTTACATCAACTTCTTAAAGACCTTATTAAAAAAAAAATCACGTATACCCAAATTGATGGTCATGCTTGTCATTTTCCTTGTTTGTGGTGGTGATGAGGGAAGGATTTTAGAATTTATTGGATATTTTTTCTCCTACTTTTCACAGAGGACTTAAAGGGAAAGTTCACCTTTGCTTCTCCTAACTACACCGTGATGGAGAGCTGCGGCAAGCTGGAGATTGATGTCCTGTTCCACAGATCAACTCCGTAAGTCAGCATTTCCAGATTTATACTTTTGAGGATATTTGAACTTTTGTGATCTTGATCTTGATAGGATTAGTACCGAATTAGGGTATCGTTTAAGTTTTGAAATACACAGTGTGACGATCGCTTCAAAGATTATGTGTAGCAAGGCTGTATCAGTAAGGACAGTGGTTTAGAATTTATTTTAAATATCTTCTCTAGTCATGCTGCTAGCTATGATCTGAAAAATTGTTTATAGTTACGTACTACAATCCTAAAGGTATTTGATGCAGTGCTTTTTCCAGGTAGTATGGTATGAATGTGATAATTATCATTTTTATGTGCTATCAACTTGTATATATTCTTTCAACAGTAACGTGGGAGTAAGGAACATCTTATATGAAAGCAATAAAACAACAATTAAAAAAATTCAACCAATAATTTGGAAGAAAAGAAATAGAAATGTATAATAGGAATATTTCGGTTCAGTAATCCTTTCTAATTGGGAACTGTATATCGCAATTTGTATAATTGATATTTTAAATCTTTTCAATTATCATTCCTGGCTCTTTCTGTGAAATAGTGGATGTGGGTATGAGCGAGAAGAAGATAAAACGAGAGCATGGCTTATGGTGGTATTGTTGTTTTCCTTGAATAGTTATATCGAAATGATAAATAAAAATGGAAACCGGTGAAAAACAAAGAAAAATTGAGAAAAGAGAGAAAGGGAAAAGGGTAAGGGTACATGAGAAAAGAAGATGCTTAGACAACCTCCTGCATCCTCCGTCCGCCTAATCAGTAAGTAGCCTTGTAAAATAAGCATTTCATTTTCCGTTTAAAACTGATCCCCCCTTATCGTTCCAGTTCCAAATGACTTTGGTATATACTGATTTTGAAGAAGAAGGAAAGGGATTGATATGAATAAAGAATGTTCTCAAAAAAATATTTATAGATTGTTTCCAATTGTAATATGTTTTGGGAATGAAGGTGTTGGATTGAATACAATAACTATCAAACCAGAAATTTATATTACATGTACCAGGAATCTTTTCAGACTCAGTACTTTGTACTTTTCCATTATTTTTGTTCTTCAATCATGATTAAACAAATTCTAGACAAGAAGAAGATGAATTAGAGAATTAAAACAATGCAAATCATGAGACCAAACTATTTTACAAAAATCAGATCAATATTTGCTTCAAAAATTCTAAACTACATGATATTGTTACCATAGAGATTATGTTTCTGATGTACCAATTAAAAAGAAATCATCTGACCTGGTGTCATTTTCATTATCAAGGCAAATAAATTCCACTTTGGTATGACAACTCCATAGAGCTAAACGATACAATACAAAAACCATGAATATTGGATTGTAATTTAGCTTATGTTCTTCCAAAGCATGCATATTAAATTGGGTTTTCTGTAAGTAAGAGCTGCGTGCTCTTGTTAATCAGAGAGAGAAAATTGAGCATGATGGTTTGTATTGTACTCAACCAATCAATGTCTCTCTTTGGATATCACACTTTCATCATAATGAAAGGAATTAATCTCCTATAAAGCTGAGTGCTCGGCTTGGCACAAGATCATGAGAGTGAACAGATGATAATTAAAATTGCCCTTTTCCTTTCACGTGGATCAAATTCACGGGCAATGCTTGCCGTTGCTATGGTAAGCGCTGAGATCAGTAAGTGTGTGATTAAACAGAGGGAAAGTTAGGTATGACAGGTAATATGAGAACAAAAATGACATCATGCTTGGGAGGATGTGGAAGATGGTGGGAGGAAGCATTGAAAGGATGAAGCAGGTCTGAAAAACAACCGGAAATTATTTTGACCACTTTCAAATAATAAAGATCGGTCAATGATTAATGCAGCGATAGGGCAAGTTTAAGTGAGAACGACACTTTGAAATTGCTGGGTTTCCAAATGCATTTTTTTGTTTTGTTTACGTAGTCACAATTTCATTGGGGTGTTGGGTGGGGTTATTGTCTCTTACCCAAATACCATTTGTCCAGTTTCTAATTTAAGATGACTTTTTTACACTTGATTATAGAGAAGATGTAAGTTCATTATCAAAATATTCTACTTGAAGTATAACGACTACAGACAGATCACTCACTGCCAAATACGAAGTAGTGGTTTCCCAAATATTGGTAATTAAAAAGCCTACTGCCTCATGTACCTCTTTATAGACTCCTCCCCTATTTTAAACAATGGAAATACTAGAGAACTCGGTTAAAAACTGTTACATACATATGCAGTTTTTTTTCCAGAGAAGACACTACCTTTTGTCATATCATATCAGAATTGACGTAGCGGTACTCAAAATGCTAGAATGCGCTTGGTTTCGTCTTCTGACCAACTTTTGATTAATAAATTAATTGATATCATTTCCATCAAAATTTAATTGACTTCCACTTCTCTCAAGATCATCAAATAAATGAAATTTTCAGTATCTTCCATCCTACTACACAATGCCGACCAGTACTGACATCAAATTTGTTGTCATTGGTCACTTTCTTAATTAAATTCTTCTTGACCTGGTGGTCACTCAGACGTAGTCAGGTTTTCGTGTCCGTGTTTTTGTTAGAAGAAAGCTACCCCTAGGAGGGTCTAATATGATTATGAAGACTGTGGCCATGAAATGCTAGTCTATTTTCTGGAATGCTTGTCCATTTTCTAAGCATAAAGACTGATTAAGGGCTGACCGTTGAGTGACCACTCATTGAGTACTCAAACGTAGACAGGGGTTTACTATAGTCTTAGATATTATGATCATTTCAATATCAAAAAACTTCCCATCTGTATATTTACCACAGCATATTACCTTTTTAGAAAGAAAGAGTCAATTAGATAAAAATCAATTTCCTTTTTTCCCCTATTTAGTATAATTGCCTTTAAAATAGCTGTGAATTCTCTGTAATACTCCATTTACACCCGGTATAAGTATACTTGTAACTACATTGTTCTGTTATACCTAGCAATGACAGAAATTACTGAAAAGTAGATGTACCTTAATGATAAATATCTCGTTTCCATGATTTCCATAATTAATGATGTAGGGCATGGCATTTTTTATAAAATAGTTGTTTTGTCATTTAAAAAAAAATTTCCCTTTAAAAAATATATTTGTATCATCAATGCTTTGTTTATCAGTCTTGATATTTCCTCTGCATCTAAAAGACGGCCCTTCCTTCAAAACATTTTCATTCCAATATTTATTCACTGAATTGAAAAAAAAATCATGTCCTATCAACTTTCTTCTGCCTGAGTACTCTCTCTCCCTTCTTCCCCATCTCTCAATTTTCCACCCAAATCCTTCCCAACCCTTTCCCATAACCGGTATATCTTTTCTTCCACTCATCCTTCCCCCTCTCTAACTCTTAACCACAAGGTGTAATGGGCTGTAAAGACATCTTCAATTTTCACTTTAAAAATCTATGCATATAATTGGGCTCCACCTCGACTTGCCATTCCAATACCCTTGCATCAATCTCCATGCACCCAGCCCCATGATGTTATGTGTATGGATCAGAGTTCGTTTTCCGATGGTCATTTTGACAACCATGTATATTGTATAACACTGCCAATAATGGATTATTGATTGCCATACAAGAAAGCCACACACCTATTGCTTGTAGTTGCTATGTGTTGTATCGAGGACCGTCGGATCGAGACACAGGGGAAGGAGGAAATAAAAGCATCGTCATGATGCACTTAGATTCAACCTGGATATTTAAGTAAAGCTAGACAAAAAATATCATTTCTCATCTAAAACCCATTTCATATGTACGGCATGGTTGTCATGGAAATGGGATTTGTTTACTAAAAGCTGTCAGAGAATTTGGAATGACTGACATTTTAAATTAAAGCATGTCTATATCTAATAATCTTTCTAGGGAAGTAATTCCACAGTAACAATTATATTAGGTTTTTTTTCTTCCTTGGTTAAGTTTAATGTCAGTTTTCAGTAATCTATTTCACTTTTACGTGATCCACTTAATATGAGTATATGAAATTTGAAATGAACAAATTACAACTTGCCGATGGAGTTTTCAAGTCAATAATTTGTTGACTTTATCTGTTGATTGGAACTGCTTTACATATATTACTTATTCATTCCCCAACTCTACAAATGATTGAAGTTGGTATCAAAGTGGGAAGGAAGTGAGGGAGGGAAGGGTGGGAGGAGGGGGGAGCTTCCAATGACCTCCCTCCCTATTATCCTGCCTCTTATTCGATGTTCGACAAAGTTCTTACAAAAGAAGAATGGAGTAGTTGTGAGTAAATGGTAAATAGCCCCAGGGAAAAATCTATACCGATAATGAATTCCCTTTCCCCTTTCGGCAGTGCTCGTCAAAATCAATATCTGAGCCCCTTTTCTTCCTTCTTGCTACCAGTTCTTGACAGCAACCATTATGTAACATGGTGACTGGCAGGTTTTTTTTTGTAGGATAACATTATCCATATAATAAAGTACAACACATGTATATCCGTGGATGAAAGACAAGTTAAAAGTTAAAAGTAATGTCAAATTTATGAACAAATCTGGTACATGATGTTGCAGACATTCTTGTTGAAGAAGAAATATTTCTTGTAAATCGTCTGTTTAGCGGTGTGGTATTTGGAGATTTAGGCCTACAAGTATATGTGAACTTTTCATATTTAAGGATAATTTGAAGACATGTGTAATATATTTCAGTTATCCAAAGATAATTGATTATTTCAGAAATGTTATATCATGTCTATGGGCTGACTGGAATTAAATAGTACCAATAATTGTTATCAGATTCTTGTTTGGTATTACTATTGTGGCATAATGTTCCTTAGATTTTATCAATTCAATTCAATTTAAATTTTGTTTCTCTTGATTGGAGATTTACTTTTGTATTCAATCATAGAAATATATTATAAATTCTAACAAAATGTATAAGTACCTTTAGAAAATACACATATTAAAAACAATATGACTGATAAATATGATATATACAATTATTTGGCAGGTACAAAGCAGTATACACATTATAATATGATTTTTTGCATATGAAATCCACTTAATGAACCCTTCCTGTTCTTTTTGTATCCATTCATTTCATTACAGGAGAAGAACTCGCCAGCTCACTCAGGTATGTTTATATGATCTAACTTCTTATGTTCTACCTATAATCAATTAGTAATACTAGTTATTGGATTCAATGTTTTCAGATTGTACTGTGCAAGTCTTCGAATCTATGACAAACAGTGTCAATAAGTGTTAGAGGAATGTAATAATAATAATAATAATACATAAGATTTGTATGGCACCAAATCCACTTGACAATCAAATGCTCAAGGCACAGCTTGTGCAAAAGATGAAATACATGATAAATATATACAAAAGTGCAATAGGAAAGGTACAGACATGAAAGGTAATGGTAATCAATTAACCTAAATTAAACAGATATTTCTCAAGATTATTTGGCATAACTAGCCTTATTATTAAACACTTGAGTTAAGTTTTAAATGAAGTAACATTTGAGGAGGAATTTACACAAGAAGGGAGATTATTCCAGATACAAGGTCCAACATATTATTTTTAAAGAATTGAGAGTTGACTGACTGAGTGCTAAGGAATAATGGAATTTAGAGTGAGACCGGGTTTTATATTGATGATAATCTTCATTGTACTGGAATGAATTCATTATATTAATAGGTGTTAATTTATGTATGTTCATGACTTTGTAAAAATATTGATATTATTTTCTGCTTTTGATCACTTTGTAGGAGAATGGTAGAGCCGGTCATAACCATGAGATCGTGGATGAAATCAGCCGTAGCGAAGCCTATGATGATTGTATCAAGGGTACCGTCTATGTGACATACGAGACAAGAGATGGAACCGCCAAACAGGGCACTGAATTCACTCATGCACAGGGAAAACTGGTATGATATTAATTATCTGCTTAAATATTTAAAGATAACATTCATATAGCTTATAAAGTAATGTTCTGTTTTATTTTGCAATTTCCCTGTAACACCAAAAGTTCATATCTTTTCTGTTTAATAGTTGGGATGAATTTCATAATATCTGTCAAACTCAGATGGAATGTAATATTCTTTTGTAAAATGTAAAAATATGTAAAAAAAAGAATCATGACATGTATTACAATTAGATCAAAGTCATATTAGAACAAGATCAATAATTATCGTGTTTATTTGTTGCAAATTTGGTAAAACCAATATATTTGTCACTGAATAGATCCATTTGATGTCTTTATTGCTTTGTATTCACATGCTTTACTCTCAATTTCTCAAATTCTCTCAGGTTTTCACCGAGACAGAATGGAGGAAGACAATCACCGTCCCCATCATCAACGACACCCAGTACGAGGCCAACATGGATTTCTATATCATCCTCAAATGTCCCGAGGGAGGGGGTGCATTGGGGGATCCCAGTGTGACCAGGGTGACAATCATTGATGATGATGGTAAGTAATATCATAATGATGATGAATAATAATACAGGCCTGATAATTACCCGATTTAAATTGGTTTCCCGATTTGATTTGATTTTCCCCAAATTTTTTACCCAATTTTTTTTTTCTTTTTTTTCTTAGCGATTTTTCCCTATTTTACCTCCCCCCTCCCCTTATTTTCCCTTTTCCACCCTATTTTTCCCCAATTTTCTTACTCAAAAGGGGGGAATGTTGTTAGATGCCATTTTTCCCCCCGATCTTTTTTTTTTTTACTCAAGGAGGGGGGGGGGGGGGGGGGGGGGGGTTGAGAAAAAAAGAAACCTATTTTTTTTAGTGCTCACCATCAACCCTGATAATAATGGTTGTAGGGATGATGGAAAAGATGTTTATAGTCATGATGGTCACAATGGTGATGATGATGGTGTTAGTTGTCACTTTAACTACTAAGTAGATGTTAATATAGGCCATATTGAATATAAAGACTTTTGACTCATATTAATTAATTATTTTTATCCTTTTTTATCCCAGTTCCTGGTGAGTTCACCTTTGATTCACCAAACTACACAGCTGATCTTGAGATGGGTGTAGTGATGACGACTGTTACAAGATCCAAAGGATTTGATGGAACTGTCACCCTTCAGTATGCTACCATGTAAGTCCTTTCAGCTGCCATTGTCATAATAAACATTTCAAACACTCACATTCATCATACATGGGCACCACCAAAAGCATACCGTAATTAACGTTTTTTTAACCACACTTTTTTGCCGCCAAAGAGATTCAAAGTCGGGGGTTCGTATTATACATGGTACACACAAAAAAATAAAATTAAAGTTTCGATTTATGCCCCTCCACCTGGTGCTATGCCTGGCAATGTCTCCCAGCTCAGTAATCTGTGTGTTGACTCACAACTCGGAAACTAGAACAACACTCAAATTTTTTTGTCATCTTGGTTTGAAAGTAATCTTTCTGATAGATCTCAATATGTAGTTTATAATAATAATTCCTCCAATATTTCTTCTATTACACGGCGTACCACAAGGTTCTATCCTAGTCAGTAGGTCCTCTCCTGTTTTTTAATTTACATTAATGATCTTACACATTCAGCTGCACCTCGCAGTTAAATGAAAGGCCTTCCCGCATAGGTTTTTTAACACGGACCTGGCTTGCTGCCGACAAATAAAAAAAGGGCGAAAAAGAGGGGTGCGGTTAATACACGAGGGCGGTTTATACACCGTTAATTACGGTAGTCAAAGATTTTTCAATGGATCATGTGCTAAGTTCAGATATCTTCATTAAACAGATTCATGTTTTTACGGATAAGATATCAACTTGCTATACTTTCTTGCCAGATTGCTACTTTGCTGAGCATTAATAGAGCCTAGTGTAGCAGGTATTTGATCATAGCCATACTTCGGGGGGAGGGGTTTAAGGAGGCAATGGTCCCCTCTTTATTCCTACTCCTAGGTTTTGTAAGAAAAATGTCTTAGTACATTACTGTATGATAAAGAATTCAGAATCATGTTCAAGCCAGTTTCTTCCAAAATGTAATTACTGGAACTCAAAATATTCTTTAATCATTCAGGAATTATACACAGATGGACCTTGTTTGCTTTTTGTCTTATTAAAAATACTTTCTCAGCAGTTCTTAGACGTCAGGTAAAACAAACAACAAACAAACTCTCTATAATTTTTATTTTATTTATTTATTTATTTATTTCGGTTTAAAAAGACAATATAAATATACATGATTCAAAGGTCCAAGGACCAAAACTGATCATGTTTACAAGTTATACAATAAAGTTATATATACTGTAAATATACAATAGTGAGCCAAACGAACAGGTATGACAAGTACAAGATGGTAATAAAGATGAGAAAACAAATAAGGACAATTTAGGAGACATTATTTTTCCTGTTTTGCTGACTTCGCAATTTTGTTTGCAGCTGATTTGTCCTTATCTAATAATCACAAGTAGTTTTAATTAGAATGCAGGCCCCGTCGGCAATCATATCAATATTTCAATGGAAGTCAACTCTTAACGATTAGAGAATATTAACAAATGTTTGTGTTGAAGCCATTCTTCTTCGTTAAATTCAAGTGGAGCATACAAAAGGATCCTGATTCCAATATACTCAGATCCTGTATCCCTAAGTACATTCCAAGGTTGTGGTGAATGTACTCAACTAATTAAATAATTCCATCCTTTAGAGACAGTAAACCTTCTCTAGTTCCTCTTCATAACTAGATTGCTCTCTCGGAGGGGTCGTCATGGCGACCACTTAAGGATGTTTTGTGTCAATACAGTGCAGTGTTTGTATCAAGGAGGGGGTTTCTCTACACAATTAGTTTGGATAAAACTCTGATAAGTAATCATGCAAATATATCATTGTTTGATTTTAGCAAGGTGTACAAACAATGCCTGTTTGTGAGACTATTGTCTGGTTGCATTAGATAGAGCTGAGTAGGGAATCCTAAAATAGATATAATTTGTGTACATTTTATGCATGCTCTCAGAAGCATGAAGGTATTGCTTACATTCAGGGATGCTATTATGAAGAATTTCGATTGGATAGATATCCAGATATCATCATGAGAGGGATGGATGGTACGTGTATAATGAGAAAGAATGGGAAGAGAAATAGGTAGAATGGAGCAAAATGATTAAAGAATGGATTTTGGCAAAATATAATCAACAAACTGGTTGGTTGTGACAGTCTTGGTAGTATTGATGCAAAATCAAATTATATTCAACTATTAAGATCAATTACTATAACATTTAAGATCAATAACCATAACATTTAAAATCAATTACTATTTACTGCATCATATCTGAACGATCCTGAATGATCAGAATTTACTCTTGATTGAAAGTTCATTCATATCCAAAAATGTGGTGGTAGCGAATAGGTTTATTGATATGACATTTTGTAATCCTGCAGGGATGGTAATGCCAAGGGAGATGTAAACTTGGAAGGTGGAGCTGACTACCGGTCCATGGCAGGGACATTGTGCTTCAAACATGAAGAGAAGAGCAAGACCATTGAGATACCAGTCAATAAGGAATCAGTGGTAAGAAAATCCCCCCTAACAAGCTCTCATCTCTCAAGTACAGATTTTCGAGTGCTCTCAAGACAAGTTGCAATCAATTTGAATCAGATGCAACTCTTTATAGGACAAAGCCCAGAAGGAGAAAATAGGATTCAGTTTTACTGGCTAGTGAGATAAATATACTTACCGGTAATGCTTCTTGTGTTCTTAATGACTTTGATATAGAGAGCCAGATAAGTTTTCCAGAAGTCTTTAAGGCTGTATGTTTTAAGTTCAGAGCATGGCCCATTATGTACTCACCAACTTTGTACAGAATTACTGATGTCGCTAATCGGACGAGAGATGGGGCTATTTCCTTAGCAGAATTTACTTAGAAGTTTGATAATTTGGACATGAATATTCATAAATTTGGATGACTTTAAATAATTTTTTCTCTTTGTCCTTCTCTGTTTAGGGTTTGAAGAACTTTGTGATTGTTCTAAGGAATCCTAGCATTGGAGCCAAGCTTGGAGAACACAGTGCAGCTGTAGCCAACTTAAGACCAGGTCAGTGTTCTTCCAACATGCCTACAGTTTACATGTCTTATGCCGAGAGCCTGAGGGATGATAACTCATTCATTTCAAATAGAGTTAAATAATATTTATAATGTTTGCCCGCAGCAGACAATAGAACAAAGAGAAACATTTCTTTTCAAATTGTTGGTGTCCGAATATGTCTCAAAATGATGCGGAAATCATTGGAATAATATTGATAGGTCACACATAAGTGCATGAAAGTTATCTATGAAGTGATCAATTTTGACAGGAACTTGAAATAATAATGTATCAAGGCATTGACTCTCAACATGCTTTGGTTGACCAGTAGATCATACAGGAGACTGCCAAAGTCCACTTCTATATATGTCCAGTATCTGGCAATCCAAGGTGTTAGATCCATGGTGAATAAAGAGTTCACTAGCTGTGATTCAGAGTTTGAATAGTTGAGCCAGAGATTGTTGTAGCAGGAACATTAGTTATTTGTGATTATACCTCATTGAAGGGCACCTATCATATTTTTGGCCCAAGTTCCTTTGAAGCTATATGACTTGAAAAACCAGTGGTGTCCTTCACTTTGTGAGATACCAACACATAGAGTGTGTAAGATAAGCTGTGAGCTATGATCCTAGGAGCTCCATTCTTCTAAGTTTTCTGTCAAGGGTTTGTCTTTGACCTTGTTTGTCTTGTATCTACTGCAGATGACATTGGTGAGAGGGTCGCTCAGATTCTTGAAGATGAGGAGGATGCAGAAACATGGTTCGGACAGATCAAAAAGTGAGTGGCATACTGATGTTAGGACTATGCATTCCAGATGTCCTTTAATTATGTTCCATGTTTGTGTTCTAATGATGATGGTGTCGTGAGGAGGAATCTGATGATGATGGTGATCATGATGATGGTGGTAATGATAATGTTACTTGGGATGTCGATGATGAGGAGGAGAACAATAATAATAATAATAATAATAATAATAATAATAATAATAATAGTGTAAACTTATAGAGCACACACACCGTCCAGGGATGCCCAATAGTGATGCTGATGGTAGTGATGATGATTATGAGGATGGTGATGTTGGTAGTGATGACGATGATGATGATTATGAATACCAGACACTGTTGATGCTAATGACCTTTGCCCTATTTCTCCATAGTGCAATGACCCTAGGAGGTGACATTGATGATAATGGTAAGGAGGTCCCGCCCTCTAAGATGGATTGTATCATGCACTTCATCACATTCTTCTGGAAGGTCATCTTTGCCATGGTACCGCCAAAGTAAGTCAATTCCTTACAGCATCAATAGAAACAAAAGAAAAAAACACAATTAGTGAGTGGTCTGTAATTAAATATATTTCATGTGTATCCTATGCTGCTATGATGCCTATGCATGCACTTGACCTACACATTTACACCTAATAGAAGTATGATGTGCTTATGACCTTTCTCTGAAATACTCAGAATGTACTGTATCAATGTAGATCTTATACAATACAATTTTACAAGGCGGCAGCATTTTATCTTTAATAATTTTGAGATTAGTTGTTTCGATATTTGGACATATTTTTTATTATTAAATTGATGAGTTTTACAGATTTCTTTTGAAATACCATGAATTGAATATTTCATAAATATTATTATTTTAAAACACAACTTTGAATGATGGCAGCGATGGGATATGAACTCATGTCATCAAAATAACTCTGATTGTATTTATGATTTGGGTCTATTTTGTGGACATATGTTGACATGTTCAGAGTGATTGAATATGATTTTTCATTCCTATTTCACAGGAATTATTTTGGAGGCTGGCCTGCATTCCTCGGATCTCTGTTGTTCATATTTGCTCTGACAGCTGTGGTGGAACAGGTATTAATTGATCATTTTTAATTTTTTTTATTTCCTTCCTCTTCTCTTCTCTATGTTTCTATTTCTATCTGTGACTCACATCTTCTTGATTAACAGTAAATATTTCTTTAGAAATACTGAATAATCTTTCACCAAATTGCATGTTAATTATTTCTTTTTATAATGTGTAAATAAACATCTGAATTCAACGTATGAGCTGCAGACCTTGTCAGTAACTGGAGAAGAATTTACTGCTGATAATGATGGAGTGGCACCAATATTTGCATCGTAGTGAAAATATTATTCATAATATCTTATGCATTTAAATATAGAAGCAGAAAGTTACTTAAATTTGCTATGTTTAGGGGAATTGAGATGGTGATTGGAGAACATATAAGTTTCCTCTACCAGTCTATGTCTTTGTAATATATACAAAATATGAAATATTGCATTGTTATTCCAAGTGAGGATAAAAAAAACTGTAATTTTCTCTCACTTTTATAATAAGAAAATAACCTATATCTTTATCAAAGAGATTCATGTTTTTACGGGTAAGATATCAACTTGATATACTTTCTTGCCAGATTGCTACGTTGCTGAGCTGTGTTGCATTGATAGAGCCTAGTGTAGCGGGTATTACAATCATAGCCCTTGGGACCAGCGTACCAGACACGTTTGCAAGCAGAACAGCCGCTATTCAGGACCAACACGCTGATGCTGCCATCGGCAATATCACAGGTAAAGTCCAGTAATACCCAAGTTCCCCCCAAATCCCTTTAATAAAGAATATACCATAATAATGTATGGATCAGTGACATTTCATGCATAAAGCACCTCTTTCCTAGCATACTGCATTCATATTGACCTGAATGTTTTGAAGCGTTGATATTATTTTGACATATACTGCAAGGAATATAGGAATTTGTGTGATCCATGAGTCCAAGGATTGAAATTGTTGTGATCTAGAGCTATTGACTTCAAGGGTTTTCTTATTTGGCATGATTGCTTATGTCTAGGAATGACTTATAATGCAACCATTTGGAAGACATGAATCCAATTGAACCCTGGATCCTGTGTTTCTTGGCAGGGTAGTGTGTAGATCGACCACCCCACCAACTCACATGCACTTGTTAGCATCATGCTTTGGCCCTGTTCACACTGAACATTGACTCTCTTCTCTTCTCCCACTACAGGTAGTAACAGTGTGAACGTATTCCTTGGCCTTGGACTACCATGGATCATCAAGGTCATGTATCTATACGTCAACTCAGACCAACCATACTACGTGGGAACAGATAACCTGGATCTGGCTGTTATCCTTTTCACAGGAGTTGGTACATGCTGTATATGCATCATTATAGGCAGGAGATATGTAAGTACACCAGTCTTTTATTTATCAAGGAAACAATATGTATTGCCTATAGATGAAGGAAACTATTACCGGTTTTATTTGTGGGGCAATTGTTTATAGATTGTGAATGTTGAATGCAGGTTCCTATCATTTGTGAGTGGAAACTATATTATCATGTTCTTTTTCTAAGAAAGAAAAGGAAAATGTCATGGAGTTATGTTAGAAAACCTACCTTGATTTGTTATATGATATGAATGAGTTATGTGTTTCATATGTAATACATAATCCTGTATTGGGTCTGTGATATTGAGCAATAGGGACTTTTAGATTCGCACGAAGACAATAGGTCTATGCGATCGACGCCCTTTTAATGCACTGCCTTGAATGGACGTCACATGTATCAGTCCACGCAAATCTAAAAGTCCCTAATGACATGATTCTACTGCATGTACCATGGAAATCATAATACTTCCTGTTTTAAAGAACATTCTGTTATTTATCATCATTTGATTGCAATTGTTTCATTTTTGTCCATCCGTTTAGATTGTTGGAGGTGAGTTGGGGGGCAAGAAGCTGACTAAGTATCTGACTGGACTCTTCCTCTGCCTTCTCTGGGTTGTATACGTCGTTGTTGCATCACTCAGGTCATACAAGATCATCTAGAAAGGTCATCCAAGAAATGCTACTAAGAAATGCAACAAAGGGGACATCACAAACAATTGTTGCATAAAAGACAGGAATCATGTGAAAATCATCAAATCATCAATGGACATTGCCAGAAGACTACCCAACAACAAGCTTGATTATTGAAGAAGCTGAAGGATTAAAACATATTGCAAATGAAGTGGCAGTTGCTTGGAAGATAATGAAATTGACCCTTAAGCTAACAAGGGGAGATGTCCAAGACAGACCTGTTGATTTGCTAGACAAACTGACCATCAAAGCTACAACGGAACATCAAGTGATGTTATTCCCTTCTAATGTCAAAATATAAATTAGTGTAACTTGACGAAGAGGATCGTAATTGCCAAACTAATTGCTTTGAACATTCAAATGTTATGCAAAAATAAAATAAGATTTTGAGATGTAGTTTGACTATTTAAAAAGCCTGCTGGCAATTTATATATTTTAAGCATATCTGTAGTATTAAATCGTCAATGTGTGCTGTTGCAGTTTTATTTTTTCTTATATTTTAATTCTTTCGTGTGAATATTTTTGCTATCTTTTCTGAAACATTCCATTTTTAAGTGTATAGATTGTAATTTATATGTGAAGGTCGCTTTGAAATGATACAAAATATGGTTTTAGTTAATGTCAAAATATTATGGCCGGAGTCATTGAGGATAAAATATAAAAATGTTACATGTTACATTTCCAATGAAATATTACAGATACATTTCAGTGGAACAAACCTTTGAATCTGAAATTCATTTATTTATTTGAATTAATAAAAAATAAATGTATTTAAGAAATCAACTTTTAATTACTTTACAGAGAATATATAGAGAATTGAAATATAGAGAATGTAACTGTATTCAAGTGTTTTCATATTTTCCTACCCTCATAATTAATAAACAAAGCCATTAACCTTTTGATATTTCTTTTCAAATTCATGTATCAAGAGTGATATACACTGTGAAGTGAATACAAATAAAGGGAATGATGCATGTGTACTGTCTACTGACGAGTCACAGGTTTTTGAATACTTTATAGAAGGCTGTTTGCCATGGTAACTTATTGATTGCTGAAGACATTTCGATGAAAGATATCAAAAATTGTAACGATATGTAAATATAAATGTATTACACTATATCTGCCTTAATTATTGAATGAATCACATAGTCTTCTAGAAAGTAATGTATAAAAGCTGGTAGTTTAATCAAGTTTATTGCATTCTTATGAAATATATTTCCTGGGTTACATTTATAATAATTTTCTTTATTTGGAAGCTATAGAAATTGGATATTAGAAATTGTTAATGTGCATGTAGCTCAATATTTGAATGAGGAAGTTATTATTAAGCATATATGTAAAGATTTATAATGAAAACAAATTGATGATATTGTAATTGAAAAAATGGGTAGAATACCATTAAAATATAACATTGTGTATTGTATCTCGTTAAAAATTATCAACAATTTTGAGGAAAAAACAAAATCTATTCACCTTTGGTTTCATTCAATACACAAGTTAATCTTTAAAAAAGCAGATTTTTGGTTGTATCATTTTTGGATATCACAGTTAGAATATATTTTGATAGAATAAAAATTGTGTACACTGGTATGCTTTCATCTGCCTAGAGTTAAACTTAAATTTGTTCATAAAGGATTTGTCAAAATGGTTAGAAACTAGTACCACAATTTATTATTTGTGATTTATTTTTTCACTGCCAAACCTGAGTCTTATGACATGTTAGCACAAATATGTTTGGCTTTGATTCTCAATGCTATACAATGTAGGAGTAATTTTTGATGTGAGTAGGCTACTGGTATGTAAAGTTTTCAAATGATTAGAAAATGAGATTGTGATATTTAATAAATCATAAATTGTAAATGTAGTCATGCACTCCAATAAGTGAGGACGTTTGCAGATAAACGTGTCTTTATTATCAAAATGTCGAAATATCAGAGTTGTTTTATTATTCTCTCTCATCTATGCATCAAACTTGAATGTTGTCAGATATATTTATTGAATATGCCCAGCATATATGTGTGCAAATTTAGCAAGTTTCAAGAAAACATTCTTACTCTGTACACGATCTAACCAAAGTTTGTACATGTCCAGTCGGTAGTACTTGATATGAATGAAGCAAAGCTATCGCTAGCTTTGCGTAGTTTTAATAATCTTTTAATAGTAGTCATTTGTATATATTTTCTACATTTCTCTTGTATATAGCTAAGCATGTCTTGAAGTGATGTAAATTGTATAAATATATTCTATTGCATGATGCCTAGAAAGTGAGTGCAAGGGGATTCCCCTAATAACATGCCATGTATGTAGATATCATTTACAAGTGGATCATGATAATGACTAAGTCTTCATATATATACGGTTAGTCTTTCAAACAAACATAAAAAAAGGAGAAGAAGAAGAGAAGTAAAGTTTCTTGTTGCTGAATTGCGGACAGTTGCAATCTTAACATTATACTTGTATTATGACAATTTTAATCTTTTATTGCATTGTACTTCATTGAAATGATTAATTATTCTTTTTAACACTATTAATCTTTCTCTCTATGTACTAGTATTGTGAATCATGATTGGAAGCTGTTGAGAGAAGAGGTCAAGGGTCAATGCTGATCTGCGTAGACATGAAGCGTTGCCAATTTGGGATCCATAAATGTTAGGATCAACCTTTAAGAAAATGCTGAACAAGATTATTTCCCTATTCTAGAAAAGGCTGCCACTGTTGCATGTCAATGCAAATGAAAATATATCTTTAGGAAATGTAATTTATTTTTAAAGGCTTTACGGTGATTGGTTTTCAAAAACGGAATCGGATTTGGTTTAGACCCAATATTGAATTACAATTTTGATTAAAATGTTGACTAAAAATCAAAACGGTTATTGAAATACAATGTTAACTTTTAAAAAACTGGTGGAAATTTTGTATAAGAAGTAGACTAAAAGAAAGAAAAAAAAATTCTGCATTCAAAATTATAAATTCTATGGCAACATGTAAAATTTAAAAAAAGGTATAAGGGTATCTTCAAAGATAATGGCAGTATAATCAGCAAGAAAGTATGAAAATAGAGGTTATGTCTTCAAGACATTTGAAAAGGGCGTGTGTGACAGTCTTAACAGTCAAATGTAAGTTCCCATATTGGACATTAATGTTTTGTTTTTGTGTTGTGTGTGTGATTCTTAATATAACATTAACAGTTGGATTTTAATTGTGTATGCCTATGCGTATTACATACTCTAGCAATCTGCTTGATTCTATTGTCCAGAAGATAGTACTTACCAGTAAGTAGAGGTGTTGTGGTCCAGAGGATAAGTCTTCGAACTGTGAACCACAAGGTATGGGGTTTGAATCCCTGCCACAACACTAACGTCCTTTGGCAAGACGTTAATCTGCATTTGCCACACTCCACCCAGGTGAGGTAAATGAGTACCTGGTAGATTTATTCCTTGAAATGCACTGTGCGCTGATAACGGCTGCCGAAGCTAGGGTAATAATTTCCAAAGCTCTTTGGAAGCGCATAGGGATGTCTTATCATAATGTGTTATGCGCTATGCAAGAACAGATTATTATCATTTGTGTAAATAGTACATAACAGTACATTAGCATGTAACAGGTTCATACAGTGCATGTTATACAATATCAGTTTCTATTCTTTGTACACCCAAGTATAAAGTACCAAAAGATTTGTACCATAAACATGGATGAATAGAAAAAATTCTTGATGAATAAGACCAAACTTGGAAAATATATGATTCAGACCCTATTGTATATTTTATTCATGATGGATGAAGATATGAATAGGGCCTAAATTGTTTTTTTTGGGAAAAAAAATATTTTCATCCTTTGTTCTGTTCAACATGGTTTTACTGTTCACCCCAATTTACAGTGTTTTAACAGAAGTCTAAATGGGATACCCAATGCAGGGTTTATTAATTGCTATGTAGATTGTGTAATAAAAAGACACATCAATTATTTTTCTTCTCCATCTTTCAAATAGTGTTTGTATCAGCAAAATTGTGAGGAACATTTTTGTGTTTTGGTCTCTCAGATTAGTGCAAATTTTGTTATCATGTTTTGGCATTTTTGCTGGTTTTAAGATCTTGTTTTAAGAAAGAAAACATTGCAAAATTTAAACAAAAGTTCATTTTACTCTTCACAACAAATTTTACAGCTACTTGTATAGAGAATCTGGTTTATTGTGACAAACATAATTCTGGACGAAGGGTATATGTTTCTGTAACTGTTTATGTTTCAGCTTTATGTACAAGGTTCTGTTCATGCAAGTTGCACCATTGTAGAGGGGCAGTGTTATGCAACAAGCATAAACTTTTGACTGTGTATACTGGTTTAACAACTATGTCCTACTAGCATTAAATTGTGAAATTTGGGATGTAGAAACAGCTTATGTGATATTGTGAAGACAATCAAACATATTTCCCTTTGGGGTAGTATAATGCAAGGTTTTATTTCTCCAAATTGAAGTTTGGGTAAAATAGAATGTTAAATTCTATGTAAATTTTACACAGATGAATTTTGTCACGCAAGTGGGAGTTGTTCTTCTTTTTTGAATTTCACCAGTCACAGAAGGAATGATCAACAGTTTAAAGTTTAAAAACTGACATTGGTCATAAATTGCCCTTAAAAGCATGTGTTTACTATATATGAAGGACAGCATCATTCAGTTATTGATTTTAATAATATCCCATATCCACCCGCATCCTGTTTTTGTTTTAATCTTACTTTATTTAAAGAAATTAATAATTTGATTGTACCTTGCTGATGATCATTACAAACCTTCAGATTCCAGTTTAGATATTGTTATACTACTCAATGCATGAGTCTCTTCACAACTATTAAACTTTTCTTGAAAGGCGTGGTTACATTATGGCAAGAGGAGGATATGTTGATGTAGAAAATCTATTCTATACTGCACCAGGATGGATAAATCAAGTTAGGGCTCCCTCTAGCGACAGTTTGGCACTTCATACTTTATGGTAGCAGAGTTATTGATGTATGAAACATACTTCATCTAACTGCCTAATGTGTTCACTATGGTGATAATTGAATTTGATATACCAAGCATTTACCTGGATAATTATATATAAAATATGATCATCAAGAAATATTCCAACACCAGAATTGTTTTTCCACAATTTTTTTTAAGTGAAAAGAATGTCTCAAAGCATTACATCTACACTGTTTATTATCCCGCAATTAAATAATTCAAAAAGCCATGTCCTTTTCATTTCAGGTAACAGAATATTGGATTAAAGGGTTATTCAATTAATGTGCACATCACAGGATTTAAAAACATTGACATACAGTGGAATCACATTTTTCAAACCCCCATTTGTATAATTGAGGACTCTGTTACTATTTTTTACACTGCCTAAGCCAAACTATTGCTAGATCATGATGTAGGGGCCAGAATTAATAGAGGTGCACTGGAAAGAGAGAGAGAAAGAGAGAAAGATTATATTTCATATCACTGATTCTGTATCAGTGACTGTAGTTTTTCTTTGTATCATTTGATTTTTCTTTTGTGTTTTGCTCAGGAGGGTTTCAGCATGGGCAATAAATTTCTACTATGCTCTAACTAAAAGAATGACTTGTTCTGATGGTGTTTTAGTTTGTTTTTGTGATCAATGCCTTGTCTTTTTTTTCATCCCTTCATGTAACTACAGCAGATATTATGATGAATGAATGAATAAAAGATGGATGAAAGAGGGAGAAAGAGAGAGAGTGAGATAATCAGACAAACACACAGTGGGAGTGAGTGAGAGAAATAGAGAGAATATGAGAGAAAGAGAGAGTGAAAAGAAGAAAAACAGACAAATGTAAATAGAGAGAGAAGGGAAGAGGAAGGAGAAGTGAAAAAGATATGACATGAAATGAAGAAAGTCATAAACATAGGACTAAGTGCACGTACATGTGCTTCACTCTGAATTTCTCAATAATGACACCGGTACAGGGCATTATTTAATTTCTATGCTTCATTTTTATTTAATGAATTATAGGCAAAGTAGACACATGGAATACTGAGAGGACACACATAACCCTGCCTTTGGCACTATTGATCCAGCATTTACAGCGATCAAGGGTTTACTTTATTGTTTGCTTTTAAAACATGTCTCTACCACTGCACGTCGAACATGTACATGTCTTTACATTAAGCTCATGAAAACAATACACAAAAGCTAATCTTCATGTATATCGTTACATCATAGCATGTCATTGTATGTTTCTAGCGATCCAAATTCTATGAAGAAAACATTAGTATCTAGATTGTCATTTAACAAATCAACAATTCACATTCTTTTCAGTTTCCCCTGTTAAAAATGGAATAAAACAGTACAGCATCAAAACTTTTGAATTTGATCTGACAAGAACCCACACATATTCTGGGAATGTAACAATACTACTTATATCATCATTAGTACATGCAAGGTATTTAAGTGACACAATCTTCTGCAAGTATTAGAGCAAGACAATTTTGGCGGATCAAATATTCTTTAACTATCTATTTCAGTAAAAATCAAATTATCATTGCAAATTGAAAACAGCTATAAAATGTCCAAACTGAATACCACTTACCTTCAAAATTGCCACTCTGCCACAGGGAAGTTCACAAAATATATATATCATAAAATTCCAAGAAATTGAAGAAACAGAAACTAAATAATAATTACAATGAATTTTACTTCAGCCTTGTTTTATCTTCTTATCAAATGACACACACAAACATCAAACACATCCATAAGATTCTGTTTAACCCGTGACAGTTTTGAGACACCTCTCCTCAGATTTGTACTGAAAACCTGAAGTTAGCTTCCACAGATTTCTGATTGCCAAAAGATGCCATATTGGTGATTGCTGTGCTTTAAATGTCAGACAACTGTTTTTTTCTGTCTTGCTGTATCTCTCTTTATATTGTTTGATATTCTTTATATTGATATCTTGTTGAACATATCATATAAGCATAAACTGAAGAGCTATTGTATAAGTAAATTGATTTTGGCAGTATGATGTACAATTAGCATCTAAGATATGTTTGTTTTTCAATCTTAAACTTCAAAAACTCTGATTAGAAAGTAAAAACCAAAAATATCTGTCATTTTGAAATATTCTTTATCCCTATTAATATTTCCAACCATTATATTCTGATGCAGGTATTACAGTCTGCAAAGGATTGGTCGGGATAAATCTAAAATACATTTGCATTGGAAACCAAATTCTATATAAGGCATCTTAAGAAAAGGTATTTTTGTATAAATCTGTATACAAAATAAACATTTGTTTTTATGTCCATGAAAAATAATACTCATTTTATGTAGGTGCACACATGAAATAAAAAGAAATATCATCATCAAAAAAATTATTCAAAGGCTTGAAGAAATCGAGCACTTGATGGAAAAACATTACGATTCCAATATGTAAAAAAGAATTGGTGAATAGAGGTCAATTTGCCTAACTTCCATGGAAACTTCATATCATCATTATTAGTTGTCTGATTTTCCTTAAACCCTTCAATGAGGTTATCTACTTTATCTGCTTCATTTCAACTAAAGTTAGTTTGAAGCTGAAGACCGTGAAGTTTCCATTTACCATTTGAAATTTACATCTCAAAGTCTATCAAACATGATTGATTATAATTCATGAATAATAGGTTTTAATGATGAAGAAGATGCTTCTAAATTATCTTTTAAAAGTGGCAGTATGATAGCATAAAACTTTGGTTATAATGCTAAGCATATTTTCTGCAGCACAACTGTAGCTGAGTAATGGACCATTAAACATACACACATCTATACTGATAATGATAATAACAATGGCTGTTTGTTACATAGCACTTTACTAGTTACAACATCACCAACCAAAGCGCTTTTAGAATTAGTATGATTAAATAATTATACAGTAAACCAAATCCCTGCTTGCACTTGAAGTATTGCATCCTGGAATTTTGTTTTAAAATTAAACATACAAGATAAAATCAGATTCAGAATACCACCCCTGTGCCCTTTACAGGGTGCTACAAATTCCCAAGCAACCTAGAATTAGCAGATAGACATCTGAATTCACATATAACTTGACATAATTGGAAGAAAAGAACACATTTACTGGCAGCACATACTCTATAATTTGAAAACCATCTACCAACAGCATTGATTAACACACATTGATGTGCTACATATACATATACCTTCATGTTTTAGGTTTCTGAATAAAAGAGTTGCGGCAAGTAAATTAGGGGGAAGGGGGTCACAGAAGTAAGATTTTCATTTAATTGCTCCACCCTGCATTTAACCCATCTATCCAGAGAGGGAAAGGTAGTGAAATTCTGAATGTGTAAGCTGTTTTTTATTTAGGAAAATAAGCAATTCCAAACTTATCCATCATTAAAATCATCCCTTAGCTTGAGTATTTCTGGGCTATGGCCAAGAAGTCATCCACATCCTCGGTCGAGCCCATGATAACTGGACATCGTTCATGAATGGCCGTAGGCTGGATGTCCAGAATGTTCTCGGTACCAGTGATGGCCTTCCCTCCGGCCTTCTCAATGACGTAGGCCATCGGGTTGCACTCGTACAGGAGCCTCAGCTGAGGAAGGAATGGGTAATGTGAACTTTACTGTCGAAAGAGGTGAATGATTATGGAAGTCAGCGTAAAACCAAAAAATTGTAATTCTGGGCAGAGTCAAATACTCTTGTAAAGAGGTTCACAAGTCCATGCATAACATTTAATTTCACTGTATGAAAATGATGTCAAAGTAGAATACATGTACCTGTAGGACTATTCCTTTGCAATATCTGTTCTATTCGCACAAATCTGTCTTTAATATCCTGTATATCTTTCATAGTACATGTAATGACACTGATCAGTGATCAATGAAGTCCAGATTTGGAAAAATACATGTTTGGGCCATGAGATACTAAAAAAATATGAATTAACATGTATATTTTCTAAGGCCTGATGACTCTAAAAACCAATGGTAAGGATGCCATAGAGTGGTCACCACAACATCTTTCTGAGGCACCTTTTTGAGAACAACGTGTCCACCCAGAGACAGTTTAAGTCAGAAAACTCACTGAAAAAGAAAAAAAACTCCAACATACAATCTTAAAACCTCACTTATATATTTTTTTCACCAAATTATCATTGTTCCTATTTATTTTTTTTTACCTTGTCCTTTGGGCTCTTCTTGCAGGTTACATGCAGGTTATACTTGAGTGTCCTGTGGATATTAGCTACCTTCTCAAGATTAACTTAAAAGAGATAGATATAAAATCCTATAAACTACTCTACTCTAGCTCTTTTTTAATCATTCAGTATTAGATTTGATTGTATTACCTTTCCCTTGGGGCTCTTCTTGTGAGCTGGGTACATGAAGATACCTCCATACTTCAGTGTCCTGTGCATATCAGCTACCATAGAGCCAATGTATCGAGCACCATATGGCGCCTTACCATCCTATATCATGAATAAAACACTTTTTTAGGATGGTTATGAAAATAGAATTTGGCATCATGATTTTTGCCAGTTTGGAACACTTATAATGATCATAAAAAACATGGGGACTCACATATACCACACAAAGCTCACAAGAACATCGGTAACAAGTATGTATGCAAAACTTCACATTCAGAATGGTTTAATTCCTCCATTTCCAATCTCAAAAAGTTAGTTACTAAAATGAAAAACGGGCATAACAACATTCTCAAGAGAAAAGTGCTTGGATTTTTCGACATGTGGAATCCTCATCATTACCATAAACAAAAGTGTATCTATATCCCTCTACCGGTACTTTATTTTCCTAAAAATGTAATAATATAATGTTACAGTCAAGATATTTCTGAACACATTAAAATAAACTTCTGAACCACATATGTTCTACAGAACCTTATATATTTGTTGTTCAACAGATAAAGTTGTATTTTCATATGCATTCGAAACATTAATGTGTGTGTGTGTTAAGTGACTAGCTCCATTCATTTCTAATGTTTCACTTCATTTAAGACTGAAAATGACCATTCTGAAGGAGTACAAGGAGAGAATTTTAGGGATAAAATAAAGGCTCACCTCAGGAAACTTCTTGCTCTTGACATATTCTGCGATGCTCTCATCCCAGTGCATGGCGTAGCCTTCATTGATACTGAAGATCTTCCCTCGAGGTTTGATCTTCATGTCTCGGTCTGTCAGTACAAACTCACCAATCGCCTAAAGATCATGGTACAAACATATGATTAGGATTAATTTGGCACTCCATGTCTTTTCTTTATAATTGTAGTATGATAGTTCTTAAGAGTTGTTAACTCAAGACAATGACTAATTTTCTCCAACCCCCCCCCCCCCAACAAAAAAGAACAGACTGGGTAGGTCAAACTTGTGTCTACATAGATGCCTACCTATAACTCTTTATATTCATAAAAGAAATAACTCTCTATATGCAGCAGGTTTGGATCCTTTTAATATAATTTACTTGACAGTTTTTTTTAGATTATATCTTAAATTCTAAAATTGATGACGACAAGAGCACTTTATGTTTTTATGCTTGCTAGAATTACCCCTTCTTAACAAAGTGGCTCTAGACTAACAAATGTGATAGCTTGATTCTTTTCATGTTTTACATATATATATATTTTTTCCGATTGAAAGGTTTTCTAACATATTCAAATTTTATAACAAAAGTTATTCTTGCATGACAACCTAAAAGCTTTCCTGAGGCTTACCCCTCATAGCAACAAGTAATGTATGCTGACTAGATTCCAAGTATTTCATTTATTAATAAAATGTTAATGGAATATTAAACTTGTCACTAGGTCTCCAGCAAAGAAACATCAATACATTTTAAGATGTCAGTAAACCGTCTATAAAAGATGACAGGAAAACAAAAATCTATTGTGTATGTCCATCATGTGATGTTCCCAAATCAATCAATCGATCAAGCTTAAATCAATTCTTACAGGATCTAACTGGAAACCATCGACGCCGTTGCCTGTACTTAGTACAACCATGGTGGCGCTACCATAGAGGGCGTAACCAGCGGCAACCATTTGTCGGCCAGGCTGAAGATAATCCTGCTCTGTCACAGCGCCCTCGCTCTTCTGTTATGATGAAAAGTTGTGTAAACGAAAAATAAATGAAATAATCATGTAGATAACAGCATGATCTCAACATAAAACATAAAACTTGTGCACATGCAACAAAATCAGGTGTCAATTGACATAAATATGATACGTACATAATTAAGTACAGTATTATATACAGTACTGCAGAAGTCTAAATAATGAAATAATGTATGTCAACATGAGGCCCCCCCGCCCCCACCAAAAAAAAGTAAAAACAAATTTAAATCATTATCACACGTTCCCATCACGCCACAATCTTTAAATACAAACAAGACAGATAGTGCAATTGACATTATTGATTTGACACACTTTTTCTTAAGTAAAAATACTGCTGAGATTGCTTAAATCATACAATCATAAAAAATCTTTTATTATCCTTAAACTTTGGTTTCTTTTCAAATAGAAGCCTATGACCTTATCACACCATACAATATAATCCATTGAAATGAGGATCTCAAACTTTGACCTTAAAGATGACTTTGATTTGACTTTGGCTTCCCTTTGGATCAAAATCCTAAGCCAATAACAAAAAACTCACAATCATTTTTCCCGTAGGAAGTGAGTTATGGCCTTATGTTGGTTTCCACATTTTCCTGTTTTCAAATTTTACATGCTTAATTGAATTTCCATCATTTAGTCCGGGGAGCAAGTTATTCATAAACAAGTAACATAAAAAGAAAGAAATAATAGAACACTAGGGATGTTTCATATGCAAATCTACATGTACATGTATCATGCAGAGGCCCAAACATGATATTTGTAAGGAAGAGGAGAGAGACCAACCTTCTTCCAGATGCCAAAGATGGAACCAATGGAGACGAGACAATCAATATTAGACGAGCCGTCTAAGGGATCAAAGGCTAACACGTACTTCCCCTGCTTCTCTGTCTCGACCTCAATCATGTTCTCATTCTCCTCGGAGATGAGGGCGCATGTCGTGTAGGAGCTCTTGAGTGCGTTGATGAAGAGGTCGTTGGAGATCACGTCAAGTTTCTTCTGCTCATCTCCGGTTGTGTTTACGGAGCCCTGGATACCATACCTGTTTTAATAAATCACAAAAATACTTGCCTTACAAAGAAAAGGGTGCAGGAAAAATCAATCCAAAACTTATATCGGTCACACAAGATACATAATTGACATGACACAAACTTGTAATTACTCCATAGCTACAGTTTTATGCATGCTCAGCTGAGCAACCTTATTTGCTCCAAGATTATCAAAAAGAGTCAAAGTTTTCTACTAAAGTAATGGAACAACCTGGTTAAAATGTAAAAACTATAACCAAATCTGGCCTGGTTTGATAACACTGCATTCCCCCTCATGAACTTCGAAGAGAGTCGTTAACAACACCTATGGGTGGGATACCAGTGTATTACTTCTTAATCTTTACGTGCTTCTATAAAATGATCAATGGTCAATTTGACATCGACTTCCAATCCATAACGAACCCAAAACCTGACTGACCATGATATGGAAACTCACACTAGTTTTGCCTTTATTTCCAGCGCCAATTTAGACGTTTACACACCTCTTTTTTTTCTCCGACCACCAAGAAAAGGAACAGCCTTCAACTTTTCAAGTACAGTCTACCAAGTACCATTGGCATCGCCATCGTCATCGACCATTAACATGATTAAACCAGTCCTCACTCATTCAAATCTGCTGTCCTCTACTTAAAACTTCATTTTGAAGTCTTTAGGAAGATAACAAACCAAGAACCATACAGTCATTATTAGAACAATACTCACAGACGTGAAATTCCCGCCTTTCTTACTGCTGATGATATAGCTTTGATGGCAGTCAGCAATGAATTCAGCAGTGTTGTGAGCTCGCCAGTTGCTTCGGGAAAACGTCTTTGTTCAGCTAGAACGAAACTTGTCAAAGTCACAAAATCAGTCTGTACTCCTTGGCTGGACATTTTGACCAAGATCGTATTAAAACTCTGACTTCAATTAGAAATAAACAGATATGAGATGGACATTAAATCGAGATTGCCACACATGCACGTTTATATACTGCATGCATGAATGTCGGGTGAAGGGCAACTGATGCGATCGCACGTAGCTCTCTTTTGCTTTTGGGATAGGATAACATAATAAGGGCTCGCCTCGCTAAACCAATCAACGTCGTGTATTTGGACACACCCCCAGGGGGCGCGGTATTTAACAAATTAAATTATAAATTCATTGTTCTTGAGGCAATATGAAAATTAATCATTTTCAAAACAGGGCCGAGAAGAACCGAAAAGAAAAGAAAAGAAAAGAAAAGAAAAGAAAAGAAAAGAAAAGAAAAGAAGTAGGGTTTCAAGGAAATGTACAAAGCCAAGTCCTATTTGAATTGTCAAAAAAAAAAAATATCACTGGTAGATTTGTTTTGACTGAAAAAAACACGGAGTATTACCTAATTTAGTAATTGTAATGTATTTGATATGTATAGACAAGATAAAAGGTAAATTAATGTTTTTAATGCCAACCAAGGACCAATGGAACAAAATAAACCAAAATGTAATAACTGGCCACCAAATTCAAAAGAGCAAAATCTTTTTACAAAAGTCAGCCACAAATAGAAAGATTATTCATTTCTGAACAGAAAGGCTATCAAATGAAAACATCAAACTCTCTGTTGTGTATTCTTTGGAGATGGTATCATGATTATGATATGTTCAAACTCTATATGTCTGTGTAATGTGACTTCTTGTACATATTGGGTCACATTTTACATAATTCTGTTCAATCCAACTTTTGATTCAGGGTAAAGTTTTATGACAAAGATAGTTGTACCTGATGCTCCTCAGAAAAAAAATGATACTTCAAACTGTCTATTTGAGCCAGGAGGGCATGAACTCGTAGACTACACCACAGGATCAATGCACTCTGGCTCTAAACAGACAAAATATAAATTCATCATCAGCATTCACACAACGCTATTCACAAAAATCATCATACTCACAAATGTAGGCTTTAATGGTCGCACTTCCCCTATTTAAGGGAATTTCTTTTTATTTCATTTCGTCGAGTTGTGGAGAAATTTGTTACAAAAAGCTCACTGTAGACTAGGGGTCATGAACAATAATTCATAACGTAGAAATCAGACACAATGGGAAAATAAGCAGAAAATTCTTGAAAATTCAGACATGATAATTATACAATGGAATTGAACAACATTTTTTACAGTAATCCTCAAAGTATGATTTCAATTACAAACTTTAATACTTCTGTTGGGAAACTTCTTTATGCTTTATGGTGAATTTAGCATCTTTCCAGTTACATGGTGTTCTCAAATATGGGACAATAACATTTACAATTCTATAAGAAATGCTGACAATGGTAGGTAACACATATATTTTTGAATGATACAATGAAATTGCATTAAAGGAAATTGTTAAATTCACTCTTGAAGTTAGAACAAGTAAAATAGATAGTTCAAGATATTGAAGTTAATTAATTATGTTGTATCAGATATAATGTTTGTAGCATTGCAATAGGCATCTACATGATTTTTAATCAAAATTCTTTTAATCATATATCATTTTGAATCTTGTCACCTCAAGTTATCAAACAATTTGTTTTCTGGATGCATTTGAAATGAAACCATAATGACACAAAAGGGGGGGGGGGAGGGGGAGGGGGTGATACCTTGAACAGACATGTAGGATACTTGTTCGTGTTTATATGATTGCTATAGCCTATCTGAGCATAAATGCCTTAAAACATGAACCATGTTTGCCATTTGGCATTTAAACACTGGTTGCAGAACAGGCAAAAATGAATACTCATCTTACAAAGGAATATCTCCTCAATTCAGTCATTTAAAGATTTTCTCACTTGGCAGTAGTTTGTGTAATCACATGTCATGATATATCAGGCTACAGCCCACAAGACAAACAGCTAATAGACTGATGGTGGTGAGACAGAAACTTTCAGTCTCACAGGCCTCCTAACAAGTCCCTAACAACAAAGAAGATGAAAGACTTCCTGCATGGCTGATTGTCAACGAAACAGAGTTTGTTGTTTGTTGCTACGGCAGGCAGCCAGTGAAAACAAATTTGTTTAATGAATTATGGAAATGCAATCATTACTTTAGATGAACAGAACTTTGTTATTCCTCGCTCATTTTTCCTGACTAAGGTGTCATATGAAAGGGCAGAAAATGAAATTTCTAGAAATGTGATTTTCTCTTTGTAATTCAGATACCGTTCACCAAATGACTTTTTGGTACCCTTTCTTCAAATTGTTTTTAATCACTTGTGCGTGAAATATGCATCATATGAATAGCATCAAATGAAAGAGGATCTAAGCTTTACAAATACCGGTATGTGTCATTTATTAACTAAAATTTTGATTAAGTTATAATACAACATCGTTAATTCTCGGTTTGGTTTTTTCTGGGACGCACTGTTTATCCGTTTTACTTCCTTTAGTAATACATCACTCTTCAATGTTTTAAAGGTCCTACCTTTGTTAATACACTGTATTATAGGTGGGTAATACATATATACAGATTAATATAAAGATGAAGCATGGTTAACATACAACAGTCTTGGCATAGCTATGTCAATATGTACACTATAAACACATTTTTTTTAAATGCATGGCTGATTTTAACAACATTAATGCTTAATCATTATCCCAATATTCGCATTTCTACACGCCCTTAATTTCCATCCTGTTCTGTGTTGAAAATTAGGAAAGTTTGACCACAAATTTTAAACACAGGAAATCTTTAAATTAGGATATTCAAACTCACAGTTTATATTTTCTAATTCATATACAATGTAAAATCAACAACAAGATTCTTTAATCAAGATATTTAATCTCCATTTTTTGCCCAACATCAGGAAGAAAATATAAATTAATGACAAGTGTAAGTGGAAAAATAAGAGCACATTCAGGACATCAAGATGGACAATAATATTATCAATCACGAAATTAATCAGGTATTCAAATACATTCAATTTGAATAATAATAGATAAATTAACCAAATTGAACAATTTTTTTAATTATTTAAAAAAAATATATATGTTCATTTCATCAAAAAGCCATCATTATTTCATGTTCATACACTTAATAAATGATTGTAATTACAACCTTTAAAAAAAGAAGATAGGTTTCATTATTTTTATCATAAAATGATGTTGATAATAAATATAAACATTTTCTTTTTTAAAGTTATTGAGTTTTAGAGTGTTAATTCTCCTAAATATTGACCAGAGGTTTTAATAAAAAAACAAAACAAAACATTCTCAAAGTGGCTTATACCTTCAGGCAAAAAAGTGGTTTTGCAATAAATTAAAAAATGTAAGAACTCAAATTCTGCATTTTTGTGGAAATGTTTATAATCATTATCTTATGGTACAACCATTTTTAACTTTAGAAATTAATTAATGCTACCTAATTGATGTACACCTTGGAATCTAAATGAAAAAATATGATTATATTTCAAATGACAGAAGAGCACCTCTTTCGCAGCTCACACAAAATTAAAATGATTATGAAAAGTTGACACAAGGGTTAATTGCCTTCATTTCTTGAATCTGTGAGTAATTATTATTTTGACCTTTTCTGTGTCCATAATCATACATCTTTCAAAACTTACATGCAACTACGGGCATAAATTCAAACGCTTGACAACTTGGTGTAACTATGTCGACTATATTTCTAAATAACATATGCAATAATGATCTGTACTGAAATTATGAATATCAAGCAGTATATTTTACAGCATTTTTTAAGTAGCACCTTTCATTTAACTCTCTTGAATGTGTTTTGCTTCACAAAGCAAAAAGGAACATTGATTTGTTGACAACTTATGAATATTGAAGATGTAACATCAACTCCCTTTTACCATTTCCACGGAATGAAATACATACTGTCTGCTGAGAGCAAAAGGGGCATTATATAAGGTAACAACATCCTTTTTGCTCTTAATAGCAGATATGGTAAACCTGCCTCTAGTAGAGTATTGAATGGTCAACTAAATCACCTTGATTCACGAGTAAATGTGACAAATATTTGATAATACATTTGTGCAAACTGATTTGTGCAAACTTAACTAGTATTTCAGATGTAAGATTATTTTTTCTTCTTTAAGTTTTGCTATGCAGGTGTAATCTCATTATAACAAAGTTCTCAAAAAGTATGATGTTTTTAGTGAAACCATGTTATATCAAGGCTACAAAACAACAGAATGAAGAAATAAGATCAGAATGTTATGATATTATAGCAAATTTGTTATTTTAGTGTTATTTATAATGATGTTCCACTGTATAGGGTATTACACAATACAAATACAAAGATGAGGGGCCTGTTTCATAAAACTTGTTATCAATAACAAGTTACAATAGTTGTTATAAGCTACTGAAATCCTCGCATTTGATTGGCTGTGAGCAGATTCATCATAGATCTATGGCAGCTGTTCTTGATAACAAGTTTTGTGAAACAGGGTCCAGCACTGACATCTGTTAAGTTCCATAGCATCTTTAAAGTACAAGAAAAAGGGCAAAATTCTAAAGTTTTTCTATCCTCAACAAGTTTGGTCTTTCAACAAACAACAACAAGAAAAATGAATAATCAATAAAAAAATAACACCATTAAAGAGAGAGAGAAGAAAGGGAATGTGAGAGAGCTGATGCTGGTTCTTAATGTCATTGGACAATTAACCAATTGTGTGTTTGGAGTTTTTTTCCCCCGATTTTGTTCAACGTCAAAATATGCTTGGATACAACTCTAGATCATATAAGCAAATAATTTGTTAAAATTCATATTGCTAATTCTGATGCAATTCATAATATTTTCTATTCGGAGCCAGAAGGATGTTAACTCATATATCATTTAAACACAGAGTTAAAACCCTCCTGGCTCTTAACAGACAATATCTTAATATCATATCAGGAATTATCTTTATTTTATTCTATTTTCTTTCAAAAGTTCAAGTTCAAATTCAAATTCAATTTTATCTAAGTCCAATAAAAGCATTTACACATACAAATCAGAAATATGGAATCATGGGTACCCTAAAAAACCAAGGCGGTCTTGCCAAGATAGTCCCCTTATTATAAAGTAGAAAGTGCTTGACAGTATAAAGTTCAAGATTCTTCAAATTCAAAATCTCTTTTACACGGACGATCCCACAAAACATTGAGATTGACTTTTAAGTGTATCCTGTATTCTGGTTATAACTTTTGCTTCTATATTTTGTTTTATTATCTACATTAAGTTCTTCAATCAATACAAATGGGACAGAGAATGCTATGATCAATATTAACATTCTACTTGGCATTTCCTTTCTTACAAAATCAACCAACTTTGTTTTAAACTGTTTAGGTTAATTTTAGAGGCATGATTTAGCTTTCCATTTGAAATAATAATAAAAATCTAGTCAAAAGTTACCGGTTTATGCTTCAAATATTCTCTACTTCATCCTTATGAGTAAAAATCAGCAATCCTTTGGGATGTTATTTCTAGCACACCACAATGACATAAATCAAGAAATTTCCTTTCGACCATTAACTTCTTCTACTGCAGCATATGTGTGACACATACAATTTCTCTTTTCTATCTTGCACCGACACATTTTGTTAGTCTTTTTCTAAACTGCAAGACTGCGGAATTCTAGACTAGCTACTAATCTAGCTATGGATATGTGTTTTGAAAAAGATATGCAAAGTGGCAGTGATACAAGACAAGTATTTTTCATGTGCATACGGTCACAAAGATTCATGCATCCTGCATATATATATGTATGTATATATAAAACATGTTTGCGCTGTACATTACATTGTCATTCACAATCAAATAGAGATTATTTACAAGTTCCAATGGACGGCCCACCTCACAAGTCACGGTACAGAAATAGAGAAGTATGCTCTGACAGCTTAAGTTTACGCCCATCACACATTACATGATCTGACTGCGATATGCTTTTTGAAGAAAATGAAATATCATTAGAAATGAAATTGTCAACATGTAAGTCTTTTTCACTCAGGTTCCCAACGTCAATATGACAGATAAGGCCAAGGTTAGCTCAACTTGGGGGAAAAACTCACCAAGATTTACAGTATACAGTAGGTTTTCTTCGACTACACGACCCATGATACAAAGCAATCATTCATTTAACTAGTCATGACACTATAACAAACAATGTTTTATATATTAACAATTTTCTATCTAAGGATATCCCTTCTTTTCCAAAATCAAACTGTAGTCGGATAGTATACTATAATGTGTTGTGGGTTTAACAAAAAATGGAGAAATAATATGAATCTGTGATGGGAGGGAAAAGATTACTGGTATACACTATACAGAACTGCATGCATGAACATAAGGTTCCTTGGCAGGAAAGTGTGATTAGTTTTGGGTTTTCTTTAATGGTATTCATCCACAATCAACTATAGAAAAGAATTTAAAAATATGAAAGAAACTTGTAAACATGGATCACACATTCCAAACATTTGTCAAAAATGGCTTTCTGCTTCAAAGAAGATGATCTCAGAACAAGATCTAAAAAGGGTTGAATTGAGGGAAAGTATAAGTTTTATTTCTTCCTCTCCCTAAAAATGTATATTTTTACAAAATAAGTTTGGCAAAGAAAAGAAAATTCACATTCTTCTGTTGTTTTTGTACATGTGTGTCAAATAAAAAGGAAAATAATGGTAGGGCTTTCTGCTTTATCTAATAATCAAAGTGGAGGAATGGAAATTAAGTATATTAAAAAAAAATCAGGTATTTTGCTCATTGACAAAGAAAGAGGTTACAAGGAAAAGGATATAACAGATACAGAAGTAGATACCAGTATACAAAACAGGGAATACTTTGTACAAATATCTGCAAAAATGATATTTTACCAATGATTTACCACTGTGCAAATAGCAATAAGGTGAGCAAATCTCAATAGTGTGATTACATGTAAAAAATGTACAGACATCTTTAAAAATACAAGCATGATAAGAGTATGTTGATGTACAAATGTAATACTGAATGTGTGTCCTTATCACTCAATATTGTTTCATTTTAGTGTTTTTACAAATAAGCACACAAAGCAGCTTTTTAAATACTTAGAATGAAGTTTGCAAGCTGGGAATATCTAAATTTCATTGGCTTAGCTAGTACACAAATCTCCTTTTAAAAAATGTTTAAAAAGAAAAACAAATTAAATGTAGAAACAGGCATAAGCATGGTTGGTTCTTGAAAAGTCCTGAAAAAGACAAGGAATTTTTGGGGGGAAGCAGTGAAAACAGAGGCTGGGAGACTGCAGCAGATATTTTTTCATCGTTGGAAAAAATATATACATTTCTCCTTAACATGATTTTAGTGAAACTGAATAAGAGTTTAGATGAAATGTTACTATTTTTTAAAACCCTGCAAATGTTTTAATGTCTATTAACTAGTGTTAAATGCATAGTTAATTTAAGTCAAAAAAATGATGTTCAAACTTACGCTCATTGCAATACAAAACTGGCTTGAAGGGAGATACAAATTTTGCCAATATGCAGTCATTGAAAATCTCATATTTTATCAAAAGAGGTCGAAGTCGAAATTTAACAATCCAATTAGCAAACGAACCTGCAGATCATTTCAGAAAATTTGGGAAGACTAGCCTTTTTAATATCTTAAGCCAAAATAATAAGTTGCACATTACATTAAACATTGCATACCATTGAACCTCCAGTAACATGCATGCACCATCTTCTCATGTATCTGAACCTAAGCAGTAATTCAAAATTTCTTTAAAAATGCTACTTGTAGTAAAACAAAAAATTGAAACAATGCTGCTGGCTTTGCTAAATTTGTGAATATAAAAACAGTGCAAAAAATATAAATCATCCACCTTTCTGAGACCATCCTGATGTAAATACACTCCACTATTTGAGTCTGATTTCAGTTATTTTGTTTAAGGGCTGTTCACACCTCACCAATAATGATAAATCGTTCCCAAATCACTCCTATCTTGTTTATGCGTAAAAGGAATTAGAATGGTTGTTGTATGCCAGATATTATGAGCGATGAGCGATTAAGCTCTCGATTCTGTCTCGAAGGCTCTAAAATTGCTCTGTTAAATGGGAAAGAGCTCTGGTAAAAACCATTAGAATGTTTTAATACTACTGTGAGAATATCGCATGTATACAAGATCAAATTCTTAAGGAGCTCCTGCAAACAGAAACATATGTTTACACTGGACCTCAACGATTTATGCTACTGAGCCTCCCTCATTGATTATATTCTTGTTGGAATATCTCAACGACGATACCTGAGAGACAGTAAGTTTACTCCTTTAATGTGATGTCAATTCAGAGGAGATGGTGTGTCCCTTGTGCTTCGTGACAGAAGTCACAGACAGAACCCCAATGTTTATATTGTTAAGGTACGACAACTTGATATAAAATCATCATTATAATTTCAAATGCATAGGGTTTATCTTAACTGTGAGGTATGCCCAGCCCTTTATGCTATCAAGATCAGCCTATCGGTGCACATGATAGACAAGTTGCTTTAGTGATGACAGAAATAGGGATTCTTTCTACAATTCCTCATTCCTTTAATTCTTTAGCTTAGAATTCATCCCTCTTTTGTGAATAACTAAATTGACTATAGATCATGAGCCCTCTGCAAAGAAGGCTTGTTGAAAGTAGTAACAACCTGTTTGTTGGTAGCCAATGAAATTCACTCTAACTTTTGAATTTGTCATCACTGCAGTACCACTTTTTATTTCAATGGTTGAGTATCCCGTTTCAAATTTTGAGTGTATTTGCATCAAGCCTAAATCAAACAAACCGTATAAAAATAAATCTCTTTTCTCTGAAGTTAAATAAGCGCATGCCATTAACAGAAGCAAATAAATAAACATTAGGACTGCTAAAGCATCATTAAAACATTCTTTGAGCACTCCATGGTAAAACCAGGAAACATAAAGACATAAGCCGTACTTGGCAGTAGTACGCATGTGTCACAGCTTCTGACTACTTTATATTTACATTTTAATACAAAATGTTTCAAATTCATGTACAAATATTTACATAATACACTAGAATTTTACATTAAAAATTGCGCGTGAATGTGGCTATGTTTTTATACAGCACGAAATCTAGACAATACAAACATATACAATGCTGCAGCTTCTGTTTCCCAGCAAGGTACCACACATTGTTTGTTGAGAGTCAAAAGTGCTTTAAACCTGTACAAAATTATATGAGACTAATAAGACATCGACCTTCCAACTCTAAACAGACAATATGAACTACAGGTCAAAAGTTGAGATGGTGACCTTTCTTGACCTGATGATGATTCACCAGGTCAACACGTGATTGCATGGTAGTTACAATGTAGGAACATATTCCTGCAGCCTCCTCACAGTACTTTTGTCCAAGGAACACAAGTCAAAGTCAAATGTCGTGTCTGTGACCTTGAATGACCCTGTCTCTCCAATTAGGTCAACGACCTTCTGCAATTTGTCTCTGTCTGTGAGTTTCATCAGTCTTTTGTGCAGGTCAACTAGCTCATACAAATAATCAATGTTACTGTTTTGAGATGATTTCTGTTTACTTTCAACATTCTTGGGTTTCTTTTCAACTTTGGAACCTTTCTTGCCCGTTGTGCCCGACTTCTTGTTCGAGCCATAGCTTGACTTTGAAACAGGCTTTGGCTTCTCAATTTCTGGCGAGGGTGAGCTGTGCCGACTATTACTACTAAGGTTGCTGTCACCGGACATGGAGCGATGTCTTCCAGGAGGTGGAGCACTGTTCTGGAATGGTCTCTCCATGTCATGATCATCATCGTCGTCATTATCCTCATATTCCAAGTCCTGCATGAGCATCCCCAGGGTGCCTGTACCACCGCCCCGCCCTGGGAGGGTCAACGACGAGAAACTGATACTGGAACTTGGACTCGGAGCGTCATGCTCTGCCTCCTCTGTACTGAGCTCGGCATCAAATGGAGGCAGTTCTTTTGGTTCTTTCTTGGGTTCCTTCGTCTGCTTGGCTTTGGACTTGGTCTTTGATTTAGAGACCTCTGGTGTAAACAGGCCCTGATCAGGTGCAGGTGTACTCTTACTGGAGCTGCTTGTATTCTTCTTTACTTTACTTGTCTTTTCTTTACTTTTGTTCCCCTTTTCTGAAGCCGACGACTTCTCTTTCTCGCTTGATGGATTTTTTTCTGATTTTACCTTTGATGTTTTTGTATCATGAGATGTTTCATCTTTGTTCTTATCCTCCTTGGTTGAAGTGCTCTGCTTCCTTTTCTTGGCAGGAGTGGAGGACATCGGGGAGGCCTCTGCAGCTGACCTCTTGGCGGTTTGTTTGCTGCTTTCTTTGGCCTTTCCACTTGATTTAGAGTCTTTGTTATCCTTGCTGGATGACTTGCTCTCACTAGTGGACTTAATGTCTTTAGAACTCACTTTCTGACTGGGCTTAGATTCCTTGGGACTGGGTTTGGGTTCCTTTGGACTCGGCTTTGGCTCTCGAGGACTTGCTTTGTGCTCTTTAGAGACTGACTTGGACTCCTTTGTTGAAGACTTGGGCTCCTTAGTTGAAGTCTTGGACTCCTTTGTTGAAGTCTTGGAATCCTTTGAGGTGGTCTTGCTATCTTTTGTGCTTGTCTTTGGCTTGCTGGGTTCCTTAGGTTCCTTCGTCTTTGGGGTGCTGGCTTTCCCACTCTCCTTCATAGAGTAAAACAGGAATAAGAAAAAAACAAACTAACAAATAGCAATCATATATTATTTTTAAAACCCCAAAACATAGGGTACAAAATATGCAACTAAACCTCAATAAAGGTTCAAATCTAATATATTTTGAGGCTATTTGATACAAAATTAATTACTCTATCAGAGAAAAAGAAATTTATTGTGCCTTCAATTTGCTTAATATTTCTTTCAATTCCCAGCATTTATGAATAGACTTAATCATAATTAAACTACTTTCATATTTAGTTAAGAAATTGAATATTGACTTGTACAAAGGTTTGCAGATAATACTCTCATGCAATGCTTTTAAATAATTCATGTTCAATGATGATCATTGGAGCATTAACATCTTGTTTCAAGATCAACAAAGCTTTCTGTCAGGACAATGATTTGAAATAATATTTATCATTAATTGGAGGGTAACCAAAATGTTTATCACACAATCATATCTTATATGTATCATGGGTTTAAACTTCCAAATTCTTTTTTTTTCTTCTTAAAATGTTGAAATGAGAAAGGTTTGACAAACCTTGCTTGGTATCGTTGATGCTGATGAAGGGGTTGATGAGGAGGAGGAGGACATACTCTTGGGTTTCTTAGAGCCTTGGTGAGTTGTGGAGGCTGCAGCACCTGCCTGGGGTTTCCCCTTGGTGAAAGCTGAAGGGTCGGTAGCGGGCGTGGCTGCAGGGGCGCTTGGCTTACCCCCTGTAGCATTCAGCTTGGTGGTGGTAGCAGGAATATCTAGGTCCATTGGCATAACTCCTACCTGGTATTCAAAACATAGCATTGATGACAACATCCAATTAAGAGTAAGAAATACAGGCTTTTTTATACAGAGATTTTTCAAACTGTTCTTTTCATCGACATGATAAGCATTTGCCTTGTTTGCCAAATTTTTTTTGGGGGGTAGAGAGAATTAAGTCTAAATGCTTTAATCCTTGCACCTTTCTTGATATTATGCCTACATGTTCCCAAATTTTCCTCCAGTTGTCTACACCCACAACTCAATCTGCATGTATTTCAATGTGGCATTACTTAAATGGTCTTGAAATTTCTATATCATATTGAAATTTTCATCAAATATTTATTTCTTTAGTTAATATCCTGAACAGTCCAAGATTTTTATTAATATACTGTCATGCATATTCTGCATGTATTCATTTATCTTCATGTATCTGATATTCACTTACCCCTCCTGCCTTGAGCAGCTTGCGCCTGAAGTCCTCTGTTGGATTCCTGAAGGTCAGTTTCTCACATCGGATATGATTGACTGGGGGCTGACCGCTCACATGAAGGAAGAGGTCATAGAGAAAGCGAACTTTCTTGGGTTCCTCCTTGTTCCTAAAGTAGACATCAATGGCTATCTCAAAACCAGCATAGCCAGCTTGAGAGACTTCAAAAGGTGGGTCCTTTACAACTGGGGGTCGGAATGGGAGAATAGAAGACATAGAATGAAATAGATAACTGGTTGCTATGTCATTGATACAGTGATTGTAAAACTGGCTTTTAACTTTCATCTACTGAACAATCACATCTTCTGGCAAAACTTCTACATTTTAAAAGAATATGTCATGATTCTAATTCAGAAAATTAGTGTTTTTATTTACTTACAGTTTGATGTAAAATATATATATTTTGGGGCAAAGCAAAGAAATGTTGACAAATTACCATGTCTTGTGAAGATAGATCATGAAACAGTGTTTTTGTGTCTTCAAATTTGTAAAGTGGTTGGCACTGTTTAACAAGGGAATATAGGATTTCAATATAATGTTCATGTTTAACAACTTGCAAAGATAGAAGTTCTACCTCTCTTAGGCTTTGGAAAGCTCTCATGAAGTTGGAATACGACTCTGTCGACAAAGTGCTCTATGCAGCTTCCCTCTGGTCCTCTGACAAACATTGTCCAGTCATGGGTGAATCCCTCTCCTGTTGGTTTAGTCCTTATCGTGGCCCGATGGCCCAACTCCAGCTTCACCTGTACACACTGAAGAAAACAAGAAAGATATTCATTCTTAATGAACTGAAGTGCAATCTAAAATAACGAGTGCAGATAGAGTTTGAAGATATGTCTATTCTGAAACCATATGCATTCAATATTGAACCCACAAACTTCACTGCTTGGTAACTTTGTATCAAGTGAAAAGGGCATTGTATCAATTGCAACTATGATTATCACTAAATGGAAATGACTGTTGAAGAAGGAGAAAAAGAAGAAAAAGAAAAAAGAAGAAAAAAAAAAGAGAAGATGAAAAAAGACAAAGGTAGAAAGCACAAAAAACACAAACAAAAATAGCAAAAGTAGCATTTTTATCTCATACAAATAATCCCCAGAAAAATATCAGTTGCTCGTTGACTACAAACTAAAGTTTTCAATTATTTATGGCCTTTATAAATAATATCTAAGAATGGTACTCTAATGACATGATTCAGGTGTACAAGATCATTTATGAGCATGACAGACTCAACCCTGACCACTTCTTCCAACTAGCAGACACACCAACAAGAGGGCATAGTCTCAAGCTTTCAAAGCCGAGGTGTAGGACAAATGTAAGGAAGAACACATTTAGTCACAGAGTGATTGACGACTGGAACTCTCTGCCTGAAGTAGTAGTTCAGGCTCCCACCATAGACGCCTTCAAAACCAGGCTTGATCGTTGCAGGAAGGAACAGTGTCATATCTCTCAATACTCGAACTGATTTTTTCAATTTCTTTGCTCCTGGGACATTGTACATGGTACATTGTCCAGTCAAGATGCAACCTCTTGCCCCTCTGCCTCCCTTGCATATAATGAGAATTATTATTAAAGAGTATGAGTACAAGAAGATAGACCAAGAAGATAGACCTGGAAGCTCGACTGCTGTCTCAGCATTCTTCCAGTATTTGCGGTAAAGGTAAAGGTAAAGGTAATAACAAGAAGTGCAACAAAGCTATTACAGTAGTGTCACTGTCAACTTTGCCTATTTTGTATGTATTTTGACTTGAATTAGGCAAGAAAATACCATATTTACATGCTTTATTTGGATTATATTACAAACATTAATTAGTAGAAATATAATTGTGCTTAGAAATTTGAAATACAATACAAATTGAAAGATGCAATTTAAAAAAGTTCCATCAAATCAATGGGTGAAAATGATTAAGTGCACTTTTCATCTATTCACAAAATGAATCTTGATTCATCCTTCTATATTAATCACTCTCTATCTCACAGTCTTGATTCAATTTTAAGTTTCAATGAATCTCACCCTATTCAGCATCACATAGGACATGTCAGAGAGCTGAGAGCAGAATCAGAATCAGAACCATCTGCATTGCATCGCATCTCTGTCATGTCAAGACTCACTCAATTCACTCTCGTGGACAACAATGGCTGTATTTTATTTCTCAAATAATTCTCCACATTTGTCCAAACTAATATTCGAAAATAAGTTTATAATTCTACAAACGTACTCAGTAAGGCGTAGCTTATTTAGATTATATTTTCTATATTAAAATCAACGTTGGCTTGCCGAAGTCGATTTGATTATCGGATGAATAACATCTCATTGTTTCCTACGTGTGGGACTGCACATTATCGTTTTACAAATTTTACAACAAATCCATCATCAAATTTGTAACAATAAAAGACATCTTATGATGTTTAAAATTTATTATGACTTTTATAACTCATAGAAAATCACGATTACTCACCTGAGTGGTCATCGTGACCACTTATTATCCCCTTTTTCCTCTAATAAAATGGGAATTCCTAATGAATTTTGGAAAAACCTCAGAAATTCGCTGCGCCCATCTCTTCCAATGAAAAGTGGGACCGCGAAAAGTTGCGACAGTATTATCTGTATGTATATGTTTTGTGTGGAGCAATTTGCCGTATGAAGTAAACGCTACTCAAGGCCTACTATGGACAAAAAGGGGGAATGAAGGTATGAAAACAACAATAATGCACAAATAGCATTTCAAGGGACATATCACTGCCTGAACAACGTAAAAATTAAATAAATGGAGAAAAAATGATAAAGATGGTGATGATCAGGATGATGATGATAATAATAATGATAATAAAAATAATGAATAATAATAATAATATTAATAATAACGATAATAATATATTTCAAATTTTCATATGATTTTATTTCTCATGAATAACATAATACATTGAATAAGTATATCACAGCAAATATGCAATGAAACGACAAATATAAGTAGAAATAGCACGAGTCGAGGAACTAACTAGAAGCAGAGCTTGTAGGGCCTACAATATAACTTGAAAAAAAGTATACTTACAAAATAAATAAATAGAAAAAATATGTAGCAAAGAAATTATGGATTTAGGGGGGGGGGGGTGGATTAAAAGAGAGGAAAAATGAAGGAAAATAGGAGGCAAAAAGAAAGAAGGATACCAAAAAAAAAAAAAAAAGGGAAATGAATTATTGCAAAAGCTCTAGAAAAAGGAGGTGATCGGTAGAATGAGGGAGAAAGGGATTGATAATAATAATAATGATACTACTACTACTACTTATAATAATAATAATAATAATTATAATGACAATAATAACAATATAGCCTGCACGAGCAAAGAAATTAGATTGTAACATTTGGAGAGCAGCTGAATAATAATGGCAGTGAATAACGAAACAGCTCATTATCATTCATATTGAGTGAATTCAAAGTTAGATGATTATTATAATATTAGGGGGTCTACTCTTAATCACTGAGATACGAACCAACACATTCCACACCGCATACATCTGTAAACTAAGGAGAAAACATTCGATGTTTATTTGATCGAGCAAACGAATAGCCTAGATTCATATCGACGACAATATACCCAATTATACAGTTGAAAAAATAATTGTCCTACTTTCACGAAATTTGACAATTTCTTTCAAAAGGAAAGGACCACTTTTATTACCCGAATAAAAAACTCCAGTATATAGCAACAACAACAACAACCAAACAAAGTTTTAAAAAAGACAAAACAACAACCACGAACAAACTTTCAAAGACGCAGCTCCATATCAGAGAATAACAATTCAGCCAAAAGAGTCCTTTTGGTTTTATTTAGCCCCCAGAAATAGTTTCAGAACGGCTTGACAGGGCTATAGATTTCAGCCAGATAAAAGAAAATCAACTAAGAAAATAATGAAGAGATATAGCCAGCCGGATTAAAATAGTATGGCGAGAATATTACTGCCCCGGCACCCTCTCCCGCTTTTTTTTAGAAAGCCTGGAACCTCCATTGACGTTATCATCAAATAAGTTGCCGTCATTGGAAAGAGGAAAAGTCACTGTTTTAAGTTTTGAAAACAACAACAATAACATCTAAAGAAAGAAATAAACAAACAAAGTAAAAGCAAACGAATGAAAATCAACAAACTGAACGAACAAATATGCCTAAACAGAACAAATTAAACAAAACAGATACACATTTGATAAAAAGGGGCCCCAAACACACGATCCGAAAATCTTTAATTAGCGTAGATTCAGCATTTAATTTATTTGTGTCCCCATGCAAATTCTTGTTTTTTTGATATTTTAAATCAAAATAATTCTAAACACAGAGCTTAAATTATAATTATTTATGTAAATATCATAATTGACATGTTTATTTTTCCAACCCATCGCTTGTAAATTTGTGTCTGAATAACCCCAGCAACGTTTCAACCCAGATTACTTCTCAATCCATCCATGACCATCTGCTATAATAATTCGAGAGCCACCCCATCCGTATACATCCAACGCTGGAAGGATTTCGATATTTGTTTCCAAACCTGCATGGGGTTCGTGGCGGGGCGCCTTCATCCCAAACGCATCACCTGCTGCACCTACCCATTAATAATATTTTTAAATTGTATTTTATAAAGAAAACGAAACGAAACGAAACGGGGGTGAGTAAACACTCATTTTTTCATAACATCCCCCTTGAGAAAACAAACAAAATCAAGGTAAAATTAACGTAACAACCTTAAAAAAAACCCTCTTTTCCCCCCAATTTGTCAACACCTAAAACACAGATAAAGGTTGTCTTTAAAATTCTAAAACTCCCCCTGTTTGCCAAGGGGGGGGGGGGGGGTGTTTGAAAACCCAAAACACCCCCTCGATACACCAATGCCCCCTTCCCCTAAGTAAGAGAAAGAAATTGCACCTTAAACATAACACTGGAATAGGAAAATAAGGAAAGGGAAAGATAATAATATACACAACAAATTGTTATAAATTGGTTTTTAAGAGATTTTCATTGTGCTATCATATTCAACAGTATCCTCGCACGCCCTCTAGTTTGGACATCTGCTTTAGAACGGCTACGGTCTGCTTCTATATTTCAGGTCATATTCTAGCACTCGTTCAATAGCGTGATATTATTTAAAAACGGAGAGCGGGCCAAGTTCCCTCAAATTCTATCAAGAAACGCTTGACCTCTTTCCCAATCTTTTAAAGAGGTCAAACTCATCATGACAGAATGAAAAGACCTTTAATCTTTTGGAGAAATTAAATAAAAAAGTTGCTCTTCGTCACTTTAAATTATGGGCACATTATATGGAGAATGGCAATATGTGCACTATACTTATCAGAAGGGAAAAGGATATTTATTTGCAAAGAAAAGGGGCACCTGTCAAAATAATAAAGGCACATAATAAAGGTGAAAAGGGGAACTTCTCCCACCTGAAAAGGGACACTCACCAAAAATGAAGAAAAAAGGCATATCTGAGAATGAAAAAGGGGCATTTATTATAAAGGTTAGAGTAGTTTGTCGAGGGAAAAGGAAAAGAGACACTTATCAGAAGGGAAATGGCACTTGTCAGAAAGTAAAATGGCACCTCTCAAATTTGAATAGAGGCAGTTATCATAGGTGAAAAGGTGTACTTCTTGTTCCTGAAAAGGGGCGCTAATGGAAAAGGGACACAGGTTTTAATAGTTTAATATGTATTATTAGATGAGAAGGGGCACTTATGAGAAGGGGAAGGCTGGGCTCTTGTTAAAACTGAAATGGGGCACGTATCACAAAGAAAAGGGACACTAAGAAGGGGAAGTTAGGCGCTCTTCTTACAACGGTAAGGGGACACTTGTAAAAAAAAAAAGCCCCTAGATTTATATAGGGGCAATTATCAGAGGTAAAGGGACACCAATCAGAGGTGATAAGGGGCACTTAGAAGAATATGGAATGGGCACCTATTGGAAAGAAAAAGAGGCACTCATCTAAAGTAAAAGGTATGACCCCTGGGGTACTTGATCAGTTGCGGGGGGCACTGTGCAACCTGCCACCCCCACCGTTAGCCGCCTCTGTTCAACTTCACCTCTGAACTTCACTGTCTAAAAATGGGATTCATTTACCAAGGCACACCGGGGGATTTAGTGGGAGGGAGGGGCACATCTGACCCCAAATGGAATACGTTGTGTACATAATTATATACATGTACTGATTCCATAGATGTACACACCCTCAAAAGAATGACCCAACCGTTTCTTTTTTTTTTAAATATCGAAAAAGCAACTGAAGAGATTGTCTTCCCTCTCCGTTCCTTGACCCTCACCCTCCCTTCCTCCCTCCCTCCTCTTTTTGCGATAGTTCTATCCTAGATCGTTTGGTTCTGTTTTGCTCTATTATACTTTTTTTTCTCTCTCTCTCTCACTCTCTCTCTCTCTCTCTCTCTCTCTCTCTCTCTCCTCTCTTTTTCTTCCCCATCACCATTTCTCTTACGTATAAATATATTTCTTCCGGCCTTCTCAAATTTTCTCTGTTGTTGTTTTGTTTTGGTTTGCGCTTTCGCTCTCCATCCTTATGTGTATATCTTCCCATTTTCTCCTTTCAAGTATCTCTTTTGTTAATATTTCTCATGTGTAGTCGGTTTAGTTGTTAAGTATTTTTTATTCAAAGAAATTAAATCATTCAGGTATTATATTCTGTTTGGGGACCTTGCTCTAACAAGCCCAGCTTCTATAAGGTCTCCTCTTTCTTTCATGTACAGAACATGATCTTACATAAGTAACTTTTTTTATAGAATTTCTTTAGTTAAAGAGTTGTATGTTGAACGTTACTATTGCGCTTCAAAGTTATTTTTGTTATATTGATAATCTGCTGTTCCAGTTACTTTATTTGAAATTCTATGTACAAATGTTTGTGAAAGAAGAAATAAAATGAACTAAATAGGAACTAAATATATCCACCCTGGAATGGAGCTTGATTAGTCTTCAAACTCAAACTGTAATTCAACACTCGAACAATACGTCTTGAGTGAAGTCTAACCCAGTTTCCAGTGAAAATACGGAAGTAAATATTTTTTAATGTACGATTTGTCGATGTACACAGAGACTGAACATCTTGCGTATAATCATTACACAAAGCCGCGCTTCTAAGAGTTCGGTGTACTACGCAGAATATCAATACAGCGCCAGTTCAGAGCTCGAAATTTTCCCTCACACCCACCCGGCTAGCTAACGACGCTGCTTGCATTGCTGGATCTGAGGAAGATTAGAACAAAAGTGTGAAGTTTCAACATTGAAGTCTGTCCCAAGGCTAGGTGAGAATCGAAAAATATTCATTTCATTGATATTGTTGGAAACCGCTAATTGCCATCACTTTTGAACGAAGTTTAGAAATAAAATTTCAAGTAATAGTCATCGACTCAACCTGTCCAAAATATCACCCACACTCACTGACTCAGTCAGCTCAGGGCGACGGTTTATTGCCTTCATGGTTTTCGCTTTATCAAACAATCATAGACATTTAAAAATATATTTCCTTAATCCCAGGGTGTGCATACTTATTAAGTTAAGGAGTGGTTTTCTATTTTATGATGTAGCACTAGCAAAGCAAAGATATTTTACATCACTGAAGGAGGCGAGTTGGCTCAGTCGGTAAAGCGTCTGCCTGTCGAACCAAAGATCCCGGGTTCGACTCCCATCCAGGCGGATGACTGAAGTCTGCGTTGTGTGTTAACGTGCCCCTTCCCTTGTTCATAGACGCAGGTTATGTCAAGTGGAAAACACTCCGTCCCTCAGATAGGACGTTAAATGGAGAGTCACCACCATTGCACGTTAAGAACCCATTGCACTATTCGTATAAGAGAAGGGGGAAACCCCGGTGTAATGGTCCATCTGCACACCCCAATCAGGCCGAGTATACGGCATCTGCAAGAATCTTCAGTATTGAAGGAGGCAGATTATCTTGAAGAAGAAGAGAAGAAGATTGATTATCATGTTTGTTAATTAAAAAGTACTTGTGGTATATGAAGGGGTGACCAAGGTTCACTGACATTTTAGAACATATTACAAAATGTGATATTCGATCTTTGGTTTCTCATATTCTACACAAATTTATTTATTTCAATTATTACCAAATGGACGGCAAAGTTTTTGGCGCTAGTTCAGAAGTCTATCCAAAATTTGACCAGTAACTCCAGCGTGGAGACACCCTACTAAAGCATACCCATTACCCACAATGAAATAAATATTTGTCAAATGTCCAAATAAAGATCATGGTTTAAAAGTTGTTATGTTTCTTAGCTGTTTTGTGTCAATTTTTTTTTTTTTGTGAGTATTTTTCGGGAAAAAACTTTGATATTAGTATACACTTTTTCACAGGTTTCACAGCAAACTGCTGCACAATACAAGTGCATACCGATGGTGGGTTGCCGGCGAGCTCGCACCTGTGTGAAGTTATCTACCGTAATGTCTCAGATCCTCATTAAGCAAGAAGAAAAAAGAAAAAGAAACAGAAAAGAGAAGGAAGAAGAAGAAAAAAGAGACAAGAAAAAGGAACAGAAATTAAATAAAGCAGAATACATAGAACATGAAAAATAGGTGAAGATGTTTATAGAAGGAAGCTAAATGAAGGAAAAAAGAAACAACGAGAAGTAGAAATAAGAAGAAAAAAGAAGCATAAGAAATTCTAAGGAGAAATGGGATCCTTCACATTCGTGCACAATCTGTACCGATAAGCAATTATGTTTGTCCAACCTGTAGCAACAATGAACGTATGCAATTCACATTCTGACTATTGGAATTCATACAATCATTCATCACAGGTGAATTGAATCATCTGTAACATGGCACTTAACAAAAAATGTACTTTATTATGAAAATTGCCTATTTGAAGACTAGTACTTTTGTGTAAATAGTAATACATGTAGTTGACAGAGTACTTTTCAGCCAATGTCTTTGTTCCAAAGACAATAGGTGACATGTAATCCCCTCTAATCTGTTTAATATCTTTATTTTGACATGGTGTTACTATTATCAAACAAATCCAAGATTACACCAACTCTTGTGCTACATACATGTACAGGTAATTGTATCTGTAATCTTAGAAGTTGTATTGACATGGTTTTGTTCACAAATAGACACTATCATCTTTATTTGTGAGAAAGTGAGATGAAAAGTGCAGTGTTGTACAGCTTTGTCTTTTTTTGCACAGCTGCACAGGGGGTCTGGATTAAAATTGCTAATGTACTATGTTTGCGTAAGCCACTGAGCCTCCTGTGTTATAATTTTTTTTGGAGGGGGGGGGGGGGAGAGTTTGGAGTTCAAATACTAGGCCCATGTATTGAAGACACCTGTTTTAACTCCTACACGAAGTGTATTAAACTGTGGAGTGGACCAAACAGTATGGAGTTGTTCATACATATTTCTCATATACATGTACATGATACCATCACCAAAAAAGAAAATATTACATGTACCGTATGCCAAGTATTTTTTGCAAATACATGCACATTTAACACAAGAAAATGCTAACTTCATCTTTTCCTGAATTTGACTGACTGAATTACTTTGGTTACAGGGTCAAATCTTAGATAACCATATACCGGTATGTGAAAATGAGGTACGTTTTGTATTGATTTTATTGAAATATAACCCCAATAATAATATGTCATCATGCTTTTCCATAACTGCATGAATATAGTACCTTAACATCTTGGACCAAATAGTTGCCAAGAAATAAAAGCAAAACTAAAACCAAGTGAATGAAACCTGATTACAAAAGCAAAAACAAACAAACTAGTTGGAATATAAATGAATATTACATTTTTCTTAAATATGGATGTTTACATGTATATATAATGTAAAGTAAAAGTATTTTTCAATATGGACGAAGGCTTCAAGAAGCTCCTTTCCACTGTGCAGACAGTGCAGCTCCATTTCTCTGAATGGTTGAATTGAGATGTATTGAGGTGCCTGTGCTTGTACATGTAGGTCTACACTGGAGAGGCTTGGCTATCATTTCTTGAGTTGGGTTGTTCAAAGTCATTAGAACACAAGGCAAGAGCAGCTGGAAAGACAGGGTGAAGGGGAATGACACATATAATCTCTCTAGCTTAAAGAGGTAGTCTCTTTAATCAAGCCATGCTTATACAAATATTGAAGAAAAAAAATATTGACTCCCACATTTTTCCCCCTTATTTCTCATATATTTTTTAGTTCTACCACTTGTTTTTCCTGAGGGTTGCGCATTGTGCGGAGCTAATTCACTTTTTCTTCCACATTATCAATTTTAGTTTGGGTACTTCTTGATGATATTTAAAATGGTAGTTATATTAATTAATGATTTATAAAAAAATATATATATGATATGATATTTTTTATAATTTAAAAATACTTTTTAGTGTTAAAAGTGCTCTGTAAAGAGAGTAAAACAGAAAGAAAACAAAGGTGCTGAGGTGCTGAGAAAGAGAGAGAGAGAGATAAAGAAAGAAAGAAAGAAAGAAAGAAAGAAAGAAAGAAAGAAAGAAAGAAAGAAAGAAGAGAGACAGTGAGAGAGAGGAGAGAAAAAAAAAAGAGGAAAGGAAGAAAGAAAAAAATAAGTGAGATGAGACCTCCTTTAACCTGTAGAAACCATTTAGAGTTGGACCCCACCCAGTGCTGTAGATAGAGAAATCAGTTGACTCGTAGTAAGCTGATGTTATGAGTCATTAATGGGAACTCCCACACAACAACTACATACATGTACATTGTACAATAACAACAATCATTTCCATAACAAAAGTTTTCCAGTGAAGTGACCCTTAACGAGACCTCAATTTTTAGGAGGTAGGAAGAGGGGTACCCTCTCGTATTATGTTTTCCACTCTCGTCCAGCGTACAATTTTCTAACTCAGAAATTGTCTTGGTTGTGAGCAGTTTTTAATGTTGTTCTGACTTTGGCTTCTTGTTCTTCAAAAGTTTGCAAGTTTCTGGAACTGTATTATATGAATGCATTCACTTACAGTAAATCCATCGTTGCAGTCTGTGAACTTGTGAATAAATTGAAATACTGTGGCTTTAAACCTGACAATCAACACAAAATCATTACGTCAAAGTAAACTGGAAAGTTGGACTCTGGACCAGAACCTCTCTCACATATATTCATTCCATATTTACCCAGGATCGAGGCAACCCTTACCATCTAGTGAATGGGTCTGAAGTTCATTGTATCACTCTCTTTTGTTGATAGCACACCCTGGTTATTTTTGTCCTTGACAAGATACATGTAGACGTACATTGCTTGTCTGTTATGATACCAATGTTCTTATAAATTTAAGCAACCAGGAAGAAGGCATACTTATATATGTGACTGCATTGCTTAGCAGTGTTAGCACCCAGCCTTTATGGACTACACTGATACTAAGTCTGAGTAGTATATGAGGTTATTGAGCCATTGTGCGGGCCTTTGTCAGCTTGGGGTTGTAACTAATCTCTAAATCAGGGGGGTATAGAGCCGGATATAATGTTGTGATGGGCCAGTAGTAGTGTATACTTTGCCTATAATCACGGAGAGAGAGCGCTCAATTGGAAGTAAGGTCTGCAAGCAGGAAGTTAATCTTCAAACTTTTGTGTGTACAATGTGTGTGTACAGGACTCTGCAAAGGAGCTGCTAGCCTAGTGGCTCGTGGAAGTGATTATTGTACATCGAGGTGATTCAATTTGTATTACCATATTATTGTACCAGACTGGATATATCTACAAATTCCCCCATTGATCAACACTGCTTTCATTTTCCAGCTTAATTTTGAAGGTATGTGACAGTATGTGGATAGGTCTACAACAAAAGAAAATATAAAATTGTACAGATTGTCGAAAGTAAGGGTTGGATAGTTTTGAAGCCTATTGTTTGGTGTGCATTGTCCGGATTATTTTGGGAGTCTGGATAGTATGCCAAGGTTTCAGTTTAGGTTGCGTTGTATTTTTAGTTGTTTTGTTCTGAATGCATGCACTGCAATATTAGTTATGTATGTTCTGATGTTTATGTACATGTAATGTACAAATACTTTTATCAACATGTCTTTGTACATTTGTAGATAAAGTATCATGTACACTTTAAACATTCTCATATTTATATAATATATTCTTACAAATGAGAAAAATTATCAATAACAGCATTATTGATATTGATAGGTTAAATACATGTACTGTGAAAGTAAGGCCTATTTAGGCTGCAACAGTAAAAAAAAAAAAAAAAAAAAAAATTATAAAAAAAATTAAATTTGCTAATTTGCATAGACACTCAACAACATTGTTCTTTTAACTTAATTTGGTTTTTAGTCATTATTTTCTTGATTTTGTTGATCTTGTTTATAATTCATGTCTAATTTAGATTTGCATTGCATTATTTCACTCTTGTTCTTTTGCAGGTTGAAGTGAGCATAAGGAGTATACAGCTCTCTCTCACTTCCCGATCATTGTAGTCTGAAGAATGGCAGACTGAGAATGAGAGAGACAAGTTGATAAGAACCTTGGAATATATTTTGGACAGGAATACTTTCATCATATACAGGACGTAAAGAGACCAAGATGGTAAGACATTTTAACGTAATTAGACATGTATACAAACTATTTAATGCCAGTGTTTAATTACAGCTTTCAATTACTTTTCAACCTACTGATATTCATTAGTTTCCAGAAACATTATTTTAAGTGAAATTGAAATAATGTCAGAACGAGGTACATGTTTGATACATCTATATGTATCATACACAATGTACATGTTTTGTATGTAGGGCTAGAATTTTAGATTGTAATATGTCCCTTACTCCAAACAACTTTAATTGTGAAAAAACTTCAAGACCTAAATACTATTATTGGCTTGAAAGTATGGACATACAGTTACAGTTTATGTACAATTATTCTAAAGGCTAGATAAATAAGAATACCGGTAGGTATTTAAATTTTGTCTTCCAGTATTATTATGTGAATGTACTTTTGCTAGAAATCACCACAAGTTTTTTTCGTGGTGGTATGAATCACAAACACAGGAACACATTTCTGGCATCTCAATCAAAATGGTCCTCCTGTAAAACTACTGTTTAACCAATGTTAACCACGGAAATATGGTGTATGGATACAGACAGGCCTGTCATCTGCTGACAGGGCCGGGGAGTTGATTTGGATGGCTCTCTTTATTTGGACATCATCGTACAGTTCTCTTACTAATCAATGGAATTAGTGCCAAATATAGCCATCAAATACCCAAACCCATGGGGGACACATACACTGAAACTACCATGAGTCATTTTAAGAATTGATGTGACAGTCATGCATGCACTCTGTATTGTGTGGGTTTAGGAAATGTGCATTTTGATATTGGTTTATGAGAATGTTACTTTAAAAAACCTTTGTTGGCCTCTATATCAATGTTCACATACAGACATTTTTACATAAACACATATACATGTAGAGGTAATTGTGGCAGTTTTCACTTGTAAAATTGTAGAGTCAATTGGCTTGATGTGTTGTAGAAATCAATCGAGGTGGGGGGGGGGGGGGGGGGGTAAACTTCTTTGACTTTTTAAAGTCATTTCCCTTGAGGTAGCACCACTTGTGTGATACTATACCAAATCAAAATATGCTTGGCTGTCTCGTGTAATTAAGAAGTTAGATCTATATTTTTAACTATGAAATAAAATTGATAAATAAAATTGACTCTGAAAACAAATCGTTGTTAAATAACAATGAAATGCATGATAAGCAATATCAGAGCTTCTTGTTTTACTGCACATAGAACTATAAACTAGTTTTGGGAACATTAATGATTAGAAATAACTTGTGATGCATTTTTACTTTGCTCTTGACAGGCCTACCACTGGCAGAGTCAGGGTCGCAAGACCAGTGGAGTGGAGGACATGGTTCTACTCAGCAAGATTCAAGAGGGCGCTATAGTGGAGAACCTGAAGAAACGCTTCATGGATGACTTGATCTATGTATCCTTTCTGTTAATAGTATTAATACTTGTAATTTAGTCTTATTTACCCAGAGTAGCCACATCAGTACCTTTACTGCTGTTCATGCAGGCCCTAGCTGTGATTATTATTACCCCAGGCATTGCCAGGTACCCATTTACACCTGGGTGGAGAGGGACAAATGTGGGTAAAATGCCTTGTCAAATGAGTACTGAGCAAGGATTGAACCCGAAACATCTCGTATGAAGTCGAGATCTTTCGCCAATATATGTGTACCATGGTGGTGCTCCCACAAATTAGTTCGTTATTTACATGTAGATATCACATTGTAAGATTGGGATGTACATTTAATACTTGTCTAATATACTGGGCGACCTTATCCCTATAACACTTTCCCTAACACTACTTATACTTGCCCAGGTTCCCAAAATTTTGGCCAGTAGGATTTACTTCTGCTTGCCTATGGTACACTTTTTATGGCTATTTTATGTTGGCTTGTGCATTGTATTTGTCTAAATTGTTAGTATGAGCCTACATAAAACATTTACTTTAATCATTTGAGATTGGGAATGTATACCCTTTCTTATGACAGAAAACAAGGAAGTGCAAAGACTATTACGTCTTCTAACTTTTGAGAGATGTAGGCATATATCATTTTGAGGAAGTTATATACATTTTAATCCTATGAAGGGAGGGTAAATAGTAATCGTGTTATGAAAGCAAAGAGTGTTGAACCAATACATGGTCTTGACTTCAGAACATATAGGCACAGTGCCATGTACTTTGATCATTATTGCCAACAATCAAAACAGCTGTGTTTATGCCATTTGACTTTAACCGCACATGTAGGTAACATTAGTGATGACTGTGGAAACGGAAATGATAGTTATTTCAATGACCCTCACTACTGCTACAATGACCCTCACTACTGCTACATCATGAAAGATGGATTTTTCTTTTTCCTTTTGATTATGTACATGTACATGTATACTATAGAGGCACTATATCTCCAACTCTACTAGTAATTTCTTATAATCGTAAAGATTTTGTGAGGATGCAGGTAGTTCAAAATGTACCAAATGTTAATTTGAACAGGCAATGTTATTTTGAACAGGCAACAAGACATTTGATATATTTATGAAAAAAAGTGATCAATCAAAATCATTGTATTCTCATTTTATGTATAAAAATGAATCAATTCCGAGGTAATTGACCTCTTCCTATATTTAATCGCTAATCCCGAAAGACATAAAGGGTGGCCAATTTTCTGTTATCACATAGAACTGTACATGTAGGTGTTCTTTCAAAGGTTTGGGCTTCAAATCCTGATGATTGTTGATAAAATTAGTCTTGACTGTTCACCTGGTGAGCTACAGGTTAGAGAGTTTATCCAGGAAGCTGCCCGGCCTACTGATAATGATAGTCCCACTAAGTCCTATTTATGTGACTTCCACTTCCTGCTGGGCTGGGGGCATATCTTGTTTTTACATCACACACACTTTCTTTTGGTGCTATGTTTTTTACCGAGATATCATTGTATATACAGTCAAACCTGCTTTAGTGACCACCTGTCTACAAAGACCATATTTCTTGTTTCCCTTGAAAATGGTTTCTCATTGAAACATGCACTGAAGGAACCTGTCTACAAAGACCACTTTTTGTGTTTCCCGTGGGCGGTCACTATAGACAGGTTTGACTGTTATAGTTTTTACCTGGATAATAAGAGGGTACACATTGATGATGCAATTTGACCAGTGCCTGCAGTGTTTTCTTCTTGATGTTAATGTTTGCAATGTCACATGGAAAAGTGATCTATCCATACAAGAAACATCTTATAGTTCATGTGCACAAGAAAAGGAATATTGTGTAAAAAAAAATAAAAGGGAAGGGAAATATGAGACACTTCCAATATATCTAGATGAATTAAATTTGAATTTAATAAAGAGTATAAAATTAAGAAGATTGAGAAGAAAAATATGCAATAATTGACTCATGGGTCAACAGCCTTTACCATTAGCCCATTGGATTTATGATTTTATGTCTACTTAATATATGATGCCTAGTTGATATCAAAATACTGTTGTATTTGACTTTGAATTTGTTAGTTAAGTGAAAAAATTTATAGTGTCCCATTAGGGCTACATGTATACCGTTTAACATAATGTGACTCATAATGTACACACCGAAAGAAGAAAAATGACAAAGTAATGGCTAATGTGCAGGAAATGTGTAATATATATTCCTTAAGTATTGAAGTAGTAATCATAAGTACAAACTGTACAGCAAGTTAATGATATATTGTGCAAGTCATTATCAAGTGCATGAATATAAATGATGTATTTCAATTAATTGTTTCTGTCTGTCTGTCTGTTTGTCATAACCGGTGTGTTGGCTCAGTCAGTAGAGCATCCGCCTCACAACCGGGAGGTCGTGGGTTCGATCCCCGGCCGCGTCATACCAAAAGACATTAAAAGATGGGAGTTGCTGCTACCTTGTTTGGCGTTCAACAATAAGGGATAGAGCAACGTCGATCTGGCGCTGCTCAGTGGCTGCTGGGCTCACGATCAATTGGGCAAAAAGAATTTTCATTTCGGTTTAATAAAATTTGGAGTGGACTAAAAGATTATTATTATTATTATTATTATTATTATCTGTTGCCAATTTGACTCCTTAACCCTCCTGCCTCCCTCCAGACATACATCGGCCCTGTGCTGATATCCATCAATCCATTCAAACAGATGCCATACTTCACAGAGAAGGAGGTTGATATGTACCAAGGAGCTGTAAGTTCACTTCAACATAATATTTTGTATTAAACAACTTTAAATCATGTAACTCATTGTATGCAGTTTGAGATTGGTACATGGGCTAGTCCTAGCTACATGTATTTTGTCGTAAATGTTACTGACCACATTTTAAGTTTGAAGTATATTTGATGATTCTATTAATTTCCTAGCCCAACTAGATCTAGGATGAAGCTAAGTTTATGTTTATTAAAATATCATGATATGATGTACTTGGTTCCATGCAGGACACCAAACAAGGGAAGAAAGCGGAAACAAATTAACAAGATATTTTGATCATCATATTTCTATTATGCCAATTAACCTTTTGAACATAGAGGAAAATGAGAAACAAAAGATATACCTTTACAATGAGATTAGCAAATTTATGTCCTGAAACTGAAATTGATAATAAGTAAAGAAAGCAGAAACAAATGAACAAGGTTATTGTGATCATTACCTCTCTATGATGCCAATAAACCTTTGATAATACAGGAAACAGGATGGGAAACAAAAGATTAACATTTACCTTTACAATGAGTTCAGTCTCGAAACTGAAACAAAATTGTGTTCATAATTTATCAATTTGTAACTAAAGGAGTTCCCAATACTCTATGATGTAAAATTTTGACAAGTATGAAAATGGCAAATGCATTATTATTATTCTAGAGTAGTATCCAAGACAACCAATGTTTGCTTAAAAGGTTAATGTGAATTCATGCCAAAACCTACTCTTTGTGAATGTCTGTGGTGTAGCCACCAATTCGACATCAATACTTGTGGTTTTAGTATCTATTTACAGGTGGGAAATACTAAAGAAAAAAGAATGATGAGTTCATACTATATGATTTGAGTACCATAGCACACTGTCAAAGGCTATTGTGCGGTTAGGACGCGATACTGAATACCTTAACAATTTGGAGACTGACAGTTTTTGTTCATCAGGTTTTTATGTGGTATAAAGAGAATATTTGTAACCATGCCAAAAGGGTTCTCTTAATCGTTTAGTATTATTGTTATTATTGTTTTAGTTTCTGCTGTCTTATCAAGCCAATTTAACAAATCAATATATTAATACATCCCTTTGTACTTCTCTATCTTTAAATTAAAGTGTAGTATTTTTCAATAAATGTGAAAAGGTAAAAGGAATATAGAATTATAAATCGCTTAGCCTACTGTATATCTTGAGAAGAGATATTAAAGGGCAAAATATAAATTTCTTTCATATTCTGTATATTCTGTTATGTAAGACCATCTTGTTTTACTAGTCTAATAGAACACCAAAGTCTGAATTGTTCATCAAGATAATAAAAGAAAATTAAAGTTGCTCAGAAGGAGCCTACCAGACAAGTGCACATGTAGTCTATTTCAATGAGGAAATATCTTTTTATGAATTGAATACACCCTTTTAAATTATGTTTGTCCCCAGAAATGAAATTAGGATTTTTTTCCTTCTCAATGTCATATCCAAAGAAGGTTTTATTTGATTGTTAAAAATGTGGGTATAGTACATTAACATTTGAATGTGAGGGTTTGTTCAGTTATGGCGTGGTAAAACACCACAGAAAAAACGCCATATTGTTTTTTAGTGTAAATGAATAGCAGCTGTGCACAACAAAGGACTTGCATTTATTAAAGGAAACCAAAACCTTCATACTAAGTTACTTTTATTGTAAAGTTTAAGATATTTGAAAAATATCAGTGAAAATTTGAACAAAATCGGGCAAGGAATAAGGAAGTAAGAGCGTTTTGAAATGACTAGTCACTAGAGGGCGGTATTCAATTTGATGACATCATCTGTGGACAACTCTCCATGCCTTTTGTACATCAAATTTCATGTTTTTCCTTCTTTCTTGTGATTGAGATAATGTACTCCCCTGAAAGCAAGATATAGAATGCAAAATGATATTCTACTTCACATGGTATGAATTCGGATCAAGAACACAAATAAATACGAAGAAAAAAAAAAAATGTGAAATTTTATGTACAAAAGGCATGGAGATCGAGTTGTTCACAGATGATGTCATCAAATGGAATACTGCCCTCTAGTGACTAGTCATTTCAAAATGCTCTAACTTTCTTATTCCTTGCCCGATTTTGTTCAAATTTTCACTGATTTTATTCAAATCTTTTAAACTTTACAATAAAAATAACTTAGTATGAAGGTTTTGGTTTCCTTTAACTGAGCTCTGGGTAAGATGTAGAAGTGTGAAGCATGTTACACTAAACATCATCATTACAAAAAAGTGGTGGTTTTGCTGTCATATCTGAACAAAGCCCTTACTTAAATTCCTTTTTTCCTTCATTTTACACAGGCCATATATGAGAACCCCCCTCATGTGTACGCCCTTACAGATGACATGTACAGAAACATGTTGATAGAATACGAGAACCAATGCGTAATCATCAGGTAAATATGTGATGCACTATTTTAAAAAGAATTTCCACATGTATTTTATGATTATTATCAGTTTTTTTACAAGAAATACATATTTATCATTTTCATTTGAATTTCAATGGTTCGTCAATCTACCATTTTACACCTACATGTATGAGCTATACTCTGTCTTGAGTCTTTTCCCTTTTTTCTGTACATGCATGTACTTTTCTCTAATTTCTTCTCCTCCTCTCCATGTCTCACTGGTCTTTCTATCTTTGTTTTCCCTTTTTGTTGTTTTTTGTTGCCATCTGTGCTTCTTCCTTCTTGTTCATGCTCTCTCCCTCTATCATTTTCCTGTTTTGTTTGTCCGTCTGTGTCTTTGTCACAATTTAAATAATTTTCCATGTTTTAGGGTCTGTTTTTATAGCCTAAGCCAGGACAGTCTTTGTTATGTTAATTAGTTATCCCTTTTTGAGGTGCTCTGTAGCCCTAGTTCTTTTCTTACTGCAATGCTAGGCATGCACCCAGGTGCTAAATTCTTTTAAATTCTGGGCTCGGCTGGTTCAGTCATACAGTTTTGGAATCAGTCTGCAGCCAGCTCTCACACTGAGAGGACCTTTGTTTCATGAGCTGGGGTAGCTCCGGGTAGCCACACCCGTTGTCCCTTTAGGTGTCAGCAAGTTTTGCTAGCAACGGCTGGTTTTTCCAAGTTTTCCAACTTTCTATAAGACTGTTTCATCAGGTTCCCATATAGAGTTACAATTATTGGAATTCCATGGAGAGAGTACCATTAGTCACTGTCTCGTTTTCGTGCGTATTAGCAGCAGTCTCGCTTTTCCTTCCCGCTTCGTCTCCTCATCTCCACCGTCCCAACGTGTGATGTACGGTCCAGTGCAGTTGTCTGTGATGTTGCGTAGCCACTTACGAAGAGACAGTCATAAGTGATTTCAACTTGGCTCTACGGTCTTCGTCTACAGTATCCTTACCATGAAATCTCTCTAGTTATATAAAATAAAGTTTCTTACACTTTATTTTACCTAATATTTTTGGAGACATTTGTGGGTGGTCAAACAGCCTGTTTAGACTAATAAGTCATCATGTGTAAATTTATTCCTTAATTCATTTTGGTGAGAAAACACACGTACATCATGACAAGTCTTTCTCTACTTCTTTCCGTCTATGCTTGTCTGTCTCTCTGCCTTTCTCTCCCCACCCCCTCTCGCTCATTCTCTCTCCCAATGCTTTGCTTTTCATTTTCTTTGAGTCTGTCTGAGCCTGCTTCTTCTTTTCTCTCTTGTCATCTATCTTAATGATGCTCCACTGCAAATGTGCATAAATGTACATTTCTGATAGTTTGATGGCATTGCTGTTACTGCTTGGAAATATTCTTTCCCTCAAAGTCAGTGTCAAAGATATACCTGATTTGAATGCAGATTTGAATGCAGAATGTAAATCTATCCCCATTTTAGCTTCTTTTCCGTGGAATCTCATCTCGATTCACCTACTGTTGCTGGTAGCGATATGATACCTTTAAGGTCATGATATGAACAATTTCTAGGCTTGAAATGAACAAAGGTATATGTAGCATTACAGGATGCATGCATTGTAAAGCTTTTCTATTTTTCACCTTGATACCCCTATGGAGGTTTTGCCATCATCAATATTAGATGGGCATTCTTTGTTGATGTTTTGTATTGACTAGACTTAAACAAGGTACCTTGAGTTACCTTTTTAAAAACATTCTATTGAAAGTTGTTTTTTTGAAATTATGGAAAAATCCCTTTCCATGGATTGACCACAAAGATAAGGAAGTGAGTATAGTTCAAAACAAGATTACAAGATACAAAGGAACTGAGGTTTCATGGAAAGTTATGTGATCATTGATCAATCTTGCAAGATATAGAAGAGTTGAGGGTTTTTCCAATACCTAAGTTTATAATAGTAATAAATATAGAAAAGAAATGAGTGTCTTTCAGTTCAAGATTACAAGATACAAAGGAAAGGAGGTTTCATGGAAAGTTATATGATCATTGATCAATCTTGTAAGATATAAAAGAGTTGAGGGTTTTTCCAATACCTAAGTTCATAATAGTAATAAATATAGAAAAGAAATGAAAATGAAACCTTGATAGGTCACAAAGGTCATATTCTATTAAAGTTTTTCTTTATTTATTTTGGAACAGAAAGAGGAAACGGGATAAATTAATTCACCGCAAGTGTTTATGAATTATACATGCATGAATGTGAGAATGCAAGCTCACTTTCATGTTACAATAAATTATACTGCTGCTTGAGATCTCAACGATCCTTTTGTTTAATAAATAGAATAAGGGTCAAGAAAAATTCTGTTGTCAGTTGAACAAGTTAGCCTCAACACAATTAAAAGAAAATCCTAGGAAATTATGAAGGAATCCTGCCATGAGATTGTTGTATGATTGTAAAATACTTTCAAATATTCAATCAAAGTTACTTGACTTTTTTTAAAATTTCAAATGCAAATCATAGTTTGTGAAGGGGGGGGGGGGGTTGTTTGGGGGGGTGGTTTAGGGAAGGGATGCTTTTAAAAAGAAAGACGGGTGGGGGAGAGAAAAATAATAAAGATAAGGAAACTCCATCCATGTAGATGGGCCCTTAAAGTCTGCTTCCTATGGATATTAAAGATAAAGTTGTAGAGACACGAGCGAAAAAAAGGGGGGGGGGGGTCTTTTCTCGTCTCATAAAAGCCAGGCTATTTTACGCTAGATGAATGGAAAGAACAAGGAATAGATAACAGAATCTACAGCATAGCAACCAGCGTTATATGTCTTCTACATGCAAATACTGCAGTTTGCCTATATCCGAGCATTGCACTGATAAACGCACCTTTAGCAGCCCTTTTGTATAACTTTTACAATCTTGTCACACTTAGGTATATATTTAAAGTGGTTGCTTGGCTACTACTGCCAATTAAGATTGTTCACTGTAGTTTCAGATATGCATACCTTATAGTTGTAATGAGTTTACTTGGGATAAATATTGATAAAGAGCCTAACCCTTTGTCACAGAGTAGACAGCTATACAGTGCGTCCTAGAAAAAACGAAACCGAGAAGTATCGATGTTCTATCATAACTTAATCACAACTATAATTAATGAATGATACATATTTGGAAAGCTTAGAGTCTCCTCTTTCATGTGATGCTACTCAGATAATGCATATTTCACGCATGAGCGATTAAAAGCAATTTGAAGGAAGGAAACCAAAAAGACATTTGGCGGGCGGTATCTGAATTTCGAAGAAAAATTCACATTTCTAGAAAGTTGAGTTTCTGCCCTTTCATATGACACCTCAATCAGGAAAAATGAGCGAGGAATAACAAAGTTCTGTTTGTTTAAAGTAGTGCTTGCATTTCCATAATTTGATTAAACGAATTCGATTTCACTGGCTGCCTGCCGTATCAATAAACAAAATTAACAAAAGACTTAACTCCGTTTCGTTGACAATCAGCCGTAGACCAGAGTCTTCATGCATGGCTGATTGTCAACGAAACGGAGTTAAGTCTTTTGTCAAATCTGCTTTTTGCTACGGCAGGCACCCAGTGAAAACGAATTCGTTTGTTAAAATTATGAAAAATGTAAGGGCTACTTTAAACAAAACAGAACTTTGTTATTCCTAGCTCATTTTTCTTGATTGAGGTATCATATGAAAGAGCAGAAAATGAACTTTCTAGAAATATGAATTTTTCTTTGAAATTCAGATACCGCCCGCCAAATTATTTTTTTGTTTCCTTCCTTCAAATTGCTTTTAATCACTCATGCGTGAAACATGCATCACGTGAGTAGCATCGACTGAAAGAGGAGACTCTAAGCTTTCCAAATATGTATCATCTATTAATTATGGTTGTGATTAAGTTATGATAAAACATCGATACTTCTCGGTTTCGTTTTTTCTGGGACGCACTGTATTGTTATTTTGATATATTTGATTATATAGGTGGTAATAAAGTTAATCATGAGCTCTTGTATGGGCAACGTATGTCAAGATAATATTCATTCTGGATTGTTCATCTTGCAGTAGAAATCATCTTCAATAAAAACCACAACTCTAATTTGCACATAGTGACCTGTGTTAAGCAGATGGTATTGGGCCTACCTGCCTCGATTTCCTCTTCTTTCTACATGTATGCTCATAAATCAGCCCCTATACATTTTCTACCCAAATCGTTCGAAACATGTCATTTATTTGTAATCTTGAACATTCAGTGTAGTTTTGTTGGATTCTGTGAGAATTTCTTTTCAATCATTACCAGAACTCAAGCTTATCTTTAAATCAATATAGTTTATAATGTGATATTAATAAACGTAGCATAATGTGTACTCTTTGATTATATTGGGGGGGGGGGTGTATAATATACAGCAAGATACAAAAGACTCTATCTGAAAAGAAAGTTAAATAGATAATCATCCTTTACTCATGATAAAGACTTTAGCATGAAGGTTTTGTTTTCATTTTCCCCTGATAGCTAGTTTCATCAGTTTTTATCTCTTTTGATGTGTTAATTTATGTCACAAAAGGATACAAGTGTAGCCTTCCGAGTATTTTATATTCATTTAGCCTTTATATGTAGAAACATATACCCATAAAAGTTAATTTGTGTAAATACCGTATTTTAAAACTACTTTTAGGATAATATTGAAATTAGTTGACTCTATTATCTTAGATGTTGACTCAGTGCAATGTGTAAATTAAAATCAGGTTTAATATTAACTTTTAATCATGCAATACATATTTGACAGCCATCAGCATCATTTCCCCTCTCTCTCTCTCTCTCTCTCTCTCTCTCCCACTCTTTTCCTCTTTTCCTCTTTCTTACCCTTCTCTCCTCTCTCTTACACTTCTCCTTTTCTGTCTAGACCTTGTTTCAACAGTTTTTTTGTATTTGTATTAGTTAATTGGTAAGTGATACTTGTGTATTAAGATTAGACGTTTATTAATATAAGTGTGGTATTAATGAAGGAAACATGACATGGCTCAAAATCTAGGTCTGGACCCCAAAATTTCAGAATTTCTACCTACATGTAAGGCTCAATACATACACTAAAAAATTTAGTCCGGACCTTTAACAAGAAAAAAAAAAGGTCCCTGAATGTGGTTTTAATTATATGAAAAGAATGTGGTTTTAATTGAATGAATACTTTGTACACAAGGCCACCTATGGCCTTTATGAGATCCACGTTCATGTACGTGTTAATTGGGTCAATAAATTTTCAATGGAGCAAATCTGTGACTAATTTAATTAATGATTCATGAAATTAGGTTTGTTGTAAACAGTAAACAAGTCACCATAGGAATATAGATGTCTGTCTGGCACAACATCTGATGCTAAGCTTACTGTCATACTATATATTTTATCAATATTACACTGTATAAACCATGAATCTGTACAGTAATACACATGATGGATTTGTTGGTTCATGATAACGCGGACAATCTTAATGTAATGCCATTATGTAGGGATTTGTATTTTATCTATAAGTGCAATGAAATACAAATTAGTAGGGATGTAGAAATCATAGGAATTTATTTGAAAGGAAGCCGGATCATCTTATGTAAATCAGTTATTCATATGAAATTATATATTCCCTGTAGTGTATTTTCATGTCTTGAATCTTATTAATTTCATAACCATCCTTCATGTGTGTATTAAAAGCAAAGTTATATGGTAGAAATATAAGGTAGCTTTAATAGCAAAATGTATTGGCACGACAAGATGTGTCCCTAATGCAGAAGGTGTAATACATATAGTTGGTCGTTTTTAGTCTATTCAACATTATCATGGCATTTCTGCCATTACACTTGTCAGCTTACAAGGCACATTCCTCACTTGAATAACTTTTTATTCGTTTAAAATAAATATCCCAAACTAACTAAAATGTTTTTAACTTTGCTGTCTAGTGGAGAGAGTGGAGCTGGAAAGACCGTCGCAGCCAAGTATATCATGGCGTACATCGCCAAGGTTTCCGGGGGAGGAGCTACTGTTCAGCACGTCAAAGAAGTCATTATCCAATCAAATCCGCTCTTAGAAGCCTTCGGTAACGCCAAGACAGTGAGGAACAACAACTCGAGTAGATTTGTGAGTATTGACTTTTTCTTTAACAACATGGCCTCAAATTGAAAAATTCTGTAATTGTATGTACATGTCAAACCTGCTTTAGTGACCACCTGTCTACAAAGACCACATTTTTTGTTTCCCTTGAAAATGGTGTCTCATTGAAATATGTACTTAGGAACCTGGACATAAAGACCACCTGCCTATGAAGACCACTTTTCTTGTCTCGCTTGGGTTGTCTTTATAGACAGGTTTCACTCTACATGTAAGGAATTTATTATTAGCTAAGATGTTAGCTGTTCAGAAACAAAAATTCATTTCATTTATGTGAAAGTATGAGAGTAAATGTCAATATGGCTCTTAGCGATGATTTATTTCTTTTGAAGTGTCCCTTGCAACATTATCTCTTCTTGATCTGTACTATTCCATGAAAGAGAAACAGTTTTTTAATAGCCATTGTCATGAGTGTTTTGAATCTTATTTTCATGATCCTATGTACATGTACATTGTACATGCATTGTGTTGAAAAAATTGCTTTAAAAAAATTAGTCCCTTAAATCAGAAAATCCTCTCCTTCCCCCAAAGAAATGAGCCTTATTCCTCACTTCTGTCATTATTATGTGATACGTCATTAACATACATTTTCTAGATTAATTGTATATATCCTAGACTCTTCGTCTGTGATTCCCTGACTCTATAATTATAGAAAAATGCATAGTATCCATTATATACCTCACTTAAGTAATCCAGCAATCTGATTGGTCGAAATTGCATTCATAAACTTTAACTGTTCCCGAAAATTCCCGGTAACCATGATTAAAAAACAGTTCAAAATCCCAATAACCATGGTTATTGGGAAAATAGGTCAGTCTCCATGGTTACCCCATAGGTTTACATGTTAAAAAATGGTCTGAGCGATCGAGGATACCGTACGTGTGCGAATAATTGGTCGGTAATTTCAATACAATTGAATCTCGATCGATCTTACCGACAATTTTATCTTGCGTGGTTGACATGAAGACGAAAATAAACTTCCAAAAACAAAAAAAACAACATCTGCCGATAGATCTTGATCTAAGTTCGTGCCAATATACATTGCAAAAGTAAAAGAAGGGCCCGTTTAATGGAGCAGCGGCGAAGCATCGACCACGCGAAGCCGTTTTCAATTCATTTTAATGTATATATTAAAGAAAACTACTGTATAAGGTGACAGAGCGCGCTGGCCGAGCGGATTAAGGCGCTGGTTGTAGTTACATCACCTTTTGTACGCAAGAGATCGAATCCCATCTTCGACAAAGTTTTTTTTTCTTTTTTTCTTTTTTTCTTTTTTTTTGGCATATAAAAGTATTAATGACTGCTTTAATATTCGAGAAATAGTTGTTTTTATACGCTCAAGGGAAGGTTAGAATTGTGCTATTACCCGAGGCGTGCCGAGGGGAATAGCCCAATTGTAATCTCAAAGCAGTCATTAATACTATAATGAAACCAAATTGACATCTATTGATAGCATTAAAAAGATGATCAGACCTATACGTGTCAACATATAATATACTTGTACATTATTTATAGCACTTCACATAATTATAGCTGTGAAGAGGGTGTAAAAAGATAATGATACAATAAAAACTGTTCGTTCGTGTCTCCTTAGATCAAGATTAATGTATCTTGATCTTCGGAGTAGTTGCTACAACCGGCCGTGTCAGACACGTTGCCCCGGGGTGCGAAATAGGACTCTTGTAGCGTGCCCCCACTTAACACAATTATACAATAACAATTATTATATACCTCACTTAAGAAATCCAGCCATCTGATTGGTCGAATTGCATTCATAAACTTCAACTGTTCCTGTAAAATTCCCGGTAACCATGCATAAAACATTTAATATTTTTAATAACCATGGTTATTAAAAAAATAGGTCAGCCTCCATGGTTACCCCATAGGTTTACATGTTAAAAAATGGTTTGAGCGATCGAGGATACCGTATGTGTGCGAAGGATTGGTCGGTAATTTCAATACAATTGAATCTCGATCGATCTTACCGACAATTTTATCTTGCATTGTTGACATGAAGACGAAAATAAACTTCCAAAAACAAAAAAACAACATCTGCCGATAGATCTTGATCTAAGTTCGTGCCAATATGCATTGCAAAAGTAAAAGAAGGGTGCTTTTGCGAAGCATTCATCACGCCGAAGCCGGTTTCAATCCATTTTAATGTATATATTGTACAAAACTGCCAAGCATGTGAATAGCGCGCGATGGCCGAGTGGTGTAAGGCGTTGGTGTAAGATTCATCACTCATTGTACGCAAGGGTTCGACTCTCACCTTCGACAAAAAAAAAAAATGTTTTTTATTTTTTATTTTTTAGTCTATTTTTTTTCGGCATATAAAAGTATTAATGACTGCTTTAATATTCGAGAAATAGTTGTTTTCATACGCTCTCGGGAAGGTTACAATTGGGCTATTCCCCTCGGCAAGCCTCGGGGAATAGCACGATTCTAACCTTCCCTTGAGCGTAATAAAACAACTATTTCTCTCAAAGCAGTCATTAATACTATAACATTACATTTAATTAAAAGAATGAAGCGATTAATTTTACACTCATGCTACAGGGAAAATATATATTATAGATTATATATATTATGAATCAATTGATTTGGTCGATCCAGGTTGACGGCACAAACACACTAGACAGAGATCCTAATACTTACAGAGCTTGGTCTTGTTGCTCTGTTCGCCAGCAGTTTAAGGATATGGAATCCCGCAGCACATTACTCACAAGAGTTCTAACAAGCCAAAGTTATACAGAAAAAATAACATGAATGGTGATAAAAAGAGACAATAAATATATTCTCTGGCTGGCAACTTTCAAATTCCTGGGGCCTAAAGGGTACCAATCACCTATAAAATATGATTTGTGGACAGCTATAGAATGTATAAAAATCAACCTCAAAAAAGCTTTATTGGTTTTCTATGGAATAATGGATAAGGAGTATGACAAAAAATGGCGTACACAAAACCAAATTCTGACTTGGGTTCTGCGATGGATGTTCTGCGTTGAGTAGTCTTCTCACTTGTCGCTTTTATGTTTAAGAGAGAATGTAGTTATTTACACTTGCAAAGTTTCTTTACAGAAGTAATTTTTGAAGCTCATCCAGTCAAACCTGTCTATAGTGACTGCCCAAGGGAAACACAAAAATTAGTCTTTGTAGACAGGTTCCTTTAGTACGTGTTTCAATGAGAAACCATTTCCAAGGGGAACAAAAAATGTTCTCATTATCTCATGTACTCTTTCTTTCTATCCAGGGGAAGTATGTAGAGATCCAGTTCACCAGAGCAGGAGCACCTGATGGAGGGAAGATAACAAACTTCCTGCTGGAGAAGTCCAGAGTGGTCAGTCAAAACACTGATGAAAGGAACTTTCATATCTTCTATCAGCTCCTGTGTGGGGCCAACCATCAACAAAAAGGTGAGATTACGGGTGCTCCAACATTTGCTCAGGTAACAATTTCTCTGGGATTTATTCATCAAAGATATTCTAAGGTTTATTATCATGGGGGGGGGGGGGGGCAAGTTTGCTGCATTAAAACGCTTGTGAACTGAAGTTATAGACCGGGTTTCTCTTATTTTCAAAAAATTCCAAACAAACTTGCTTCATAGACTTGTTCTCCTTGAAGCATGACTATATTATACTTTTTGTATGTATTAATAGCATATATGCTCTGCTAAGAAATGATATAACATTGGTATAACTTTACCATTTATCCTTTGAAAAAGCAACATTGCATAGTAATTTCACTTTCAGCGAAAGTCGTTAAATGAAAAATTATATGCATGATGGTTAGTTTCTACTGATTGCGATGTATCACTTACTCTTGCTCTTGCTCTTGAAACAAGCCCCACCCCATTGCATAAATATTGATTTCCTAAGAAGTCTCATATCCATAAATGCAAGATCTAAAATACATGTATATATGTGTAATATGTAAGAAAAGAGATAGCAGTAGCAGTAAGTTCATAGTTTCTATTGCTTTCTTGTGCTTAAATGAAAACTAATTTCACTTTACTTTTATGCCAGCCCATTGCACAAACATTCTTTACCATTGAAGCTGCATTTTGTTTAAATAAATAAAATGATTAGTTATGCATTTTCTTCTTTTACGGTTTAATTGAAAGATTAAATGAAACACTGTATATAAAAATGCATATATATACATGTCTGATTTAGCACAATAAATATGTGATGAACGTAAGGATGATGTGATGCAATGTATTCTTTCATATCAGTTTGTGAGAAAATTTGTTTATTTGTTTATTTTATTCATTACCTAAGCAGGCTTTTCATATTCAGAGTTGTTATGAGTCAGCTGTCCGGTAACACATTATCTATATACAACGAAACTTTGCACTTCCATCTACTGTACGTTCAGTTTTGGGTGAAAATATATGATGCGCGTAGATTAAGGAAATAAATTTGTCTTTGTTGAAAGGAAAGTGAAATTAATTTACATTTTTTTCCTTTTATGTTTGTAATATGAGGCATTCTTGTGGTCAAAGCAATTGGATGAGAATGGAAAGTGGTTCACTTTCAGTTCAAATTCAGTTTCTTTTTCTTCTAAAGTCGTGCAAAATACACTTGAATCATTTGCAATGGCTTTTACATGTAGCTTTGTAAATCATGTTGCCCTTGTTCTTCCTCTTTTTCCCTTTCGCTTAAAAAAAAAAAAAAAAAGAATCTTCATGATGAACGATTTTTTTTCTCCATTCAGCCATTTTTCCTTCTGCCGTGTGATAATTGTCAGTTATTTCTCTTTGGCTGATTTAGTATTTTCCCAAATTTTTCATGTTATTTTGTGTCATTTTTGACATCTTAAGTCCCTTTTTTTTCTTCTATATATATACAAAGTAGCATACGTGTGCACAATAATTGTAGGTATTATTGAAGTTATTGTCTGTGAATTTGTTTTTTAAATGGTTCAGTTTTACATGTACAGCGTATAATATACAAGAGATCTTTTTGATATCAGAGTGTCTGTATGCTAACAAAGTGTAATCGTACTTGTATCATCACTACCAAATGGTTTTTCCATTACATGTATCTCCTCTCTGTTTCTTTGAACAGTGACCTTTTTTGCAATTTAATACACTGATGGACATTATGTATGTTTAAAATATGATATCAATAAATCAAATCACATCAAATCAAATCAAACATACCTGTACATTGCTGTTATTTACATTATTAACAAATGGTCATACTGAAGTTTACTGAACTTCTTATAGAAGTAGACCTTGCTGTACTATTCCAAATCAAACACTTTTTACTCATTTCACTATCTCTTTTCTCTGAATTTATTTATTTTCTTCTGTTTTCCTTTTGAAAAATTTAATGAAAGTGCTGTTTTCTTCTTATTTTTGTTAGAGAATCTTGGTCTGACAACACCAGACTACTACTTCTACCTGAACCAGAGTGGATCATACAAAGTGGATGGGTTAGACGATGTCAAAGAATACAAGGATACTCTGGTATGTATTTACAACACTTGATTATGATGATGTATGATGATGATTGACTCAATGTCAATGATTTGAGTGAATCATATTATACGTCCTAAATATTTACAAGGTGAATGGCTTACTTGATACTTGATGAGGTCATCCCTGAAGCAGCTTTTCCAAGCTATACATTGTGTTTGTACATGAGTGCAATAACATGCTGGAATATTGGAGTGAGATTGACACGTTTTTATCTATTTACATGTTTTATTTGAAGCTATCTTATGGTTGCAAGAGTTTTTCATTCAAGTTTGTTAAACATCATTGAAGGATATATTTGTAATATCATAAAAGATTGCCCATAACAGATCTGCCAACCAGTACGATTTTTAGAAATAAATACGATCCTCAATTTCCTCAATAAAATGTCCATTCTGAACTGTAAAGTTTCCTACAAGCATCTCACATCGGCAATTTGGGGATGTTCATTGGTTCATTGAAAACACCAGTCATGACGAAATCATGCATATTCAACCAATGATCCATAAAAAAATTAATCCGCATATCAGTCCATGTTTAAGAAAAATAATACAGTTTTTGTCAGTAAAATACAACTTTGGAAATTAAAGAATACAGTTTTTGAACTCCAGAGATCGGCAGGTCTGCCATATTAGTTGAAGGAGAAGACAAATGTTAGGAATATGGCACTGTTATGGAGAGCTGTAACTTGTGCTTCAGCTGTTTTGCAAGAACAATTAGTCATCTTCTTAATTTAAACAGTACATGTCCACTCACCTTCCCCTTCAGTCCTTGAAAGACGCACATAGTACTTGTCATTTTATATCCTGGATACAAACTTAAGTGATACTAATGATGGTGAAGAGTGGATGAATAATGATGATATCATTTGGCATTGTATGTGGTATGAGACTGAATTGTCATTGACTTTATAACCACACAGTCTCATATTCTTTCCATCGTTGGTCACTATTTAACAGGAAAAAACTTTTAAAAAAATTTCGGGGGCTACTTTTCAAGCTTGCTTGCATGAAAATAACTCTTTAATTTGTTTTGCATTGAACTCTATGCAAATTTTTTTGGGCTCTTTTATGACTTTCGGGGGCTTTTTTTGGCATTTCAGGGGCTAATTTGCCCCGAACCTTGTGTATTTTCAGACTATTCACTAAGTATGTATGCCTTGTTTTAGATGAAGAGATGAGTCCAGGTGTGAATTTGAAGAGGGAACAACAACTCTCTACATTGTGCAATACTCACATGTACATAAGTGAAATTATGTGTCTCATGATGTGCAAAAGAAACTGCATTTAGTATACATGTTCCTTTGATAAGTTTGATACAGCAATAAATTTAGAATTTGAAGAGGGACAACAACTCTCTACATTGTGCAATACCCAGTATACATGAACATAGGTGAAATTATGTGTCTCACATGTATGTGCAAAAGAAACTGCATAGCATATACCTACATGTATGTGTACAAGTATGTATGCCAGAACAAACATTATTATTTGTTCAATCCTGGTTTGGCATGGTTAGGGATATCTATTTTTCCTCAAAGTACTGCGAAACCTGATATTACATGTACAACCACATGGATAGGACCCAGTTGTATTACATGCACCTCCCATATTTGAGATTACCCCTTGAGTGTTGGCATGTGTATGTCAGTGTATTGTGGTGATAAGCTAAACACAATTGGAAAATTTAATCCTTTGATCTTTGATTTTTGGCAGTGAGTTTAAAAGTTCCCTTTGATATTTGAGTATAGATGTATGCTTATGTTGGTATTCCTGATTTGCCTATGAATCATGCTGTTTCAGATAAAAATAGTGACAAACTAGTGACATAAATGGGCGGGGGTCAAGGTCAAGAGGCAGTTCATAATTTCATATATTTTTTCTAATAACAATTATAGTAAAAATAACAAAACTTTCTTGAAATTATTGAAAGATTAATTTTCCTGAACATTTAATAAGTTTAACTATTGCAACGTAGTAGTTTATAGAATTTTATTATGAAGTTTAACATGAACTATTTGGTTTCTGTCAGATTGATGATATCAGTCTACAGGAAAATCTTTCAGGTCTCCGACTAAATGCTTAAATCTCTCCGAAAGGTAGACGGTAGTTGGTTCCCAAGTGCAGGAGGTTACAATTCGCAAACACCAGACTTGGTGAAAATACCATGAATGGGTGTATAAGTCTTGCACACAGTACACATGTAGTCCCATCAAGAAATGCCCTGTAGTCTCTCAGAGAGTATTTGGGTAAGGGAGGCTAATCCTGGTGATTGACCACACCTGTTATTGTGTATAAACACCCAAATGGTGTTAAATTCCCCATGGAAGCCCATAACTATGTGTCTTCAAACCTACATTGTTTACATCAGTCCAAATTAAAAGGTTTGTATTTGTATTTTTGTTCTTCTTCAGAATGCCATGTCTGTGATTGGAATATCCGAAGATGATCAAGAGAATGTTCTCTCCTGCGTGGCTGGCATACTCCATCTTGGAAACATTGTGTTTGTAGAAAAGGACAACTATGCTGTCATACATGATGATGAGTGTAAGTAGAGTATTGAGATATCAAACAAATCCAAAGTATAATCAAATAAAGAGAAAATTATTAGTGAAAATATGCACCATGAAATACAGAAATCATTAGATCGATGTTGGGTAATATTCCATGGATACATTTGCGAGTGATTTTCTTGAGATATGAACTTTGACCTTAAGGGGCAGAGCCTAATCTTGTTTGTCCAATACATGTAATAATAAATAAATAGTAATAATAATAGCCTAATAGTCCACTCCAAATTTGATTAAACCGAAACGGAAATTCTTTTTTGTACATCAAGATATAAACAATATGGTCAGTGCTATTGCTATTTGATTGTTAAACACTCGAAATGGTCTGTTCTAATACATGAACATTCTCCTTCTAGGTGCAATTAGGGTTCATTTTATCCTTATTGTAACTACAGTCAAACCTGTCTACAGCGACCGCCCAAGGGAAACAAAAATATGCTTGTTGTAGACAGGTGGTCTTTGTAGACATGTGGTCTTTGTAGACTTGTGGTCTCTAAAGCAGGTTTGACTGTATTTTCATCTTTCTTTGTAAACAGTTCTTGATTTCCCGTCCTACCTGCTTGGGCTGGACAAGGAAGCGCTACGTAAGAAGCTGATCAGCCGTCGTATGGACAGTAAATGGGGCGGGAAGGCGGAGCATATAGAGGTCACACTTAACACAGAGCAAGCAGCTCATACCAGAGATGCTCTAGCTAAGGCTGTCCATTCAAGACTATTTGACTTCCTCGTTAGTGTGAGTATGACCTTTGAACTCTGGTCATGTTTAGGAAAAAAGGGAGTTCCTTTCGTTATTGTATCTTTGCCTTGAAGTAGGACTAGTTATTATTACTACAATGAACTGAAGCAAACATTCTGAATTGTTTTGCTCAATGGAATGACAGGTTAAATCTTCAAAAATGCTGTTATAATTTAAAAATAATGGTTCATTTCATTGACTCTGTGCAAGAACAAATTTAATTTACAATGTTTTATGATATGATATGCAAATTATGATTTGAATTTTATTAATACATTCCTCTAACCACACACCGTAGCAATGTACCGGTGTATTCAGACTTATGGATATTTCTTTCCTGAACCTCTGTTGATCATGAACTATTTATATCGCTAATTATTCAAGGTAGCATTACATACTTGAATTGTTCCTATGTCAGGCAGGAATCAAGGAATATTTTGAGTCGTCAAGAGCACCTTTATGAAAGAAACACATGTTTGAAGACATTTGGAAACAACTTTATAGATATTTAGAAAAAAAACTAGTTTAGAAGCTGGCAAAGCTTATGGAGTGTAGAACTAATAAAGTCCATGGGGAAAACGTATGAATCCAAGTGCTTGTATGCATGACCTTGACCTTGACCTTGTACTAGTATTGTTCCATGTAGGTTTCCATGGTGACTGATTATTGACTCATTTTCTTACTCCTTCATTACCCTTTCAATCTCAGTCCATCAATGGTGCCATGCAGAAGCAGAAGGTAGAGATCACAATAGGAGTTCTGGATATCTATGGCTTTGAGATCTTTCAACAGAATGGCTTTGAACAGTTCTGCATTAACTTTGTGAACGAGAAGCTTCAGCAGATCTTTATAGAACTCACACTCAAAGCTGAGCAGGTGAGTGAAACATCATCACAGATTGATTTTTTTCTTCTCTAAAATCAACAAAAGGGCATTTTTTAATACCCTACAATGTATTAATGCGCACATGCTCAAATTATGTTCATAAAATGTGTTGTAGAGGTGTCGTGGTCAAGTGGATATGTCACAGGACTGTGGATCACAAGGTCGGCGGTTCGAGTCCCGCCACATCACTAATGTCCTTTAGCAAGACATTAATCTACATTTGCCACACTCGACCAAGGTGACGGAAGGGTATCTGGTAGGATTATTCCTTGAAATGCACTGTGCGCTGAAAATAGCCGCCGGAGCTAAAGCTAGGTAATAATTTCCAAAGCTCTTTGGAAGTGCACAGGAACATTATATCGTCCCTATTTTCACGAAGTGACGATAGTGAATGAAAATCGCATACAATTTACGTGCGGATTTTCCTCACTACCGACATTTTGTGAAAACAGGAACATAATATATAATGTGATATGCCCTATACAAGAACTGAATGTTATTATTATTGTAAGAGTTAAAATTAGACTCATTTCATATTTGTATTGGTTACAGTTACTATTTGTTTCTCTAGTCTCTTCTCTCTATCAGAGATGCCAACTAGTACGGATTTCCCGTAATTTCTACGGGAAATCGGCCGATTACGGGCGGTACGATTTTCATACCATAAATTCCGGATTTTGCCGATTTTGCCGATTTTCAAAATTAGCACTTTAAGGTTTAGCACGTTTAAGGTTTAGCACGTAGTTTTGACTATTGCAGCGCAGCCATCCTTGAATCCATGCATAGAAATCCCACAGGGCTTCCGATCGGACAATTTGTTATCTAGCACACCCCTTTCAGTGCATACATGTGCATACAACATGTGCTTCGCGAGCGGGGGCCGGGTGAAATACCTCTCTTGGCCGCGCCGCTACCGCCCGCCCAGCGCCAGGCCTCGCTACGCTAGCGCCGTGTACACTGTCGGATTTCTCACAGGCTGTCACAGCGTTCGTCGATTTTCGTCGACAATCTGAACTCATGTTGGTTGGATTTAGATATCAATCATCATGTCTTCCACAACTAAGAAGCGTGGCAAGAAGTTACAGACTTTTAAAGAAGAATACAGTAAGAAATGGAAATGCATCGTGTAACACCAACTAATGAACAGGTATGTTACTTTTATTTAACTTGTGCTATCGCGCTTGCCTGCGGGAGCTGCGCTTGCCAGCGTGCAGAAAAATTTGCGTCGCGCAGAAAATTACGGATTTTGTCTCCAAATTACGGATTTTTAGCCTTATGATTACGGATTTGTGCTCTGAAAGGTTGGCATCCCTGCTCTATACATATTCATTTCACATCATGTGCTTACACTTACATATTAATTTATTCAATTACTCAACCCTATTCCTTCCTCCATTCATCTCCTCTACATACCAAGTCTTGTATGTTCCTTTGTTCTCTTCTCATCTTTATTTATGAATCTTGTGTGAATGCTTTAAGTATTTCCACTTCTTACTTATCATTGGTTCTCTTCTCCTTTTCCTTTTGAATATTCAGTCTTACTCCCAAATCCTATTTTGCTATTGGTTTATGATGTATTTCATTTGGGTATACTTTGCTTAAAAATGTAGAGCATGTGGCTGCATAGGAGGCTATAATAAAACACATGCAGACCGGCACTGGACATGGTCTGAGATGGTTGGGTTGATTTAGGGCTCTGCTACTTTTATGTTGGAGATTTAGGAGAGAGGATTTAAGTGAGTTTGGCGCGGATCCACGGGCCCAATTCTACCGGCCCGGCTATGGCAAGCTCATTGTGTAAAAACTAGATAAACTCAGTTTATCAGAAAAACTGTGTTTATCAATGATAAACTCAGTTTATCAACTGATAAACTGAGTTTATCAACTGATAAACTCTGTTTATCTGATAAACTCTGTTTATCTGATAAACTCTGTTTATCTGTTGATAAACTGAGTTTATCATTGATACACAGAGTTTTTCTTGATAAATTGAGTTTATCAACTGATAAACTGATTTTTTCTGATAAACTGTGTTTATCTGTTGATAAACTGAATTTATCTGAGAAAAACAGAGTTTATCTGAGAAAAACAGAGTTTATCTAGTTTTTACACAAAGGGCTTGCCATAGCCGGGCCGGAAGAATTGAGCCCGTGGATCCGCGCCTGAGTTTGGCAGTGGTTTGTGGATGATAGGTGGTTTTGATTTATATTGGTGAGAGGTTATTTGTATTAGTTTACATTATTGATATTCATATTTCAATAGGTGATGCTGATGCACAAGGCTATTGAATATGTATGACTCATGCAGGTTTATTGAGTGGATTTGTGATTGTGTGAAGGACAAATTATGGAACTCGATATGAAGTGTCTAATTTCATATGATGAGGTGTCTATAAACTAGATGTACCCTATGTGAGAGATTGGGGTGTGGTGGGGCTCTACAAGTTGTTTTAAGTTTAATATTGGCCATTTGCTTTATGAAGGCTTTGTGCAAATTGTTGCTAGAATTTATAAATAGTTTATAGCAGTTTGATTAAAGACACTTTATAATTTGGGACAACATAAAAATCACTTGTGTAATGTAATTCAGAAAAAAAATGAAAAAAGGAACAAAGAGAGGAAAGGGAAAAGAGCACTTTATCGTGAGAAATAATGCCATCCTAACACATATTTATTTTAATATGATTTGATTTCAGGAAGAGTATGTAGCAGAAGGGATCAAGTGGAAGAAGATTGATTACTTCAACAACAAGATTGTGTGTGATCTCATTGAGAGCAAGGTATGGTATAGAGATGCATTTTTTACATCTTTTTATTAGACCCATGTTATTGTGAAGTTATGAAAATGGTTATGAATTGAGTTCACTTAACGCATTGCGAACAAGAGCTGGGTGGGTCCTATAGTGAGTGTATGGGAATAAAAGAATTCATTTGTTAAAATGGTGAAGTTATCTCGTACTATTCCAGAACATACTTGCAAATTTCAGAAATTTTATCAGAGGGGAAAAAATGGAAATGTGAGGGAACATCTCTTACAATGTATCAGTTGTGAATAAGTTGTTGTAGCTTTAACATGAATTAATTTATAGCCAAACAAAAATGATGGATTAACTCATTAATGGCTGTGGTTTACCAAAAAAAAAAGTGGACTGTTACAAGAGACTATGTCATATATGCAAAGTTAATGTATGACATTCTCCAAACAATGCAGCATTCCAAGAATTCCATTAATGGCAAAGAAAGCATTAAACACAATAATAGCAAGTGTGAAGAAACTAATATACATGAAGATAGGTAATAGAAAATGAAGATTTTTTTTTAGAATTCTCATGATAGTTTGGATAAACTTTTCTATCCATGATTCATTTATTGACCTCATTCTTTGATCTACCAACCCAAGGTACCTCCCGGAGTCATGTGCATCCTGGATGACGTGTGTGCGACCATGCATGCCGTGAGCGATGGTGCCGATGAAAAGCTTCTACAGAAGATGAACAGTGCCGTGGGAACGCATCAGCACTACGGGGTCTTGAGTGGGGGATTCATTGTACATCATTACGCTGGCCAGGTCAGAAGATTTTTTAGATTTTCAAAATCTTTTAAAACTTTTATTAATCAAATAATTTGTAAATACATCATGATAAAAATAATCACTGCATAATAATTACAAAAGGTAAAAACAAATGAAAAACGTCAAACAATACAGAAATAGTGGGTAACACGTCCTTTTCTACAGTGTATATCATAGGATATGTAATCAAAATGATTCTTCCACAGGGGATCATTTCTTACAGAGCATTCCTCAGGTCAGAAGATTACCCCACGTACATTGGTCCCCTGTAGTTTTGCTTCATGATGTTGCTGCATATCAGTGGCATCTACTCATCAGTACATGTATAGTTCACAACAAAAACTAATAACAAAAACAGAACAAACATTTTATCATTAAGTATTTGGCGTCGCTTGTGCCGGGGAGAGGGAAAAGCGAATTGAATCACTGTACACTTGGGTCTCTCCTCCCGGTATAACTAATTGGGGGGGGGGGGGGGGGGGGGTGTGCAGGCGAACCACTTCACTGGGGTTTCTTGCTTCTCTCATATGAATAGTGTTGTGGGTTCTTAATCTGCAAAGGTGGTGGCTATCCTCTACACTGGTTCTCCATTACAACTATCTTATCTTATATGTTCACATTGTTTTGTTTCCTCCATGTAGGTGCGGTATACAGTAGAAGGATTCTGTGAGAGGAATCGTGATGTACTCTTCACTGATCTCATCGAACTTATGCAGTCAAGTGAGAAGTAAGTTCAAATATGTACAGTCAAACTTGCTTTAGTGACCACCTGTCTACAAAGACCACCTGTCTACAAACACCACCTGTCTACAAAGACCACCTGTCTACAAAGACCACCTGTCTACAAAGACCACCTGTCTACAAAGACCACATTTTTTGTTTCTCTTGAAAATAGTTTGTCATTGAAACATGTATTAAAGGAACCTTTACATAAAAACCACCTGCCTATAAACTTCTTTTCTTCTCCCCTTGGTGGTCTTTTTGGACAGGTTTCACTGTAGTCTCATTTTCTCAGACATTATTTCAGTCTACACAGCTTAACTGCATTGTATACTTCCTGTGACTCTTGGCTCACTCTCTCTCTCTCTTTCTCTCTTTCTCTCTTTCTCTCTTTCTCTCTTTTCTTTACTCCTCCACCCACCTCCTCTGCCTGCCTACCTTAGGTCCTCTTCTACTCTCTTTCTCTGTCGGCATCCTCATCGTACAAAACGAATATTGTGTAATCTACCAAACTAAACCTTCTATGAATGTATTTTACCATTACTATAATTGTCTATGATTATTATTATTTCTTTTTGTAGATTGATTTTTTAACGTTTACCAATGAATAACAAATTCTGAATGGATAATAAATGATTGATTTTAATTTCAATTTCATATAAACATAGCATCCACTACACTGTCAAATTGTATTATGTTTCTATTGGAGAACACACTTCTTTACACTGCCCAAATTTTATCCTGGCATCTTAATTTATTTGACAAAGTACAAGTTTGTTTTGTCTTCTTAAAATTAAAAATGGGTTGAACGATATGAAGGTAGTTTGAAAACTTAGTGGTATCAAATTTGACTTAAGTTTTCTTAATAAGCTGTATCATAAAATAGCTCTAGTATTTTAAGCATCGTGATTAGGTCAAAACGCATCACATGACCTGCACCTTTTTGTGTGCATGCGAGATCGTGCTAAAAAAGTGCAGACAAAAGTATCATTGCAAGCTCCAAGATCGATATCCAGCGTAGCATATGTGTAGAGCAAGTAGCAAGGTCTTATCTTTTCATTTTCTACAACCAACATAACTCTCCTGGACTTTAACGTTAGATCTAGACTTTCATTGTTTTGATTTTCATGTGTCGCTATTTTATAAAACAAATAACGCACTTGACCCTGTTGTGCGTAATGTAAATGCAGTGGTACGCTCGTAATCTTCAGATGGTGCGCACTGTGAACTCGCCGCAAGCAGCTCGTGCACAGAGGCGGCACCAATTTAAAGAAACTTTGCGTGCACTAATGCATGCTGGGTCATGCGTTATTTGTATACTAACTTGCTGTGCTATGCAATTGTTTTCATAATCTAATGGCATGTGCTGTATTTTCTCTTTCTCACAGCTCGTTCTTCATGACCCTATTTCCCGAGAAGATCGCGGGTCAAGCCAAGTCACGACCCACTACAGCTAGCAGCAAAATCAAAGTGAGTATGACCGATATGGATTCCAATGCTTGCTCATTCATAACAGTACTTACACCATTTTGTTCTTTTAGCAATGCGATAATTCGTCCATCTTGGCTCCAAGCAGTTTTTACTTTAGCATTTGCCGTTGTAAAGTTATCCAAGACTTGAGAAGTCTGTTTGGTTGACACTTATACAAGGTTGAATCCAAGATATGTTTGTCCCTTACAATGGGAGCTCTACTCACAACACAGATCTGAAATGCATTGATGTGATGTTCTGATGATCATAGACGATGTCGGGTATTAAACAGTAGCACATCCACATATTGTGATTAAATTAATGTAAAGCAATTATATTAAAGAACCATACATCTACATAAATTATGTCTCAAATGCATTGATGTGATGTTCTGATGATCATAGACAATGCCATCCACATATTGCGATTAAATTAATGTAAAGCAATACTAAAGAACCATACATCTACTTAAATTATGTGACATGGACATCGCTAAGTTCAACTTTCAAGTTGGATGCACATACTGTAAAAGTACAGGCAAAATATAAATGAACTGTTTTTCCTACGTGATCTGAAGCTAACTGTATTGTTGTTTATTCATCTTTATTCAAGAAAATACATACAACATAGTAATTAAGATGTTACATAAAACCCAGGACCAAGATTTGAATTACATTGGATGCATCTCATGCTATTTGGTAGCCTCGGGCCAACAATCCAGTAGACAAACTGATGCAATGTACACCTCATTACATTCGCTGTATCAAACCAAACGAGACAAAGAGACCTCGAGACTGTGTTTTATCTTTGATTTGTTTGTTTCTTTGTTTGGTAGACTCAGGCCAACAAGCTAGTAGACAAACTGATGCAATGTACACCTCATTACGTCCGCTGTATCAAACCAAATGAGACAAAGAGACCTCAAGACTGTGTTTTACTTATGATTTGTTTGTTTCTTTGTTTGGTAGCCTCAGGCCAACAAGCTAGTAGACAAACTGATGCAATGTACACCTCATTACATTCGCTGTATCAAACCAAATGAGACAAAGAGACCTCAGGACTGTGTTTTATCTTTGATTTGTTTGTTTCTTTGTTTGGTAGACTCGGGCCAACAAGCTAGTAGACAAACTGATGCAATGTACACCTCATTACATTCGCTGTATCAAACCAAATGAGACAAAGAGACCTCAAGACTGTGTTTTATCTTTGATTTGTTTGTTTCTTTGTTTGGTAGACTCAGGCCAACAAGCTAGTAGACAAACTGATGCAATGTACACCTCATTACATCCGCTGTATCAAACCAAACGAGACAGAGATAATAATAAAATGAATTTATAACGCGCACATATCCAAAACTTTCGATCAAGGCGCGACAAAAAAAATGAATATGCAGATTACACAAACAGTTCAACAGATAATATTTCTACATGTAATTGAACTTAAATCGTAACTAAACAGGAATTCAAATCTTATATAAACATAAATTCAAATATAAACAGATATACATATACATAAAATAGTTCAACATATTATAGTGCTTTGGGTAATAAACATAAACATGAGATAAATAGATATGCTTTTATAGTAAAAATCTTACTACAGGTTAAATTGACTCATTGATAACTGCACTGTATAACTGCTCCGTAGTACAATGTAGCTCCTCAATGAATCTGCGATGACTGCGGTTCCGATGACTGTATGTACACTGTATACTTTTCTGGTGATGTAACTGGATTCTGGCGAGGGCGGGTTTGAGCCTACAACCATGAATAGCAACCCGACGTACGAATGCTTGAGATGAAGTAGTTTAGGTGCCAGGCAGGACCCAGAAGAGTAGTTGATGACTTCAGGACAAGAAAAAGGGCCCATTGAGTAGCCCAATAATTGCTGCACTATTTAATCCTCAAGTATTTTACAAAAGGGGAAAAAGAATTCAAAGCATGAGGCTCTCTAATTTTTCTTTTCCTTTTTCTTCTAAAAAGCTCATACCTAGAGTTAAAAATAGGTACAAGACATTTGTCCTTTTTAATTAGTTCTTTAGTCACTTTGCCCCAATAAAGGCTTAAGGATTCGACATGAAGAATTATGGGGAGGCTATAGAAACCTGTAGATGCAGATGGATAATGGCTGCACTAATCTACAGAGTTCTAATGGTAGAGAAGTTTCCTTTTCTTCCTATATTTGTAGAGAACAATATAAAGTATACACCATGCTTTGAGATGAAGTAGTTCTATGTTGATGGCGATGTTGGAAATCGGCGACTATAATGACTGGATATGTAGAAGATGGCGAAGATGTCTGTAGATGGTGTTGTTGAGAAGAAGAAGAAGACTGGAGATGACGAGAGGAAAGACTGTGTAGAAGCTCAAGGATCAGACATTAGTAGTGCAACACTCAATCCTACCAACGGACCCTGTTGAGTATCCGATAATGCACACGCGCGGTCCGCACAGCCATCCACAATTTTCCATACGTTCTTGTCATTGGCACAACTAATGATGGGACAGTTTATAGCTTACATAATAATGATGGATGCTGGTGATGACGTAGTTCTACGTTGATGGCAATGTTGGTAATGTCGACTAATAACATTGCGAACAAAAATCAATCCTGTCAGTGTGTATAGTAAAGCAAGTATAACTAGATTGCATGCAAAAAGTAAACTATAGGATATTGGGCAATATGTATTTTTATACACAATGTCCACCTGCTAAATACTTTCAAGATAAAGATATTTTTTTGTACGATTAAAAGCCCCCTCTTGAAAACAAAGATATATAAAGGTGCACCATGCAGTTTAAATCAGAGATGCAATAGGTGTATAGTACATGTATATGGAATACTGTCCCTTAAAAATACACTTGACCCATGCCAAGTTACACAAAAATTATAACAATGAATAAGAAGGAGACAAGAGCATGGTTTGGGGGCTACGGCCAAGAGGTCATAGTGGATACTAAAAGAACTAAAAAACTATCTGTGGGAAACACCATGGATAAACAACATTATCAAATAGAATGAAACGTAAGCTTACATAATAATGAAGGATGTTTGAGATGAAGTAGTTCTATGTTGATGGCGATGTCGGTAATGGCGACTTTGATGACTGGACATGTAGATGTAGAAGATGGATAGATAGATAGATAAGTAGTCCAATTTATAACATTCCTCATAAAAAATTTAAAGATAAAATACCATACAGTATCGCATACATATAAAGACAAAATAACATACATTACGAAGATAATCATACAATATAATATACATCATAAAGGTAATCTGGACAAAATATACGGAAAAGTGAGTATGTATGAAAAAGATGGCGAAGATGTCTGTAGATGAAGGTGTTGTTGAGAAGGAGAAGACTGGAGATGACGAGAGGAAAGACTGTAGAAGCTCACGGATCAGACATTAGTAGGGCAACACAGAATCCTACTGTGGGACCCTGTTGAGTATGGATAATGCAGAAGGCATAAATGAAAGGCTATGTTGAATCGTTTTGCATCCCGCAAACACTGTCTGCCTTTCTCTGTGAGGGCCATGCATCTACTTGGTCTTAGATTGATCAGTCCTTCGATTGCATTATCAGGGAGGTTTCGTCTATGCTGTGTGCATATGTGGGTAGGGTGTGTTTGTCTTTTCTGTTAATTGTCTATGCTTCAGATTACCTTCCCCTTCAGTGTGTTACACAGACACCGCTTGGCTACTTCGCGAGCTTGATGAGGCATATCGATAACAAATGTGAAAGAAAAAGTCAGCAAATCATACTTTACATTACACCAGTATAGAATCATATATATACTGGGATAACATACACTGCTATGAGGAAAAGTAGAGAAGATATTTATATATATACTCCTACTGCCCGGAAACAGGTTTAACACAGAACATTCCTGAATACGTACACACATTCACTTCGACTATTTGTTTCTAAACTTAAATGAGAAATTGTTGATTTCTTTTATTACTAAGTGGAAATATCAGTAATATATACACAACAATTACATAAATATTTTAAACATACATAATGCTTCCTGGATTTGAGCTGTCATTTCTTTGTTCATTATGCAGTCTTTGGTGACAATACTTCCAAGGTACTTGAAAGAGTCCACTGTGGTATAAAGCATGACAACATCGTGATAGAAGTCAGCTTGAGTACCCATGGACCTTGTCTCAGTTTTCTCTCTATTGATGCTCAGTCCCATTTCTTTGGCCATTTCGTTGTAGGCTGTTAGTAGTCTTTGTAGATCATCAGCGTTGTCACTCACCGAAGATGGCGATATCATTGAATTGATTTATTGTCCGTACAAAATGGAAATTTGTAGTTCACTGGTACAGGTGTTACAAACAATGTACATTATTATACAGATTATAAAACATAATAACAATATAACATAAATGGTGTTACATCCAACAATACAATGTGATTACTTGCCTAGGAATGGAGGAAAATAATAAAATAATACACTCTCATACTTTCCCTCGTTTTACCCTATCGTTGTTAATGTGAATCGAATCCGCCACAAATGAACATCTGAAGCGTTCCCGCCTAGTGCGCTACTCAGCATACTGAGCTTCTCTTGGGTACATTAACTGAACCTACCTCTCAGCTTTCAGTCTGCGGAGATCAAAAATGTTACCATCATATCTAAAACGCACCTCATTACGTCCACTGTATCAAACCAAATGAAACAAAGAGACCCCAGGACTGTGTTTTACCTATGATTTGTTTGTTTCTTTGTTTGGTAGACTCAGGCCAACAAGCTAGTAGACAAACTGATGCAATGTACACCTCATTACATCCGCTGTATCAAACCAAACGAGACAAAGAGACCTCAGGACTGGGAAGAAAAAAGGTAAGAGAAAATCCTTCCAATGCCGAGTTCCGTCAAAACCACCCAAATTGAAATATTCCATCTCATGTTTATGATGAAAGACAAGTTTCTATTTCTTGCAATTCTATTTCTTGCAGTTTTTATAAATGCTGAAGTTAAACATCAGAGAACAATGTTTGTTACATGATAAACAAGTACATAGAACTATAATTAGAACCATAATCGAATCTTGTTTTTTCAATTTTTCTAAATTTGGTGGCACAAATAGGGATTAACTTTAAAGGAACCAAGAATGTCTCTATTATAAATTTAAAAAAAATAAATTGGTATCTTTGTAAATTACTGGGATTTTACGCATTTTAATGACTTTTTATTTTGTCGCATATTCAGGATAAATCATGAAGTTGAATACATTGGACTAAGTTACATTCTGAACTGACATCTCATATCGATATATTTTGTTGATATTTAGGGTATATCATCAAGTTGAATACCTGGGACTGAAGGAGAACATCAGGGTGAGGCGAGCTGGTTTCGCTTACAGGAGAGAATTCGACAAATTTCTCAGACGGTATGTGAACAAACTTTCATTCTGGAAGGGGAAAAAATAAATTTTAAATTATATATTGCCTACACTCTCAATACTACTGTCATCTTCCTCTTTCTCTTAATACTTCTTCATTCTTATTGTCATATGAACTAATTCTAAGTATATTTCATTATTCAGACTGAAACAATAGCCATTTGCATTGAATAGTCCTTGCTAATCAATAGTAGCAATGTAACATCATTGTATTCAACAAATAATTAATTTGTTGATTTAAAAAAAAAAAAAGTTTTTAAATGGTATGGGGACTATTATTTCGTTATGCTAGTCAATACCCATCTATCCAAAGGGAAACATGAACAACATAATCAGTAGTTTTTTTGTCCCATTGGTGCCTTTGACTAGATATTGACACTCTACAAATTCCTGGATCCCGGATTGTTTGCAATATTCATCTTCATTTAATACAGTTGTTGACATACTAATGATCTTTCCCATCTGTAGGTATGCCATCCTGACTCCCGAGACATGGTGGTAGCATTTATTAATAATAATAATTCGTCCTTATAAAGTGCATTTCAGGACTGCATGCCCTCTCAATGCGCTTTACAGATTTATGCTTACCCGCACTCAATTTATGCACATTCTCCTCTCGTCCGGTGACATATCCACTCGAGTATGACACCTCTACGATTGATAAGTTATCATACTAATGATCGTTCCCATCTCTAGGTATGCCATCTTGACTCCCAAGACATGGCTGTAGCATGTTATTGATAAGTTATCATACTAATGATCGTTCCCATCTCTAGGTATGCCATCTTGACTCCCAAGACATGGCTGTAGCATGTTATTGATAAGTTATCATACTAATGATCGTTCCCATCTCTAGGTATGCCATCTTGACTCCCAAGACATGGCTGTAGCATGTTATTGATAAGTTATCATACTAATGATCGTTCCCATCTCTAGGTATGCCATCTTGACTCCCAAGACATGGCTGTAGCATGTTATTGATAAGTTATCATACTAATGATCGTTCCCATCTCTAGGTACGCCATCTTGACTCCCAAGACATGGCTGTAGCATGTTATTGATAAGTTATCATACTAATGATCGTTCCCATCTCTAGATACGCCATCTTGACTCCCAAGACATGGCTGTAGCATGTTATTGATAAGTTATCATACTAATGATCGTTCCCATCTCTAGGTATGCCATCTTGACTCCCAAGACATGGCTGTAGCATGTTATTGATAAGTTATCATACTAATGATCGTTCCCATCTCTAGGTATGCCATCTTGACTCCCAAGACATGGCTGTAGCATGTTATTGATAAGTTATCATACTAATGATCGTTCCCATCTCTAGGTATGCCATCTTGACTCCCAAGACATGGCTGTAGCATGTTATTGATAAGTTATCATACTAATGATCGTTCCCATCTCTAGGTATGCCATCTTGACTCCCAAGACATGGCTGTAGCATGTTATTGATAAGTTATCATACTAATGATCGTTCCCATCTCTAGGTACGCCATCTTGACTCCCAAGACATGGCTGTAGCATGTTATTGATAAGTTATCATACTAATGATCGTTCCCATCTCTAGATACGCCATCTTGACTCCCAAGACATGGCTGTAGCATGTTATTGATAAGTTATCATACTAATGATCGTTCCCATCTCTAGGTATGCCATCTTGACTCCCGAGACATGGTGGTAGCATGTTATTGATAAGTTATCATACTTGTGATCTTTTCCATCTCTAGGTATGCTATCTTGACTCCCGAGACATGGCCAAGGTGGGGAGGTGATGTCAAGTCTGGGGTCAATCATCTACTACGCGCTGTCAACATGGACACTGATGAGTTTCAGCTAGGCAAGACAAAGGTCTTCATCAGGAAACCAGAATCTGTAAGGAACCAGTTTATATCGAGGGGTCAGTGACACAAAGACATAACTCCATTTTGGCCATTTTGAGAAAAAATGGTTCATGTGTCACTGAGCACTTGGCCTTAAGGAGTTAAGTCTATGTTTCACTAGCCATTGACTTCAATGGGATGTTGGGTGGAGTTAAGTCTTTGTGGTTCCTGGAAAGCCCACATTTTTCTGAACATTTTGATATCAAATACTCATTTAGACAAAATATGGAGTGACGCCTTTGTGTCACTGAACCCTGGATATTGTCATTTTCAAACTTGAAAAGAAGCAAAGAACAGCCACAAGAAACTAATTCAGTTTTTCAATTATAGCGCAGAAATCATGAAGACTTGCAATTCTGTTTGATTGATTTAACAGATGTCTTGAATACAGCAGTTTAAAAAATGTAATTCATGATTCATTGAATAAACACTTGAAGGAAGAAATCTGTAGGGATTTTTAAAAGTTTAGATCAGTTATGATGTTTCTTAACATTAAATTTCAAATTGATAAGCAAGTCTGTGGAGCAAAGACATGGAGGTACAGTTTTGTTTTTATAACGATAGTGCAGATAATACACCTGTCACTAAAATGTAACCAACGTTTAGACAAGGGTAATGAGGGTCATTATAGTGTATGAACACTCTTGGTGTCTTTTACAACTTTTCCTCTATGTGTGGACTAATTTATGCATTTAAAATCATGAAATAGTATTAGGGAATGAAATTATAAGTTGTTTCAATGGAAGGTACTTTATACTCAGTTCAACAATTAGACAAATCAGAATTCTAATCTTACAACTAGAAGTAATTGTTTTTCAATTAGTAAACCAGCTTAAATAGTATACAAATAATACACAGGTGTGAGTGTGTTATGGTCGATGCAGCGCATGAGGGTATTTGCTATGGTGCAATAAATTTCATGAGGCGTAAGCCGAGTGTTATTTGTGCCATTGTGAATACCTGAATAGCGCTGCATCGCCATAACATCACAAACAAAAACCTGTGTATTATTTGTTTTATAAAATGAGTCGACTATCTTCCTTTGCAAGGCCATAAGATGTCTCCCCACAACCTTTATCCATGGTTGTTATCACCAAAACGCACGCCATGCAGATGGTACCGTGTAGATAGTAAAAGAATAATGCACGGTCACGTGATCCATCGACGCTTCTTATTGGCTTCATTCTCGACCCCATTTTTATACATTTGTTTGTATGTTTGTTTGTTTGTATATCTGACAGCTCTTTCTCCTAGAAGAACAGAGAGAGAGAAAGTTTGACTTTCATGCTCGGATCATCCAGAAGGCATTCAGACAATTCAATGCACAGAAGTACTATCTCAGACTCAAACAGCAAGGTAAAGAAACAAATATGGACGTTATAGACCGATGGTCTTTCTGTACAGGCCGTCATGAAAGCAGGTGGAATTCATTTGAAATGATGCAAACGGATATTTTTAAAAGTTTTTGAATAAGTTAAGTTGTAGCAGATTATACAAAGCTTTGTGTCACATGAAACTTTCAATAAAGAAAACAAAACTTATCTTACTATTTTCAATAATGATCATTTTTAGGTAATTTTTTTTAGTTTCATCAAAATCCTCAAATGATTTATGCATGATTTAATACAAAATTTGAAATCTTTCCAAGTGTTTAAATAGTCATTCAAGTGAGAGTTGGGAATACAACTGCTTGACAGATAATGTGTTACCTTTACTACAACTTAACCTTGTTTGTAAATCCCTCGTTCAAATTGGTTGTGTAATAATAATAATAATAGTGGGTTCTTGTAAAGCGTTCATGTCTGTCAGACTTGACACTCCTGGTGCTCTTGATTATTACCCTGGCTTTAGCATGGCTGCCATTACGGCACTCTAGCATTTGAAGGAATTAATTCCTGCCAGGTACCCATTTACATCACCTCGGTTGAGTGTGGCAATTGTAGATCAATGTCTTGCCAAAGGACATTAGTGTACTGTTTAATTGAATTGAAATGATGTTCATATTTATGCAACCATACATGACGATTGAACTAAATCTGACCCATTGCAGCCAGTGACATCCTGTTCGACAAGAAGGAGAGGAGGCGCTACAGTCTCAACCGTAACTTTGTCGGGGACTACATCGGCTTTGAGCACAATGTATCCCTGCAGGCGTTGGTTGCTAGGAGAGAGAGGATTGAGTTTGCTGATAAGGTCAACAAGTATGACAGGAGATTCAAGGTAAGTACGTGTCCTAATGAGTTTCTTTATAAACCCATCGACTACTGACTTCTCTCATTGTCATAGGCTTAATGTAGTAACTAAACAGTTCGAGTAGGCAATGGGTTAAACACTTCTGATTCAGGTTTGTTTGGTTGCATTTAGTGAAGATTTGAATCTGTTTCCCAACATCTGATAGATAAAGGGAATTTCCCCAAAATGGCACCCTTCTAGTTCTCTCCTTTGACACAACTAAGTTATTATAAAAGGCATAGATTATATCTGTTCTCTCTTACAGTTTTATTAATGGAGAACAAAAATCAAGGTAATAGTTGTTTGGATTTTTGTACAGCAATATATAAACTGAATTTTAAGCCCTAATTTTATCTGGAAATATATACTCTAATCATGCTTAATACTGGCTTTGGGGAATGATATTCCGTGTTTCAAGTCTTACCAAGAGAATTTGACCCATGCAGGAGAGTAAATTATCTGTTCGTGTCCACTCTCCAATCCAACTTATGTATATATTTGACCTTTTGAGAAGTATGTGTAGTTTGCAGTGTCTACTTGTATAAATGAAACACTGAGATATCCGACCAATGTCTTTGTGATAAAACACAATCAGACCATACCTGTAAATCTTTTCTCTATTGATTCTGTCAGGTCACGAAGCGAGACCTGCTACTATCAGGCAGGAATATCTATCTGATTGGTCGAGAGCAGATCAAGAAAGGGCCAGAGAAAGGTCAGATCAGGGACGTGGTCAAAAGGAAGATTCCCCTCAACCATATACACAGTGTATCTCTCAGGTCAGTGTGCAGTTTGTTACTCAGCTTTTGTGAGTTATGATGTTACTTGGCTTGGAATCTTCTTTATTACATCCTTTATTTCTTTCTCCTGGGGAAGTTTTATAGCTCATTGGAATATTGTAGCTGAAGTGTAAATAGAGAGTAAAGGAAAGATGATTAGAAATGGAGAAAGAGAATGAAAGAGTGATATGAATAAAGAGAGAGAGAGAGAGAGAGAGAGGGGAGGGGAGGGGAGGGGAGGGGAGGGGGGGGGGGGGGGAGGAAGAGAAGGAAGAATGAGTGAGAATGAGCAAGATTGAGCAAGAATGAGAAAAGATTGACCTAGGAATGAGCAAAAATGAGCAAAAATGACCTAGGAATGAGCAAGAATGACCTAGGAATGAGCAAGAATGACCTAAGTATCAGCAAGAATGAGCAAGAAAGAGCAAGAAGGGAGGAGGGGAGAGAGAAATATTTCTTGTAGTATTCATAGATCACCCTGAGAAGAATTCTGCCCCATATATTAAATCATAATTACACTACCTAAATCCTGAAATAATGATTGACATTCACCCATGAAGATAAAGCAGGATGCACTGCATGTGAACCCTTCTCTCCTACATTTGAACTCTCTCACCTGTGTGTTGTAGGCGTCAGTTTGTGGTTTGTGTGTTAGGCAACCAGTCTTGGGTTATTTCTGTGAGAGTGAGTCAACAATTCGAGGCAGAGTTTGTCCCTTCTGTCGCTAGGTGATCTGAGCCCACTCTCCTGGAGGTGGGGCAGCAAGGTCCTTGAAAGTTCTCCCAACTTTCTGCGTAATATAGGGGGTTGCCAACTTTGTAGTGACACAATACACATATGCTACTGTAGTCAATTCCATATTCAAATTTTACAGAAAATATGGTCAATACCCAACTATTCAAGGGTAAAATTAGACGATACAATTTGGATCAAATAAATAATGAAAGCTATTTGTAGAATCTTTATAATTGTGTTCAACATACAGATTTTTTTATTTTAAAGTCTATTTTTACAAAGCTCTAGCAATTCGTTTTTATAGCCATAGTTGCAATATTACAAACAGTACCCCACCCCCACCCCTCCCTTCCCCACCCCTCCCCATCCCACCCACTTATCCCCTATCTCAGCAATTGGACATTGTCCAGGTATAGGCCTAACAGGATGCTAGGATTTCTTATCAGGCCCTTGGAATATGAGCCAAATTGTCTCTATCAATTAATCTACCTATATGATTTTCATATGAGGTAGATGTTAAATTGTTTCCTGCAAACCTACTCTGTTAGGAAGTTGTTGAGATTTTAATGGTTTCCCTTCAGCAGTACATATTTCATTTTTCCACTTGGCCAAGTAGACTCATCATTCCTGAAATATTTATTTTTAGGATCAAATCAAGGATGTTCTTCCTTGTAAGATCTACATATACATGTACATGTACACTGTTTGACATGTACTTGTGCATGTTGGTTTTTAATGAGTGTTTAATGTGTTTGTGAGATCATATCTACGATAAACATTCTGAATTTGACTTTACTTGTATTATGTAATTACGTTAGCATTCAGATATCAGGCTGCAATATATCTCAGAAAAAAAGTCAATTCCTCAAAATATTAATTAATTTTCAGAATGAAGCAAATTGTTTCATCTGTATTATATTCAAATTGATGTATGCCATGTAGAAGTAGCCAAGGGTAAACCATTATCTTACTTATAGTATTTACTTTAATGAAATGATGATAAATTTCCTGAAATAAATATTTGTCGTAATATTTATGCCCAACTCAGAATTAGACAAGATGAGACTTGAAATTGGTGGATAGTACCGGTACCTTTAAGTTTGAGCATTGTACTTTTGACTACGTCTACATATTTTTATTTTTACTTTTACGTTGGTCTATTACTGTATTGCTACTTCAGCAATAAAGAACAGAGACATTATGACAAATACATACAAAGAAAAGGAGAACATACTAAGAAAAGCCCAGGTCTTGACCTGATTAATGGTTCATGCAGGACAGGAAACATAAAAAGGCATAATTCATTTCTTTTAGAAATCAACATGGTGGTTATACAGATTAGGTAGCCACTTAATGTGACAAGTGATATAAATTATTGAAAAATATTGACATATAGTAAATAATAAGTTATTAAAACAATTTAGAGTAATCCAGACAAATCGCAATTAATATTCTGACACTCTCACTGAAGTATTTAGACCCCCCCCCCCACCCAAAGGTAATTGTGTTTTTGTCCTGTGATTACGTCCTACCAACAGCCTACCGTCTTACATTAATTAAAACTAATTAGTACTTTTGAGTATCATGAACAACGAGCTTAGGCTGGGGTATTTATTATGATTTTGTAAGGTGGTAGCCTGTTGTTATTCATGAGTCGCATGCAAACTTGTATCGTGCAGTCCATTGTCTTCAATTAATTAACACTAATTATTAACCCTTAAGTAGCACAGTCATAACAGGAATCAAACAAAACTATTTTTCTAATGATCTTTCAGGTAGAGAGTCTGTCGTTGATATATTACCACTACCTTCTGATGACGGCATAATGTCTTGCATTAAATGATACTAATCACTACCCGAAAGTACACATTCAAACAAGACTTCAGTCAAATCATTTACTCATATGATCTGTTTACTTTTAGCTTTTTGTCATTCATGAATATCACGTTACATCCCCTTTTTTGGACGGCCTATTGTCTTACATTTAATATCACTAATTAATACTCATGAGATATCACAAGCAAAGTAGGCTTAGGCCAAAACATATACTCTCATGATCTTCTTATTTTCTATAATTATCATATTACAATTATGGTTAAATGTATTAACAGTCTAAAGCTATTTCAATTGACAGTCTATTGTCTTATATTAATTCATGCTAATTATTGTTGGCAGTATAACAATCAAATGAGCTGAAGCTGTCGTATTTTCTTTTGTGATTTTTTCCCCCTGTTGGTCTACTCTTATTCATGAGTGATCATGTTACAATGCCTTTTCTAAAGACAGACTATTATTACATTAATAAAGACAAATAATCATAAACAAACAATTTTTAGGCCTCTCATCATGGTTATATCGATTGTATTGTTATGTATAAAATTCACCCAATTAATTTACTCATTCTTACATGTACAGTGCATATATTAAATTCAAAGGAAATAAAAAGCTTGTACTAGTTTTCCTTTCACCATCTGATAGTAAAAAATAGCCCTACATAATTAGCCTCTTGTGTTTCTTGCAAAAAAGGTTGTTACAAAGTGCAACTTATTACGAACCTAATTCATATTTATGTAAATGTATGTTGATTTATGCGCATGAGCATAATACTCTTGGATGAAGAGGATTTTATTGAAAAACCCATGATTGTGTTGTGGAGTGCAGGAAGATTTGATTATATTATCTAAATCACCTTGTCGGGATAAAATTGACTGTCAAGTGAACATATTTGCTTATTCCATCTTAACCCTTGTTAAGCCCTGTGTCTTTAAGAAATCCAACCTATTTGTGTCTATTTGGATCCAAATGGATGCGTGTATAGAACATAATGATTTCATGAGTCATTCATGTATTCTAATGTAATCTATAGGAAAACCTTTTTTGCAGCCTTGGATACTATTTGCCTATAGCAGGTTTACCTTGGTATCTTTATATTGACTATACGTTTATTTATATCTCCATTAGACTCCATATATCTGTATATTTTTTTTCTTGAGTATCTTCGATCCCACCGCTGCCACCATTATGTAATGATAAACTATATATAACATTCATGAAACCTTTTGACAGCATGTCTCTCAAACCTGAGTGATGACTACTAGAATCTCTTAACAAAGACCACTCGGTTTTTCAAATGGGTTAATATAGTTGTATCATTACTCGCTTTACAATACCTATTCTCTGTATTTTTATTTTTTTGCAGTACTCTTCAGGATGACATGTTTGTGCTCCATGTAAGTGAGGAATATGACAGCATCTTAGAGTCCACTTTCAAGACTGAATTCCTGACCGTACTCAACAAGAAGTTCCAAGAGACTCTACAACAGAAACTGATGGTCAACTTCAATGACTCGTAAGTAACTGAAACATATCCTATTGTACTACCATTGTCCTCTTACCATCCGATTAGTGGACATCTGGTAATGTTATTAGCTTAAAGACGATATCCGAACTGAAAAATGAAATGGATGAATTATGTATCAATGAAAGCTTATAAGCCATAGATTACAATAATATCAATTACATGTATATGCCATTTTAGTGTCTGTCGGAAGAGTATCAGCTTTGATGGATTTAGCAAGGCATGTTAATGTAGAACTCATACTTGCATGACAGATGATTGACTACAGTTCAATGAAAAGTAATGTTCCTGACATTCATATATTTAAAAAGGAAGAAAAAGAAATGTTTCCTTTTTTCAGATTGTTATCTCGTACCCCAAGTAAAGTTAATAATGGGGTCATGGTATGAGTGATATTTAACATAAAGCACGCCCTCTATCTTTTTGCCATTGTGCCTGATTTGCATGTGAAGATAATAATCTTTATCAGGCATAGTAGCTGTAGAAAGAAATACAATGGAATAATGTTCAGTTGACGCTAGTGACAAGATGAGCCAAGATTTCTTTGCAATCGTTTGTCCCTAATTGTGGAACGACCTGCTAGTTGGCTAGACCAGAGGAACCCCCAGGTACCCACAATGTATGACTTGTGATTGTGTTATGTAACTCAGGAAGGGCATGAAAACAAAGCTAATTGGCTTGATGACAAGACCTATAATGCTTTGGGTAGTGTGTCTTGCAAATACTCTCCAATAACTGTTTTCAATCTTTATGTCTGTGCTCTGATTTGCCATGGATTCTGCATGCACTCCAGTCACATTGTTGTTCATTAAAAAGAGATTTAGTGGATAGTTTCATGATCAAAATTGTGGTTTTCACGTGACAATAGCCATTCTTTCCCAGAAAGAATATGAAATGCATGCTCTAATGATATGGAAGAAAATATTAATATAATTAATATGGGTCTATTCTTCCTTCAAATCAGCAGGGAATATCATGAATTAGTTTTTCAGTCAATAGATATGACTGCTTTGTAAAAAAAAAAAATTAACAACAGCATTAATATATATACATGTATAAGGGACCTTAGAGCAAACCTACTCTTGAAGATACTATGTCCCTGTTGCAGCCAACATCAAATTCTGTATAACTATGCAGGAATTGTGAAATTAAAACGTTAGCAGTGTCCTAATATTCAAATTATGCAAGAAAACTGTTTACGTGCTAGACTTCACTGTCAGACACTATTGAGTGACTGACTGGCTTTTTTTTTTCTTTGTTAATAACATACATATAATGAGCTGTAAAGGGTACATGAGCATTTGTCTACATCAAAAACCCACTTCTTGTAATGGCCAATATTAAACTGATTGAATCTTCACGTTAGAGGTTTACGGTACACCATGTGTAAAGTCCTAGAAGGACTAAGGAAAGTGGATAGAAAATAGAAGTGAAAATAGAAAGGCGAGAAAGTGGAGGTTGGAAGGAAGAGTATCTTTCAGAAGTGAGTATAGTCCTGAAAAGGACTGTAAACCAGAAAGTTGTAGATTGAATCTTTGCGCAGCATAAAACGTACGATCCTTCGGTACAATGGTCTGAAAATCAGACTATTACTTACTGGCTCTATAGCTCTTAAGTCGATTTGACAGCTAATAGTCGTTATTTTCCCACTTATTTTGGAGCCCCCCCCCCCTTTTTTTTTAGGGAAGTTCTATTAAATTAATATATCTTTCAAAAAATGCCGTTGGAATTTAACCTTTTCATTTTTTGGCCTGCAAATGAGACATAGTACCTTTAACAGTTTGAAAAGTTTTCATTGGAAAAAAAATGATAAAATCTGCTTCTAGGCAAGTTTCACTTTTTCTGCAGAATCACTCCAGAAAGAACTCAAATAATTGTTACTCTGCTGTGAATATCTTGCATCTTGCAATTTTCATGACTTGGAATTTTGTTGAAAGTAAAATACAAGCCAGGGCATATATATTCAGGGAAATGCAAGATTAAATTGGAAAGATTTCCTGCAAACATTATTTTTCAAAAGGCTGTATAGACATACTACAAGTCATTTTGGAAGGTAATCAAGTTGGCTTTGAGAATTATCTGAGCTATTTATGTGATTATGGAAATATGCAATTTTCAGGAATCACCAGAGGGCCCCTTTTTCTGAATCACCGAGGTTGTCATAACTACGAAATGTAAACAAACAGATCGAAGTATCAAAATGAAACAGCAAAATTCTTGCACACTCTCAAATGTACCTATATACTTTACAAATAAATTCATATTGCAAATCAAGTTCAAAAGGGGAAACATGTAGGAAAAAATTAGTTGAACAATGCTATGAATTTCCTTTCTGATGATATCTTCCATGACTTTGGGGCAAGGTACAAATACATTTTTCTCTGTATTCCTTTTGGGAATTATCTTTGAATTTTCCCTGACTAATCATTTAACATTTTTCAGAACATATTTACTTGGATGATTTTTCATATATTCTTGGCCTAATTGATGACAAATTATTTTACGACCTGCTCTACTGTTTGAATAGTAGTATAGTACGCATGCCTTTAATGAATTTATTAAGGTATGATGTAGTGAAATAATACTTGCTGCTATGTAGGGCTAATGGTCTGCTATTCATGCATGATACAAATGTTTCATTTTCTTCATTTTTCATTTCCAATTAATACTACATCCTTTAAATTTTGCAAGTATCATACCCATAACGCCGGCGGACCAGGTAAATTGATATGTAACAGAGATCACCATTTCCTAATTAAATTGTGCTTCTCTAATTGCATTTGCAAGTGAAAAGAGGTCTTAATCCACGTTAAGCAGCTCACCAGACATTCTCAAGATGTTTCGTTCAAACTAAATCTCTGGAAACAATCTCTAATTACCTTCCCTGTAGGGCAAGAAACGTTAGGACTCTTTAGTTAGGTTCACACAACATTTTGTAAAGTTAAAAGTGAGGTTATGTTTTTAAACTTCAAGTTATCTTGTAGTTACAGACCGTGCAGACATCCTCTTAGTTAATGCTAATAATATTCTGTGTTTTTAAAGTGCTTAATATATCAACGATGTCTCTAAGCGCTTTTAGATATAGTATTACCCCGATCATCGGATTCAGGCTTACCCACACACAATGTATGCACATTCTCCACTCCCTGGGGAGCATTCTAGCCAGGTGCAATTTTACAGACGCTCACAATGCTGAGCAAACTACATTAATGTTGCATCATACCGGGTATAATACCTGGGTGGAGAGTGGCAAATGTAGATTAACGTCTTACAAAAGGATGCTAGGGTGGGCTTGGATTTAAACCCAGTACCTTGTGATCTTCCATCCGGTGGCTTATTTATTAGACCACAACACCTAACCTCTAAGTTTACTTGAAGTTATAAACCACAAGCCATCTTATGGTTAGTGTGATGCAGACGAGCAGAGGGGGTCATTTGATGTTATATTTAACTACTTCTTGCCGACTTATGGTCTAACGCTTTGAATACATGTTGTTCATGTGTGAACCCTTCTCACTGTAAGTGGATCGTTATTTGAGACTGCAAGGTTTTGCAAACTTGAAAGTTCTAAATTACCACACTTCTGTGTGAACATGGCTTAATTTTAGTCTCAGATCTTCTCACTCATGAACATTGAATAATGTCAAACTTATGTCTCCAGAATCCTTCATTAATGCATGGAATTCCTATGAGATAAGACATTTGAGGTTGGGAGTATTTTGGAGCAGGTGCATGTGAGATGAAAACTGAGCTTGAAGAAATGGAAGAAGGAAAGTTTAATGTATAAAGTTGTGATTTCTTAGTGCTAGTAAATGAATGTTAGCTTGAATAAGGTGAAAAGGAAAAAGAATGTGTAACAAAACTTGGCTACAAACTTGAGAAGGAAATATCTCAAGGTATTTGAAGTTTGGTCAATAGATTTAAGATGTGCCATTTAACCATTGAAAGTTTGTGAATCTATTTGCAAGATTTTGGGAAGCAAAAGAGCAGATTTTTTTGCCCAAAAGTCCATAGTACAGTGTCCATGTATTGCTCTTTTATTACCAGCAAAACTTAGCAACAGACTTTGATTTTTTTTTATTTCATATAAACTCCCCCAAAAATGTAAGCATTTCAAGTTTGAGACTATATCTCTTATCATATTTAATGTGGGTATCATTGAAAAGCCTGTTTATTCCCCTTTACATTGATGCCCTATTTGTTATTATCATGTAATCATGGAATATGCTGTTCAACTGAATATGGGGGGAGGGGGGGGGGCAGCCTTTATTTTTCTTTCAGTTACTTTCTGTCACTCTACCTCTCCCTTATTTCTCTCTCTTCCCCTCTGCCTCTCTCCCCACCTTTCTTCCTCCTTCCAACCCCGCTTTGTCTTCTTTATCTTACTTTCTCTCTCCACTGTCACTTTCTCTCTTCTTTCTCCTTCTTTTCTTTTTATATTCTCCTAATGTGCCTCTCTTAGCATTTTTCTCCTTGAATTCTCCATGATTGAACATCCTATCAGGATTGAGAAGTCACAATTCTGTTTTCAGGGCTCTCTTGAAATTACAAGACAATCGCTGAAAAAATATGCATAATTGTCTCATGCCATCCCCAATCACACTTTGCCTTTAGCCTGGAAATGAGCCGAGGTCTTCTCCTAACACTGTCCTCTTCCTCGCCAAAGGGAACCCTTTTCCTGGCAACAGCCATCAATTACACTGGATCATGCTGTAATCAACCCGTGTCGCTAAACATGCCCCATGCCATGTGAGACTCAAAACCTTTCCTGAGGAACCCCTTTCCAGGATGTTCTGTGCTGTCGAATCTACTTGCGGATCAAAGCCTCCATCTTTTACAAACAATCCCCCTCCCCAAGTATTATCAGCGGTCTTGTATGGATGCCTCATCTTTTAGTTCCCCTTCCTCTCACACAGGTGTTGCTATAGGATCATCATATGCATGCAGAAACACATGCCTACATTTTAAAAAGCTGCCTTAATTCCTCTGGT